ACGGAAAATGACTTTGTACTAGTACTGGCAGGATTTCCTCCCACCTATTCTGCCTGACCGAAAGATAATGCTGTTTTAGCGGAGGGTGCGATTAAAAAAATTGATTCCCTTACAAAATGTCAGCAATTTTTGGTCCAGCCATTTTGCTAGCTATAGCTAACATATAAATATAGAGCAATGAGCTCTATTATATAGAAGATAACATACACTATGTACACTGTACAGTACATGAAATACACAAAACTTAAATAAGATGTTCATGGTTCACATCTTGACAACTATTCAAAACAATAGCTATATTTTCTTTATCTATTGCTAACATTATTTAGCAGCTCATGTCAGCAGTAATGTTTCCCCTGCAGTGGGATAAACAGATTAAATGATCTAAAATAAAACCTTTAGATAACATAATCTTCAGACTTAATATTTCTTTAAATAAAGAAGAAATGATGTCAGGGAATTAGATAGTTTTAATAAGTGATGCATTTAAAAGAATTTCATGTAAAAAATCTGATGTATGTAAATAAATAAAAACACATATTTAAAAGATAAGGAAAATTTGGTCGTAAATTTCAAAAAAGAGTCCCATTAAGAAGAATGAAAATGGAAAAGCATGAAAAAGTATGTAAAGGAAGATGGCACAAAAATTTTAGATTTTCGACAATAAAAGATTATTCAAACTTAAATTATGATTTTACTAAAATTTAAAATAACGTAAATCATTGTTTATGTTTATGTTTATGTTTATGTTTATGTTTATGTTTATGTTTATGTTTATGTTTATGTTTATGTTTATGTTTATGTTTATGTTTATGTTTATGTTTATGTTTATGTTTATGTTTATGTTTATGTTTATGTTCACGGTTGTCGTCAAGTATAATATATTCTAAAGTTCTGAAAAAGTCTGGCACGTAGGCAGCCGTAGTACATTTTAATTTCCGAGCCGGGTCAACCTTTCCAGTGACCTCTGTGGACAGGACTGGCCGGTGCAACAAGGTTGACGCGGTCAGACTTTATGCTTTATAAAGGTTGAATTTACTTTTACTAAAGGGGCAGATGTGCGTGCTGGTATGACCCAAAAAACATTTTAATTGAATTTTTTGTTTTAGAAATGATGAAAACTTACTCAATGAGAGCTCCGAATACAAAAAGTATACAGGCCAACATCCAGGCTTCTATAGCTGTCAAACCTTCAGCCTACAAAATATATAATATATAAAAACTAGCTGAAGTGTCCGGCGTTGCCCGTAGAATTTAATAAAAAATCGATTTTTGAAAAAAAAAACTATTCTAATTTTTTAGCCTATTAAACCCCTCAGGCACCCATGGGTTCCATACAAAAACTTCAGCCAATTTGGTCCAGCCGTTTGGCCAGCTATAGCTAACATATATACAAATACATATACAAAAAGATGAGCAAAGAGCTTAATTTATGTATTACTGTAGCTACAGTGAGACTCATAAAACTGTGAAAAAGGAAGATCTATGGTTCTTATACAGTGATAACCAGAAAACTCTGGAATAGACTCAAGCTATAACTTTAAATAGCCAATGAACATAAGACACCGCAATGGTGCAGTGTAAGCAGACCCATTTTACTTAATAAGTTATTTAAAAAGTTGCTACTACTTTTTTACCTTGTAACATTATCAAATATACTTAAATATCGCTTTAGTGTCGTCTTCCTGTTTCATAGTATTCTGGTGTTCACTGTACGTTAACATAGAAATGGAATGACCAATTTAAAATTGTTTCCTTGTATAATGTAGGAAGTCCCAAATCCTGTGATTTGAAAAGTAATAATCTGCCGTAATCTTGACGTTGGCTTTCATAACTTGCTTCAGATTCAAATTTAATATGTATGCAATATTGCAAGTTTACGTATGTTATTTTGTCAACTCTATACAGCTGACTTTGTTCGTAATTTAGTCCAATATTAAAGATAATTTAAAAGTTTGTAGTTATATTTTAACAAGTTGGCGTATTATTACAATAGCGTCAAAACAACACTGAAATAATTGATTCTTCATCATAATTATGAAATGTCAGTGGGAATTTTTTAATTTGTAATTGAATTCCTATAATTATTCCACTGTTTTCTGTATGCTACTGATTATTCCACTGTTTTCTGGTAACCACTGTATGCTACTGATTATTCCACTGTTTTCTGGTAACCACTGTATGCTACTGATTATTTGCTCACCCTGCATCCTTTTCCTTAAAGGGAGTGACCGGCTATGTCACTCAGGATTTACATATCTTTAAAAAGTTTAATATGTCTCAAATGAATCCGAAAGAAGTTTTCCACAACACTGCATACTCAGTTCAATTACTTTACATAGCCGGTCACTCCGATGTACGTTAGAAAATCAATATTTGTTAAATGAGAGAATTTTTAGTTAAGTATCAGTGACGTCATATGAGAATTTAGAGTTTCCATTGCAATAAAGACGACATTTACCTACAGTGGAGCGCATCCAGAGTATCTCACCTTATCTGCAACCTTTCCTTTACCTTAGGTGTATTGGTTGTAACTGTATTGAAGATATTAACCAGAACCAAGAACAGTGTAACCAGCAGAGCCATCCGTCCTGGTATAACGTCCATAGGTATCAGGAAGGATATCCAGGATACAATCACAAATAGTCCTAAACATCCAGGATACAATCAGAAATAGTCCAAAACATCCAGGATACAATCAATCACAAATAGTCCTAAATATCCAGGATACAATCAAAAATAGTCCTAAACACCGAGGATACAATTACAAATAGTCCTAAACATCCAGGATACAATCACAAATAGTTCTAAACATCCAGGATACAATCACAAAGAGTTCTTACTCTTACCAGGATACAATTACAATTAGTTCTAAACATCCAAAATACAATCACAAATATTCCTAAATATCCAGGATACAATCACAAATAGTCCCAAGTATCCTGGATACAATCACAAATAGTCCTAAATATTCAGAATACAATTACAAATCGTTCTAAATATCCAGGATACAATTACAAATGGTTCTTAATATCGCGGATACAATCAAAAATAGTTCTAAACTCCAAGAACAATCACAAATAGTCCTAAATATCCAGGATAAAATCACAAATAGTTCCAAACATCCAGGATAAAATCACAAATAGTTCTACCAGGATACAAATATGTATCTGTATCATAGAAAGAAAGGAAAAGTGGAGAAAGATAAAAACTTAGAATTCCCAACTTCCCTGGAAAGTAGTATAAGTTTAACCAATATCATTGATAAAAGAGAATACACCTAGTAAACTTTCTAAACTAGATGATCTAGAAAATGGAGGATCATTAGAATATGTTCAGTCGTATTATATCTCGAATTCAAAATTCGTCAAAAATAGCATTAAGCATCTAATATACCAAATTTTCAAAATACATAGCAAAGCAAAAAAGCATAAAATATAAACTACGAAAAATGCATGTTTAATGGGTGAAATTGGACTCTAAAGTTAAGACTCACTAGTTGTTTAATTTTTTGAAGTGCTTTTTTATATATTATAACAAAACTTAATGAAAAGTATGCATACAAGAAATTATTGTTCAGAGCCCAACACGTAAGACAGTTTTGGAACCCGGGTTTCACGGATGAGTTTAGGTAGTTTTGTGGATATCCATATGTTTGTTATGAAATATCATGTTATTTAGTTTTCATATTCTCAATTTTTTTCGAATCTCTTAAATCAAAATCTATACAAATGTTAGGACGCCAGAAAGGAAACTCGAAGGTTTCGTTCAACGATACTCTTTTAAATTTTGGGCTCTGGGAACCTCTAAATATATTCATGTGAACTGTATTGTTTATATTTCTCCCAGAAATGTGTACTGCATTGTTCATAATCCTCCCAGAAATGTGTACTGCATTGTTTACATTCCTCCCAGAAATGTGTACTGCATTTTTTACATTCCTTCCAGAAATGTGTACTGCATTGTTTACATTCCTCCCAGAAATGTGTACTGCATTGTTTACATTTCTCCCAGAAATTTGTACTGCATTGTTTATATTCCTCCCCGAAAAAAATTAGACCTTTGCTGTTTTGAACCAGAATTGCAATATTTCAAATAAAGAATATAGTTGAGTATGCTCTGTGTTTACAACCAGAAATAATGTATAATATAATAAAATTTTGTGCATTCATTTTATACAAAGCCATTTTAATTTTACTATCATGTATACATGCACTTCAGATTTTAAATTTTAAACATATAGCAAGACAGAAAGAGCGTTTTTACATGATACAGGATGAAAATACGATCTAAAAATGAATCTATGCAAAAACAAATCTCTTGAAAATAGAATCTAGATGTTTCTCTTTAAAAGTTATTTTTCTGTGAGAAACTTTGAAAGATCTTTGTCATATTCATTATTCGGCAAACTTTCTAAACTCACTCAGATGGAACTTTCATATTTTCAGATTTCAAACTTAAATTCTTTAATTTAAAATTTTCAAATTTTGCAAAGAAAATATTGAATATTTGATTTGTAAAGAATCTATGCACATCGAGAGAGAGAGAAATTTATTCATGTAAAAATAAAATTCAGAAGAAATTGTTTTAAAATATTCATCGAATATAAGAAATAGAAAACTAAATTCTTCAAAATCTTTATTTCAAAATTATTTTTTAATTTGACAGTAAAAAATGTAGAAGATATGAAAAAGAATATCAGAAAGATGCAACAAACTAAAAAATTAGAAAAATAATTCCTATGCACTTTACGCTGCATAAGATTGCTTATCTAGAATTATTATATTAAGAACATGTCACGTACCTGAGGGAAGTTAGTACGTGATAATGTAAATAGAAACGTACCTGAGGGAAGGTAGTACGTGATAATGTAAGAAGAAACGTACCTGAGGGAAGGTAGTACGTAATAATGTAAGAAGAAACGTACCTGAGGGAAGGTAGTACGTAATAATGTAAGTAGAAACGTACCTGAGAGAAGGTAGTACGCGACAATGTAAGTAGAAACGTACCTGAGGAAAGGTAGTACATGAAATGTAAGAAGAAGCGTACCTGAGGGAAGATAGTACGTGATAATGTAAGAAGAAACGTACCTAAGAGAAGTTAGTACGTGATAATGTAAGTAGAAACGTACCTGAGAGAAGGTAGTAGTTGATAAAATAAGTAGAAACGTACCTGAGGGAAGGTAGTACGTAGATAATGTAAGTAGAAACGTACCTGAGGGAAGGTAGTACGTGATAATGTAAGTAGAAACGTATCTTGTGAGCACCATCTCGAAACCAGAAAGGGAAAAATTCCCTAAGTTTCCGTAGTCTAGGATCATATCCAGGGGTTGCAGGGGCTCTATTTCTAAAACAGAAGAATGTCAACAATAAACATTTTACATCTTTCTTTCGATCTAACATTTTAAAACTTATGCTCTTTATTTGAGATGACCGGAGCAGGATAAAATGTTTAGTTTGTGCGTTGAGCAAGATAGACTGAACTCGATATCCACAGCGTGTACTTTTAAATTCAATGTCGTCTATGACTATGTTCTCAAAGTCTTTGTGAATGTATATGTATATGTCTATTTGTCTTTGGGTATTTTTTGTGTATGTGTATGTCTATTTTATATATGTCTCGTCTTCAGGCTATGTCTATATGTTGTCTAATGTTTATGTTTATGTTATCTATGTGTATTTCTATGTTGTCTATGCGTATGTTTATGTTGTCTATGCGTATGCCTATGTTGTCTTCTTTGTGTCTGCAGGCTATATCTATATGTTGTCTAATGTTTATGTTTATGTTGTCTATGTGTATGTTTATGTTGTCTATGTTTATTTCTATGTTGTCTATGTGTATATTTATATTGTCTATGTGTATGTCTATGTTTTCTATGTTGTCTCTGTTGTCTATTTTGTCTATGATGTCTATGTTGTCTATGTTTTCTATGTTTTCTGTGCTGTCTAATTTGTCTTTTTCTCTATGTTGTCTGTGTTGTTTATGTTGTCTATTTCTATGTCGCCTTATGTCTATTTGTATGTCCATGTTTTCCATGTCTATGTCATTTTATGTCTATGTGTATGTCTATGTTGTCTATGTTATCTATGTTGTCCATGTATATGTCTTCTTATGTTTATGTGTATGTGTATTTTGTCTATGTGTATGTCTATGTTGTCTATGTGTATGTGTATGTTGTCTATGTGCATGTCTATGTTGTCTATTTGTATGTCTATGTTGTCCATGTCTATGTCGTCTTACGTTTATGTGTATGTGTATGTTGTCTATGTGTATGTGTATGTTGTCTATGTGCATGTCTATGTTGTCTATTGGTATGTCTATGTTGTCTATGTGTATGTGTATGTTGTGTATGTGCATGTCTATGTTGTCTATGGGCATGTATATGTTGTCTATGGCTACTTTGCATTATAAAACACTGTGATCCAATTAAGCATGATAAGAAGAAAATTAAGAAAATCCTGTAAATCCTATAAAACACGTCTCTAATTTATTTACTAAACCCTTTCACACAAATCCACCAAGGAAACTCTGAGACAAAATTCCTCCGAAAAAGATCAAATCAAATCAAAGAATTATTAACATTGAAACGGATCTTGATTATCTCTTGATAGATTTACCCGGATTAGATAAATAAGTTTTTTATTTGAAAATATTGGTCTGGACTCTAGAGACACTTTTTTTCAGTAGACTGGCATGTCCGATTCACAACCTTTCCCTAAACTCAATTTCAAATCAGGTTTACTATATATATCTTTATAAAAATAATTTGGTCATATTTTATCTTTTCTTAAATAAAACTCGCAACAAAAAAATGAAAAGCATAATTTGTTACCCAATCAAGGTTATCATGCAAGGAAAGTTATTTCAGAGGTGTACGCATCTTTTGTACTGCAGTGTACTGTCTCTGGGTGGTAATGTAAACACAAGACAGATGTCACAGCCTGACATGGGATCCATCTTTCACATAAAAAATCCATGAAATATGCTGGTAAAAGGAAACTATTATGTGAATTATCAAAATTATCAAAATTTATTCCTTTTTTTCTCCACGGATACTAAACAAACACTGATACATCTATTCTTGTTTATAAATTTACGCCCAGAGAGAACTTTACGCAGAGAATACGCAACTGCAATTAACTTCCCTTCCATTATAACCTGGACCCAATTAATTGTTATGGAAGTTAAACCAAAAGACTAAACTTGCCTAAAGGAACTGTGTAAGTGACCTTTCATGCAAAGAGGAGAATTCCCGATTTACAATGGTACCCTTTGGTGCGTTAATCTGAAGTGTACGCTAGCGTATAGTGTGAACTTTCTCGAAAATCCCAAATAGTTTCTTAAATCTTAAATCTTAAGTCTTAATATTTCTTAAAACATAAAACATCTTAAAAAGTGTTTAACTGCCGGTTACAAGCATATCTGTTGATTAATAAGGATACGTCCATCCCCCTTTAATGATAATGAGATAGATAGAAAGATAGATGTTACCGCCGTACTATTTCTATTGGTTTAGAATAGACAACAAACACATGAGTTAACCTTGATTGGATCAGGTGATAATGGACTCGGCATACAGGAGTGGAGGGTACTGTTTCGAATCGAACACGTCACTCTACCGATGGAGGGTCACTTGAAATTAATCCTACTTTCTCTTTAAACAATATTGACGAGTGCCAACAGGTCCCACAGGGATACAATACAGTCAAAATATCTTAGAAATTTTCTTTTTTTAAATTATTCCATGTTATTCCTGAATCCAGATTAACTCATTTTCTCGTTATAATTCTAATTTAGTGCGGAGACAGGTAATTTCCACAGAAAGAAGAAAATGTCAAAATATTTATTTTTGTTCCATTTTCAGTTGCAAAAGACAACAAACTTACCTATGAACTAACCAGCTTAAAACAACACATAAACCAACCTACTAACTAACCAGCTAAAAAACAACAAATAAACCAACCAGCTAAAAAACAACAAATAAACCAACCAGCTTACTGACTAACCATTTAAAATAACACATCAACCAACCAACCTACTAACTAGCTGAAAAACTTCACATCAACCTACCAACTTACGAGCTAACCACCTAAAAACAACACATCAACCAACCAATCTACTAACTAACCAGCAAAAAACAACACATCAACCAACCAACCTACTAACTAACCAGCTAAAAAACAACACATCAACCAAATAACCAACCAACCTACAGACTAATCAGCTGAAAACAACAAATAAACTAACCAGTCTACTGACTAACCAGCTAAAAACAACACATCAATCAACCAACCTACTAACTAGCTAAAAACGACACATCACCTACCAACCTATGAGCTAACCAGCTAAAAACAACACACACACCAACCAACCTACTGACTAACCAGCTAAAAAACAACACATTAACCAAATAACCAACCAACCAAACAACAGTCAACCATCCAATAACCAAACTATCCAGCCAACAGAGGGGTTAGCGAACTAACCAACCAAACAACCAACCAATAACCGACAAGTTATTGCTTATTAACTAAAATCAAGTATCTTCAATCTCTGAGGGGGGAGAGAACACTGAACACTGAACACTGAACACTGAACACTGAACACTGAACACTAAACACTGAAAACTAGAAAATTACAAAGAACAAAATAAGAAGATAAACAAAATGTACAGGATTTTAAAGGATTTAATATCAAACAAAATTTGTTCAATTTGTTTTATTTGTTCAATTTTTTTTTTAATATGTTAAATTTGTTCAATTTGTTCATTTTGTTAAATTTGTTCAATTTGTTCAATTTGTTCAATTTGTTCAATTTGTTCAATTTGTTTAATTTGTTCAATTTGTTCAATTTGTTCAATTTGTTCAATTTGTTCAATTTGTTTAATTTGTTCAATTTGTTCAATTTGTTCAATTTGTTCAATTTGTTCAATTTGTTCAATTTGTTCAATTTGTTCAATACCCTGGTTAAAAAACTTTTTTCTTTTTCTTAACAATTTAAAACCAAAAAAAAAGAAGATAAAGGGTATTCAATATTGGAAATTACTAAATGTCGACTTCAAACTCTTTTTTATCTATGTGGTTTTCATTCGAGATTTGTTTTTGACAAAACTCGTATTACAGAACTAGAACATTTCAAAACTTATATTTTCAACCTTTCATTACTCGTATTTCAAAACTCGTATTTACAATCTTTTATGTCAAAACTTGTATGTCAAAACTCGTATTTTAATCCGGGCCATATGTCAAAAGTCGTATTTTAAGACATTGCAGCTGAATAATTCAACCTACCTATATCATAGTCCAGAGCAATGGTATTTCTTCCGTTCTTCTGATACTGAGCAGATTGAGTGATAAACATCATTTTAGAATCATCATATGAGTAGGAACCAACCTAAACAAGGAGGTGTGTGGAGCCAGGATTTCGGAGTAAATTTCCATATTTACGGATTAAATATAGAAAGTAAAGTATTCGGTTTCCTATCTGGTATGCATTAAAGAATAGTATTTATAAGATATACACACATTATACATAGAATGCAATCTTAGATTTTCTAATAATAGTACATATAGCAGAATGTTTAGTATTGATTCAAGATAGATTCTGGTCTTCATGTAGATTTATATAAATTTTAGTATTGTTTCAAAATAGATTCGTGTTTTCATGTAGATTTATATAAATTTAAGTATTGTTTCAAAATAGATTCTTGTTTTCATGTAGATTTATATAAATTTTAGTATTGTTTCAAAATAGATTCGTGTTTTCATGTAGATTTTATAGAAATTTTAGTATTGTTCCAAAATAGATTCTTGTTTTCATGTAGATTTATAGAAATTTTAGTATTGTTCCAAGATAGATTCTTGTTTTCATGTAGATTTTATAATAATTTTAGTATTGTTCCGAGATAGATTCTTGTTTTATGTAGGTTTATAGAAATTTTAGCATTGTTTATCGATAGATTCTTGTTTTCATGTAGGTTTATAGAAATTTTAGTAATGTTTCAAATTAGATTCTTGTTTTCATGTAGATTTATATAAATTTTAGTATTGTTTCAAAATAGATTCTTGTTTTCATGTAGATTTNTTTATGTAAACTATAAAGTAGTTTCTTGTTTATTTATGTAAACTATAAAGTAGTTTCTTGTTTATTTATGTAAACTATAAAGTAGTTTCTTGTTTATTTATGTAAACTATAAAGTAGTTTCTTGTTTATTTATGTAAACTATAAAGTAGTTTCTAGTTTATTTATGTAAACTATAAAGTAGTTTCTTGTTTATTTATGTAAACTATAAAGTAGTTTCTAGTTTATTTATGTAAACTATAAAGTAGTTTCTTGTTTATTTATGTAAACTATAAAGTAGTTTCTAGTTTATTTATGTAAACTATAAAGTAGTTTCTTGTTTATTTATGTAAACTATAAAGTAGTTTCTAGTTTATTTATGTAAACTATAAAGTAGTTTCTTGTTTATTTATGTAAACTATAAAGTAGTTTCTAGTTTATTTATGTAAACTAATGTGGTAGTTTTCTACTCGACTAAACTAAAATATTCTTACGTCAGAATATATTTATTTCTGTATATTTTGTTAAAGGGACTGTACACGAAGGATTGGCATATCCGATTCACTGTACGGTACCCAGAAATGTATGAGTTATCTTTCATCTTTAATTTAAAAAATTGATTATTTTATACACAAGTGGTATTTTTGCTTTAAAAAACAATATGATATTCTCATAATTAGCTTCAACATATTCAATCAAATACAGGTTTTAAAGGCACCCTTGTGAATCGGCAAGTCCCTTCAATAGATATTTAATATGTTCATCTAATTTAATCCTTGGAAAAATATGCTTTAAATGAATAACATATTATCTGGTATATTCAATAATATATAATATGTTCGTAATTAATGATCTTTCTGTATAGTTCATATTATCATTGATATATGAGTTTAGTCTCTGTCACAAACTCTCATTCTTTAATCCCTGAAATCCCTTTAATCCCTTTATCATTTCAACCCGATGTTGTAGACCTTTGAAATTTCCAACTATATATTCTGTCTGATTAAATAGTCTAAGTTTGAAATATCAAAGCTTTACACCATCAGGTTGCAAAGATATATGGTTTAGAAAATTCAAGTTGTGGCAAACATGATTATGATTTTCCATAAGAAAGACTAAGAATATTTTAAATTAAAAAATACTGGAGCTAAACGCACTTGGATTATATTTTAATTCACTAAAATATAAAGAGGATCAATGTGAATTAAATCCTTTCATTTCAATTCGACATTATTAAAAAACAAAACATCTTTGGAGAGAAATTGAGTTTTTGTCACAAACTCGCAGTTTTTATTTGCAACTGAATGTCGTAGACCTTAGATATGTCAAACTATGAATTATGTTAGATCAAAAAATCCAAGTTTAAATATCAGAGGTTTACTTCATCAGGTTTCAAATTGCACCGCTGTAGTTATAAATTTCGGAGTCCGATCAACTTGGTTTTTAAATGTTTAACGTTTGAGTTTTTTTAATTGAATTAACTTTTTATTTCATTTTTAATAAATTAAAATAATTTACCTGGAATTTACACCTTTGAGTGTCCAAGGGGAACTTATCAAACCTAGAAAGTAATTATTATTAAATACAGATCTATGATACAGAGAAACCAACAAAAAATGATTTTTTAACGACGACCCAAAGCTCATTGGAAAAAACGATCTGAAAGGTAAATTATGCCTTTCCCCTGAAACATAGACTTTAAATATTCATTTAATGATCTATTAAAGATATAACAAGTTTCAAAGAACCAAGAAGCCTCATACTTTGTGGGTAACCCTGTATATTGTTGAAGATTGAGTTGTTTTCATTTAAAATATTATTATGAAAAAAGATAATATATCGCCAACATAATATTTTTATAAAATTTTCTCCGCAGTCGCTGTAAAATAAATTCGTTTGATTAAACTATAAGTGCACTTTAAGGGCACTTTAAGTGCACACGAGTGACTGACGAGATAAAACTTTAAACTTTTAACTTTTGTGCTTAAAGCAAGAAACTTTTTTCAAAATGGCGCCCAGGGAGATATTTCTACCGAGTGTTCCACTCAGAGTTAATTTAAACAAATATCTTATGTTATCATTCCTTCTTCTTTATTTTTCAATACAGAGAGTCCTAGAGGGAAACGTGGCGACATTAAACTTTTTTCCATATTTTTCAAATTTAATCTGAACAGAAACTGAGCACTATGTTCTAATCCTATACTATTGCAACAATGATGTCCTAAATTGGATATATTTCAAATTGTAATTATTTCTTAGATCATATGGTAAAAATTTGAAAATAATCAAAATTTTACAGATTTGAACAGATTTTGGATTAAAAAACAGGGTTTTGTGGAGTGTGTTCTGTTTCTTTGTCAGTCATTGACTCTCATTGTTCATTACGTCACGTAAATTTCATTTTTTATGGAACTCCTCGCCTGTGTTCTCCTGAAAGCATGTTTCTTTTCTATTCTTTATATCCATAGATTGTAGATTGTAGATAAGATTTAGTTGAATAGGATAAAAGAGAAATACTTGTATTACTTATTTTTTTTGGGAAAAATAAAGTTATGAAGAAGGAATGAATGAATGAATAAGAAATTGATGAGGAATGAATGAATGATCAAGGCATGGATGAGGAATAATTGAATAATAAATTGATGAGAAGTGAAGTAATAAATGGTTGAGGAATGATGTTATGAATGGATGAGGAATGAAGAAATGAATGAATAAGGAATGAAGTTATGAATGGATAAGGAATGAAGTAATGAATGAGGAATGAAGTAATGAATGGATGAGGAATGAAGAAATTAATGAATGAGGAATGATGTTATGAATGAATGAGGAATGAGGAATGAAGAAATGAATGAATGAGGAATGAAGTAATGAATGAATGAGGAATGAAGAAATGAATGAATGAGGAATGATGTTATGAATGCATGAGGAATTTAGTAATGAATGGATGAGGAATGAAGTAATGAATAGATGAGGGAGGGGGGCAGAAATTGTGCACTAGGATTGACTCAATTAGTGATTGGTTTGAGGAATGAAGTAATAAATGGATCAGGAATAACGTTATGAATGGATGAGGAATAACGTTTCGAATGGATGAGGAATAACGTTATGAATGGATGAGGAATAACGTTATGAATGGATGAGGTGAGGAATAACGTTATGAATGGATGAGGAATAACGTTATGAATGGATGAGGAATAAAGTTATGAATGGATGAGGAATAACGTTATGAATGGATGAATGAATGAATGAACGGCTGGATGAGGAATGAAAGGATGAACTAATGAGAAATGAAAAGATGCATGATGAATGAAAGGATGGATGAGGAATGAAAAGATGAATGGATGAGGAATGAAAGGATGAACGGATGAGGAATAAATGACTAATGAATTGATGAGGAATGAATAACTAATGAATTGATGAGGAATGAATGACTAATGAATTGATGAGGAATGAATGACTAATGTTTGGATGAGGAATAAATGACTACAGCATGGATGAGGATTGAATGACTAATGAATTGATGAGGAATGAATGACTAATGAATTGATGAGGAATGAAGGACTAATGTTTGGATGAGGAATGAATAACTAGAGGATGGATGAGGAATAAATGACTAATGAATGGATGAGAAATGAAGGACTAAAAAATTGATGGGAATGAATGACTAAGGAATTGATGAGTAATAAATGAGTTATGTATGGATGAAGGATGAATGGGAAAAGGATGAATGAATGAAGGATGGATGAATGGATGATTGGATAAATACCTCATAGGGCAGATGAATGTGATATGAGTTTGTTGACTGTAAAGAATCTTTTTATTTGTATTTATCCAGAGTCCAGCCATCTTAGACAGGACGTCTATCACCTAAAACAGTATTCTTATTAAAATTGGTGAGCGCAACTGAAGAGAGGGCTCGGTGGTGTCGCCCCCAAAAGCAAAAAACATTTTGTTTAATTTTCATTTTACTTTAATAAAAAATGTTCTCTATTAGCAAACATTATTTTTGTAATCATTCTAATATTCTTTTTCTAAATACTCTATTTCTAGAATAATTCTGGAATAATAAAAGAAATCAAATTATATATTTTAGCACCAAACTAGATTTATTTATTACCACTGTATAGTCTGTATAGAATGAAAAATAATGTGAATTAATAATAAAAAGCATTGTCATCCCATTCATTACATTTTGTTTTATTATGGTATACATTCAATCCCCCTTCCTCCCCCCTTTGCCCATTAGTCTATAAATATACGAAACATAAATAACACAATATTTTTGTTCAGATTTTAAAACATGTTGCCCAGTTTTACAAATTTGTGGCTTATCTTTAGAGTTAATCAATTTATTTATATGGTTTCACTCCTATTTTAAAGTATTTTAGATAATTAGCAGTGGTTAGATTTACAGAATAGCGAGACATAGTTGAACCACTCAGACTTATTTAAACCACCTTAATTCATATTGGACTAACGCAAAAAATAAATGTGGGTTAACTTAGTCTATGCGGTTCAACTGTTCTTTATTTTTCATAAAATCTTGAATTATTTGGTTTATACTGAAATGTTTTACCTTGAAAGTTTTAAGATTATAGATAAATATATTTGGGAGCCAGAGATCCTTTACGAATTCAAGATTCATCGGCATATTCAAGGGTTCTATAGTTTAACCAGATATATATTCATTTATTCATTTATTCATTCATTCATCGGCATATTTAAGGGTTCTATAGTTTAACCAGATATATATTCATTTATTCATTCATTAATTTATTCACCTATTCATTCATTTATACTTTTAAGCATTCAATAGCATATTCGAGCATTTTACGTACCTAGTGAACTATCTATTTATTAATTCATTCATTTATTCATTCATTCATTTATTAATCAATTTATTTACTAATTTATTCATTCATTCATAATCTATTTATTATTTAACATTAATCCTTTTTCATTTTTCATTTTTCATCGATCTTTCATCATTCATCATTCATCATTTTTCATTTTTCATCGATATTTCATCATTCATCATTCATCATTTTTCATTTTTCATCGATCTTTCATCATTCATCATTCATCTAACATCATTCATCATTCATCATTCATCATTCATCATTCATCATTTTGCATTTATTATAATTTATTCATTTTTCATAATTCACCAAAACTTAATCATTATTCATTCATTTACCTTGAAAGTTTTGAGCTTATAAATTAATATATTTGGAAGCCAAAGATCTTTAATGAACTCTAGATTCATCGGCATATTCAGAGGTTCTAGTCATCCCAGATATTCATTCATTCATTCATTCACCTATTCATTCATTTCTTCATTCACCTATTCATATATTTATTCATTCCAGATATTTTTTCATTTATTCATCTTAGATATTAATTCATTTATTCATTCACCTATTCATCCAAAATATTCATCAATTTATTCATTCATGTATTCATTCATTTATTTATCCAAGATATTTATTTATTCATTCATTTATTCATTTATTCATCCCAGATATTCATCCCAGATATTCATTCATTTATTCATTTATGTATTCATTCATTTATTTATCCCAGAAATTCATTTGTTTATTCATTCATGTATTCATTAATCCTTTCATTCATGTGTTCATTAATCCTTTCATTCATGTATTCATTAATCTTTTCAGTTACATACTCATTCATCCTTTCACTCCTTCATTTATTTATGCCTTCATTAATTAACTAATTGATTTCTTTACATATTTATGCATTCAATCATCTTTTCAGTTCTTTATTAAATTCTTTATTTATTCCTTTATTATTTCATGCATTCATTTATTCATCCTTCATTTCATGAACTCGAATTCATTCATTCATTCCTTTATCTATTTATTAATGCATTCATTTACTTCTGCATTCATTCATTTTTTCTCATTTATTGATTTATTTATTCATGCATTTTTTCCTATATTTTTTCATTCATGCATTCATTTATTCGTCCTTTTATTAATATACTCATTTAAGCTTTCATGCATTCATTCAGTTCATCTATTCATCCTTACTTTCACCTTTTCATTCTTTTATTCACCCGTCTATTTATTTCTTCATTTCTTAATTTCCACATTTACCTATTTATTTATTCATTTGATATTCCATTCGTTCATTTCTTTATCTTTCTTTTAATTCATTAATTTCTTATTTATCAATTTAATTATTCAACCATTTTTAATTAATCTATTTCGCCTGTTCATTTATTAATCTATAATCATCTGTATATTTCTATCTATAAATGCATCTAAACATCAATTCATAAATTAATATACAGTGAGAACCAAAAAACTCTGGAATAGGAAGAAGACTTTTAGACTCAAGCTATAAATACTCAAATTAACTTGAGCCACAGTAATTTTGCAGTGTAAACAGACCCATAAGTTGCTAGTAATACTGTTTGCTTTGTGACAACAACAAATGCATTTAAAATTATTGCTTTCTTGTTGTCTTCATATTACACAGTTTTCTTGTTCTATATAATAAAAATCCAAATTTGTCTATAATTTACATCTAAACATCAATTCATCTATAAATCTGCTAATGAACCAAATAAAGTGTATCTGGTATCCCTGATGAGTTCTCTATATGTCCCATCTGATCCAACCAGTCCTTCCTCACTGTCAACCTTCTCTCCACCCACTCCACGTTGAAGTAGGTGGAGAAGGTTATACTGTAATCCTTGTCATTGATCCGGAGAACTTCGTCGATATCGATCCCTGGAGATTAAAGGGATTACAGGTGCAAGTTCAAGTGAACCTCAGATTTACAAGAGTACCATTTAAACCACTTTGACTGATTACGGAGGACGGACTTATCCTTATTTAAAAATTCTAATTGTTAAACAATTTGTTTCTAAAATATTTTATATTAAAAAATATCAATATTTACTTTCTAGAAGTAGCAGAAAGCGAGCTGTGTTGAGTTAAAAGTTTTGGGCACTTTGAACACCATTTAGTAGATATAAACACGGATTTCTCTGGCCTCGATAATCTGTCATAGGTTTAAAAGGTTCCATTGTAAATCCGACATTGCCCTCTTTACAAGGAGGGTCACATGAAATTCCGCTCACAATCCCTTTAAAATAAGTTTGAAATGAAAATCTTAAATTTTAAAAATAAAAAGATTTATAATTTATAAAAAGATTACTCTCGAGACAAAAATGATTCAGTTTTTGACCTCTGAAAGGCTCCTCCCAAAAGTAAGAAAAATGTGATAAAAAATTAACGAAGCACAGAACAAAATGGTAATTTATTAATAAATACTAAATGTGTCCCTTACCGATATATATCTCGTTAGTTGAGTCCACGAATGGAAGTTCAAATTTTGAATATTCATCAGGGAGACAGATAGACTGCAGGACAATCGATCAATCAATTTACATGGATAAACCAAGCTAGCAAACCGGACACTAGTTTAAGGTATTAATCTGAGTTATAATGAGGACTATATCCAAGGTTTTATTTCTTAAAAAGTGTCAATTTGAAAACAAGGATATCCCCGTCATCAATGATCAGACTAAAGTTTAAAGATTACTTATTTAATTAAACTGCGAACTTGACACGCCATAAATGGAGGGTCACTTTAAATAACGCCTCCAGTCAATTTATAGAAGCAGGATTCTATACTATGATGAATTCTACAATTAAAATTGGGAATAATGGCAACAAAACAAAGTAAACTGGAAAATTGTTTCTTTAACTACTTCTTTAACGTTTTTTTTATCTGATATAAGACATTCCTACAAAGTTCCAAGGTAAAATATTTTGTAATGATTTTCATTGTACAATATACAATCAATAATGTATTGTACATAAAATGGACACAAGAATACAATACAGTACATATTATCGGTAGACAGTGGTAAAAAAAATACAATATACAATACCAATTGCCTTAAATATATAATGTACACAAGAATACAATATAAAATACAAATTGCATTATTTATATAGTGTACATAAGAATACAATATAAAATACTAATTGCCTTATTTATATAGTGTACATAAGAATACAATATACAATACTAATTGCCTTATTTATATAGTGTACACAAGAATACAATATACAATATTAATTGCCTTATTTATACAGTGTACACAAGAATACAATATACAATTCTAATTTCCTTATTTATATAGTGTACACAAGAATACAATATACAATACTAATTGCCTTATTTATATAGTGTACATAAAAATACAATATACAATACTAATTGTCTTATTTATACAGTGCACACAAGAATACATTATACAATACTAATTGTCTTAATTATATAGTGTACACAAGAATACAATAAACAATGCTAATTGTCTTATTTATACAGTGCACACAAGAATACAATATACAATACTTATTGCCTTATTTATATAGTGTACACAAGAATACAATATACAATATTAATTGCCTTATTTATACAGTGCACAAAAGAATACATTATACAATACTAATTGTCTTAATTATATAGCGTACACAAGAATACTATATACAATACTAATTGCCTTATTTATATAGTGTTCACAAGAATACAATATACAATACTAATTGCCTTATTTATATAGTGTACACATTACACAAGAATACAATATACAATACCAATTGCCTTATTTATAAAGTGTACACAAGAATACAATATACAATACTAATTGCTTTATTTATATAGTGTACACAAGAATACAATATACAATACTAATTACCTTACTTATATAGTGTACACAAGAATACAATATACAATACTAATTTCCTTATTTATATAGTGTACACAAGAATACAATATACAATACTAATTACCTTTCAAAAAAATAAAATAATGTAAATTAATATGTTTGATATGGAAAAAAGTCGGTGAATTTAAAGTCTTCTCTAGCAAAAATATTTAGTTGAGAGAAGAAAAAAATTACCCCGAACCTTTGTAAAGTCGAGTTTTCTTTTAAAATAAAACTTAAATTTTTTTTTTTGGTTTCTTAAATTTAATTTTTTATTTTTGCTGATTATCTACGGTGGTAGACGATACTATCAAAACAATGAAGACGACTTTGGTTTTAAATTTTGATTTATATCAAGCTTTTAAACAACTTTCCGAAGTTGCCGCTTGGGAAGCTACCCTTTGGAAAATGCCTTTGCGTAAGTGCATATCTAACACCGGGTAAGTACATAACTAACACCGGGTAAGTACATAACTAACACCAGGTAAGTAAATAACTAACACCATCCTATACACAAGAATTGAATTTGTATTGATTGAGCGTTGTATTCCTTTGATATTCCAGCGCTACATTTGAATCCTCGTTTAGAATTAGCATATTTGTAGCTTAGGGGCAAATACAGGAGTAACAGCCAACCTCTCATCCTCAGAGTATCTTCAGTACTTTCTAGATACAGTGAAACCCATAAAACTGTGGAATAGGAAGACGACATTTAAACAATATTATGTGTATTTGATGTTGTTATAAAGCAAATAGTTTTCCAGTAACTTGAAAATATCCTAATTAAGAGAAATGTGTCTGGGTTCACTGCACAGTCGTCCTATTTCAGAGTTTTATGAATCCCATTGTACAACTGAATCCGTGTGGGGGTCACACATTTACAAACATTGAACAAAAAAATAGTTGTTTAAATTTAAGACAGTGCTAACCATAGGGTGTTATAAATATTGCAAATATTAAGAGGATGCCAATATTAAGGCAGCAAAAGATTTATTTGCAACACCTGTGTCCGAATTTAATGAATTTAAGCAGCGTCTTACATCCGCCAAAAACCGGTTTCAATTAAGCACCGCTTAAATATTGAAACATTGAATACAATTTTAAGTGAATCAACCATATTTGAACCGCGGCTTAAATTTAAGCCGCCGCTCAAATTCTTTAAATTCGGCCTATGGATTTACAAGTTATTGTGTACAATAAGCATTATTATTATGTAAATTGTGCAATTAAACAATATTTATGTATGGTACACTTATATTTAAACATCATTATTACTATGCTTGGATCAATTAAGCGATTGATTGATTAATTGATTGATCAATTGATTCCTTTGATATTCCGGCACTGCACTTGAATCCTCCCTTGGAATATGCATACCGATAGGTCAGAGGAATACAGAAGAGTAGAATCCATCCACGCATCTTTAAAACTCAAAAGAAAACTACAGTGATAACCAGATTAAACCAGATCAAACCAATTAAACCAGATTAGACCAGATTAAACCAGATTAAACCAGATTAAACCAGATTAAACCAAATTAAACCAGATTAAACCAGATTAAACCAGATTAAACCAGATTAAACCAGATTAAACCAGATTAGACCAGATTAGCCCAGATTAAACCTGATTAAACTAGATTAAACCAAATTAAACCAGATTAAACCAAATAAAATTAGATTAAACCAGATTAAACCAGATTAGACCAGATTAGACCAGATTAGACCAGATTAAACCAGATTAAACCAGATTAAACCAGATTAGATTAGATTAGACCAGATTAAACCTGATTAAACTAGATTAAACCAAATTAAACCAGATTAAAACTGATTTAACCGGATTAAACAGATTTACCATTAAACCAGATTAAACTAGATTAAACAAGATTAAACAGGATTTAGCCATTAATTAACAATAAAATTCTTATGAAGACTTTTAAAATCAGGTATTAGTATTACAATGTTAATTCGTAACAAAGACGATTTAGAATTCGTCAATCAATTCCTAAGTGAATGTTCTAAAGTCTGAACTTTTGTATTGATCAAGCATATATTTGATTTTGATATCACGTATAGAGTTTCCAGCGGAAAATTATGGAAATTATGCGAAAAAACACTAAAATTTTACGAAAAAATACGATCCATTTAAAAGAGTCTTTTTCGGAATTGGCTGGCTCATGGCTAGCTGGATTTGTGTGAACGTACGTGGACGGACAGCACTCAGAAAGATAAATAGAGAAGTCTAATTTTTTTCATCAAACATTTATTGAAGTAAAGGAAGAAAAATTATTAATATGACATAATAAAACTTCAAATGTTGAGATCTCAGAGCAGAGAATTTTACAAATTTTGCACAATTAATTGTTGCAGCTACAACACTTATCTTTTTCGCGAAATTTTTGCATTTCGCATTTTCGGGAAAATTCTTTGTTTGAACATTTTGTTTGCGAAGTTCTGCATCGTTTTCGCATTATTTTGCTTCATTCATTTTCGCGAGAAAAAATGTGTAATTTCGCGATAAAGTTTGCGAAATGCTAACAAAAATGTTTAAATCCCCACTTTGGATATCTAGATTACTAGATCAAGTGTTTAAAATAACGATACTTTACACAAAAGTTCAGATCTTGGAGCTAATTTTCAGAATTGTAGCAGCTACAAAATTACAAAGGAATTTTTGTAGTTTATGTTTGTTTTAGAAAATCAAGAAAATTTTGGTCAAATTGGGAATTGGGGAAGGCACTTCACAAGTGCATCAAAGTTTTAAATTTCATAACTGTATTCTGTAAAAAATTAGCTATTTTCAATCTAAATAGGAAAATAAACGTTTGGTTTGTTTTTGGGATAATTTTTCTCTTAGGGTCAAAATTTGGCATATTAGAAAAGAAAATATTTAGAAAAAACTTAGCAGACTTTTGTGGAACATCTTAAAATGAAAAAAATAACATTTAAAAGTATTCAAAAGCAAACCAAGCTTTTTCTCATAACTCTAGCTGTAGATCGTATATCAAGCTGGTAAATGGATATCAAGTCAATCTAATACCGGGGGGATAAAGGGTTTAGCTAGCTGTAGGTCGTATAACAAGCTGGTAAATGGATATCAAGTTAATCTAATACCGGGGGGATAAAGGGTTTAGCTAGCTGTATGTCGTATAACAAGCTGGTAAATGGATATAAAGTCAATCTAATACCGGGGGGATAAAGTGTTTAGCTAGCTGTAGGTCGTATAACAAGCTGGTAAATGGATATCAAGCCAATCTAATACCGGGGGGACAAAGGGTTTAGCTAGACCATTTAAAATAAAAACTGCTCAGAGTCTTTTAGAGAGCTGTTTGCAAAAGGTTTATAAAAGATGCAGGTTTCTTTTGGTCTATGTACTCCTAAAGAATACAGAAAACTACTGTACAACTATAAGGTTATATAGAGGTTAACATGTGTTTTTAATGTATTATATGTTTTCCAAAAGCTACCTAAAGGGAGTGTCTGGCTAGACATGGTAGTTGAGCTGAGAATGCAGTATTGTAGAGAGATCTTTTAGAATTCATTTGAGACCTATCAGACGTTTTTACGATGCATATTTGTCAGCAAGAGCGCAAAATCAATCTTTAAAATCCTCATAGATTCTCTATTTTGGAGGGATGATTTTGAAAATCGGGTTTATAGAAATTATTCAATAATTACGACGAAAAATGTAACAAAAAATCTGTAGTAAAAAGTACAGATTATTCCGAAACAGTGTGACCCATTAGGCATGATTTCTTCTATTTTCATTCGTTTATATATTGTGAATAATTTTTATATAATTATAAGAACCCTTTGATTCATAATTGATATTTTATAGCTGACATATTAGTTAAAAATTTAACTAACCCTTTATTGTTCAAACAATAACCTTAACAATCAGTGTCAATTTATTTTTCGGAAAAATTAGACGATATTTTAACATAGATATGTTTCTAATGTTTAGAATTTAGATAAACCATTTGTTCACAATGTAAATCATCTTCAGAGGAATTTTAACTATTTTCTTTGAGTAACAGTCTATAAATAAGACTAAAATTTGAATTTTTGAAAATTGAAGATATGATGTTTCATCATTACATTTTAATCTTTAAACTAACACCGATTGCAAGTTTGTCTCAAATTCAAATTTGAGACTTAATTAAGAATTTTTTATCTCTAATTTATAAGAGTTTAGTTTTGAAGTTTAGCTTTGAGTATAATTTATTTCCATGTTTCACAATGTATTACTAATGCTTCCACATTAAATATCTGCAATGCTCATTGTTATTCAGAACAAGTATAAAGGTAGAAAATAAAAGGATAGAATGGTAAACATTTTTATCCAATTTTAAAAGGTTATTAATCATCATTTGTGCAGCTAATTTCATGTTCCGACATTTATCCCGACAAAACCGAATTTTTATCTCATTTTTGCGGATTTTCATAAAATTATGTATTCTACATTTTAAATTATAAGTTATTTTTTTACCAGTTAATAGCAAAAGGTTCTTTAATATCCTTTAATATTCTTTTAATCAGAATAATAATTATAGGGTGTCCCACGAAACATGACTGTTGGTGAATAGTTCTGAATGTCTTCTTCCATAATTTGTTAATTTGTTTAATACCAAAGACAGTAAAAATATTATATAGGTGTCATTTTAAACTAGAATTAATTTTAAAATAAAATATACTTGAGCAAAAGATTTTTGAACGAAATAAACTGCAAACAGCCTTTAATATTTAATACAGTGTATGGAAGACGACATTCAAAACTATTTACCAAATGTCATGTTTCGTGGGACACCCTGTATGTAACTAAACATGCACCTTGTGTTTACTGATGGGCAAAATTGTATGTTAATCCAGTTTTTTTTTAATTATATGCAATATCTTTACTCTGTAAACTCAGTACTTGACTTATCACTTAGGACATTATGTTTTTTTACTGAGATTTTTATTTAATTTCATTTATTTTTATCATGAATTAATTTTTAAAAAAGTTATTGAGTTATAGCTAAACTTCTTCTAATCACCATATCTTTGCTACCCCATGTAGATTAGACTATTAAAATTTCAACTACAGTTAAACCCTAAATGAGCGATATATCGAAAGAATTTATCAAATGTCGTCTTGACAATTTTTCAATGGGTTTTATACTATTTTATGTAAGTCTCAGTAATTGCGAAAATAAACAAATAGCCATGAATATGCTGGAACAGTTTTAAAGAGCTCAATATAATCATTTAATAAAAAACTAAATATCTGCAACATTCCATTATCAGAAAGTGAAGAATACGACATTTGATGAATTCTTTCGATGTATTGCTTATTAAGGGTTTCACTGTAAGAATTCTGTTAGATTATATAGTAAAACATAGAAATATCAATAGTTTACGCTAGCAGGTTGCAAAGATATAGGGATTATAAAAAAAAAATCAGTTTTTGTCTTAAATTGAAAACAAATCCCGGCAAAAAAAAAACCATTTAGTCCCGTAAAATAATACATAGCGGTAGAATCAATAGATATAAGCATATCTGTACAACATATAATTCTTTTATTTTGGTTCTCATAATGTTTATTTAATATCAAACTATTCAAGGATTCATTATATATGTAAAAATATTTTGCAATATTTTTAAAACAATTTTCACAAAACTGTACGTAATACAACCTTTGTTTATAGATAAGTTCAATAAAATAGTTCAAACTTAAATTGATGTGTCATAACTTTTTTGGCAGGCAGAGGTTTCTTAAAAATCTGAATATTTAATGTTTGATGATCTTAAGTTCGCTCTTCTATAAGTTTACTCTTATAAAAGATAATTGCTTCAGTTTAGCTATTTTGTTTTTTTGCCAATTATATTTTACAACAATATAAAAGGACAAATTCAAAAATCTATATGATCCTTTTTTAAAAAACCCATTTTTATTTGAGAGTGTAAATTGGTGCTGAATTTAAAATCTACAATCTACCATGCGTATAAAAGTTTTACCTGGACTTTTATTTGTTATTTCTGATATTTAGGTTCAGGGCATCTGCAGAGCAATATAAATTTATTTTTTATTTTTTTATTTTTTATTGTTTTTTTTGTAGTCACATACAGTAAGAGCCAGAAAACAGTGGAGTTTTCGTCGTATTCCTTTTTAGATTATGAAATATTGCTAAAGTTTTTGTTAATTCAAATTGAACTATTATTTAAAAGTTTCCAGCGCTTTTTTTGAATAAATTATTCTAAATTAAAAAAGTGAAGTTCTCAATGTATGGAATTTAAGCTATTATAAAATGCATTGCTTTTAAGAAATCATAATATCAAGATTTTTTATCAATTCATATTTTTATTACCTAATCATACAGAGATCAGTTTCCCAGTGAAGTTTTAACCATTATGTCCCGTGGAGCTGAATAGTTCCCACCAAGCGCATTGAGGAATTTATGCCGCGGTCGTTTCACGTGCTTCAGAATTTTCAACTTGGTTCACCCCTTCAGCGCCCCTTGCTTCATTGTTTCTACCCTCTAAGCAGAATCATCTATAATAAGTAATGTTATATTTGTATTCTGTATTTGCTATTCGATGTATATTGGCTATTATACAAACATTTAACATACATTTGGACCAATCTACTACAGGGTAATTGTAGGGGGGGAATCAACCAGATTAATTGATTTTAAGTTTAAGCTATTTGTAGAGCCGTAGGTGTAATTTTTAGTGAACCTTCCTGATTCACGACCTTTATCTGATAGATAATGGGGAAGAAATCGTTGTTTTTTGTTTAGCTTGAAAGTTGTTTAGTTTTCACAATTTCCTTAATTTTTTCTGCGGCAACAAAACGCAAATGAAAATAATGATTTTTCAAGGAGAAAACATCTCATCTCATTCTTTAGCAGAGAAAGCTTGCAAGGTACCGTTGTGAATTAATCGGTCACTTGTATGTATAAAGGGTCACTTAAAATTGTGTTAACAGTCCCTTTAATTAATTCAGCATTTATATAAACGTACCTGAAGGTAAATAATTTTAAATTTCAAAACTTAGATTATTTGATCCAACAGAATTCATAGTTTAAAATATCAAATATCTACGACATTTTATTGCAAAGATAGAGGGATTAATAAATCAGAGTTTGTGACAAAGACTCAATTCCTTTATGCAAAATTAATTGTGCGACTTCATGACGTCACAGCTCTTCTAGTTTTGAATTTACACACCAGTATGAGAAAACCAAAATATGATTATGCATATCTATATATATATATAGAGAGAGAGATGCATAATCATATGTATATATATATATATATATATATAGAGAGAGAGATGCATAATCATATGTATATATATATATATATATATATTGCATTTAATGAAATCAGCATTTTTCTTCTTCTTTGTAATATATCTTTAAAGGGAGTGACCGGCAATGTATGGTGGTTAAACTGAGTATGCAGTATTGTTGACAATTTGAGACATATAAAACGTTTCCACGGTGAGATTGAGTGCATAGTCGACGTTCAAAATCATGAAATTGGGTAGGTACGTTTTCAGAATCTGGTTTTTAAAAATATCAAAATAACGAGGATGAAGCAAAAATTCTACAGTAAACTAATTAGATGTTCAGGAACATATTTCTAAAAAGAAATTTGTCAATAAATCAATGTTAGAATAAATAATTTCGTTTTCATAAATGTATTGAATATTTAATTTTCTTTGAATTTGTTCGCAGATTTCTACAAATTCTTCTAATGTCGTATTTTCATTAAAAATTCCAGGAAATCTTTGTGACTAATGAGAAATTACAGAAACTAATGATTGAATAAGATTACTTATTTTCGATGATAAGATTAATTTTTATTTTTTAAACCTGTTCATAAACAACTAATTAGTTTTCGTCGTCGTTATTTAATAATTAAAAAAACCGATTCTGAAAAGTGAAAACGTACCCACCCAAATTCATGATTTTAAACGTCGACTTCGTAGAAACGTTTTACGTGTATCAAATTAATTTTTAAAAACTTGTCCACAATACTACATATTCAGTTTAACCACCATACATTGCCGGTCACTCCCTTTCCTTTATGAATAAAAACAGACTTCAATCTTACGTGGAATTTACTTTAGTTTGACGTGACATTTATATTTGAGAAGATAAAAGGTTTTCCTTGTCTTTGCAAACATTCTATTTAACTTCGAGAACTCTTGCAGAGAAATGGACTTCACAACGCTTTCAATTTTCAACATCAAAATCAACTCAGAACTTTGAAAAGAGAGTTTGTGTTCCGTTTTGTCCAGGCTTTATCAAAATTTCATTCAGAATTTGAGGAAGTGGGGGTTTTAAAGATGCAAATTAAGAGAAAGCCTAAAAAGATTCAAGACTTATAATTTGAAAAGTAATTAAAAAAATGTTTACCAACGGAATTTAGTCTTTGCAACTCTTTATCGTAGACATTCTGTTCTATGAAATATTCTATGTTTGAAATATTAAAGGTTTACATCCTAAGGTAAAAAAGATATAAAGGGATTTGAACATCAGAGTTTGTGGGAAAGACTCAATTCCTTTGGTCCTTTGGTTAAAAATCTAATTATTTCCATTCTGGGTGAATTAAAGTAATTTGGGATTTATTCAAATACATCATTAAATTTTAAATGTGATTAATTAAGCTGGAGTAATTAATCAAAGTAAGTTTCAAATTATAATTAATGGATGGATAGATAGATAGATAGATAGATAGATAGATAGATAGATAGATAGATAGATAGATAGATGGATAGATAGATAAATTAATTAAGCAGATTTTTCTCCCCAACTTTCATTATTAAAAATAATCAACTGCATAAAGCAACTATTATAAACAAAAGGCAAAAAAAAAATTTAATTTAAAAAGTTCACTTATTAAGGTTTATTTAATTTTTTCAAAGAATCTTAAAAAATGTTTTTACGTTTTACATTTTACATCAACTATTAAAGGGACTGTACACGTGGAAGTGGAAGTGACCCTCCATGCAAAAATGACAATGTCTAAAAAGCAATGCAAATGTTATCAGAATAAAAACACTTTAACTAATCAGAAAAACGACTGTGTCTTCCACATTTTTGATCAGATTAATGTTTCAATGCTACCATTGTATTTAACTTTTGAATTTAACTTCCCTCTGAATATATCAAGTTTAAAGAATTTAACTTCCCTCTGAATATATCAAGTTTAAAGAATTTAACGTCCCTCTGAATATATCAAGTTTAAAGAATTTAACTTCCCTCTGAATATATCAAGTTTAAAGAATTTAACTTCCCTCTGAATATATCAAGTTTAAAGAATTTAACTTCCCTCTGAATATATCAAGTTTAAAGAATTTAACTTCCCTCTGAATATATCAAGTCTAAAGAATTTAACTTCCCTCTGAATATATCAAGTTAAAGAATTTAACTTCCCTCTGAATATATTAAGTTTAAAGAATTTAACTTCCCTCAGAATATATCAAGTTTAAAGAATTTAACTTCCCTCTGAATATATCAAGTTTAAAGAATTTAACTTCCCTCTGAAAATATCAAGTTTAAAGAATTTAACTTCCCTCTGAATATATCAAGTTAAAAGAATTTAACTTCCCTCTGAATATATCAAGTTAAAGAATTTAACTTCCCTCTGAATATATCAAGTTTAAAGAATTTAACTTCCCTCTGAATATATTAAGTTTAAAGAATTTAACTTCCCTCTGAATGTATCAAGTTTAAAGAATTTAACTTCCCTCTGAATGTATCAAGTTTAAAGAATTTATCTTCCCTCTGAATATATCAAGTTTAAAGAATTTAACTTCCCTCTGAATATATCAAGTTTAAAGAATTTAACTTCCCCTGAATATATCAAGTTTAAAGGTCCTCCGCATAAAAAATGTTAAACTATGCTTCATGTTAATTACGTTTACTGCCATATATACTTATTTTCCTGCAACAGTCTTATTGCATACATTCCCCTAGCCTGCAAAGGGCTTTCTTGCATTCAATATCCGCCCCCCTTCTTCACAATTATTCCCCCACTCTTTAAGTAATTGCATTATGAAGGTAGGTTTCTGGGGGAAAATCCATCCTGAATTAAGAAAAATGAATCTTTTTGCATGAAACCATGATACAATGTCCTAGAAACCATGATACAATATACAAGAACTCATGATACAATATACTAGAAACCATGATACAATATACTAGAAACCATGATACAATATACTAGAAACCATGATACAATATACTAGAAACCATGATACAATATACTAGAAACCATGATACAATATACTAGAAACCATGATACAATATAGTAGACACCATGATACAATATATATATATATATATATATATAAGATTTAGAGTAAAAGATATAAGATACAAGATATAGGATACAGGATATAGGATACATGATACTGGATACAGAATACAGGATACAGGATACAGGATATATGATATAGGATAGAGGATAAAGGATACAAAATATAGGATACAGGATACAGAATACAGGACAGGATATAGAATGCAGAATAAAGGATACAGGATGTGTGATATAGGATACAGAATATATAAGACACATGCAGGATACATGATACAGGATACAGAACATAGCTAATTGCATATAAGGTACAGGATATAGGATACAGGATATATGATTCAAAATATAGGATACAGGATATAGGATATAGGTTACAGGATATAGGATACAGGATATAGGATAAATTATATAGGATACAGGATATGGTATATAGGATACAAGACATTGGATAAGAAGAACATAGGATAAAGGATATATAGGATACAGAAAATATGATAAAGGATAAAGGATACAACATACAGTCACGGTGTCTTGAACATTGATCAAAGAACACCAAGATATTTTTTCAACTATGGAGTTTCTAATCCATTATTTACAAACAATATGTTTGTTTACAAATGCTTAAAAGGTTCCAAACTAACAAATCCTTTTGGGGATTCTACTCCTAGCCAACCAGGGGAATCTTTTTTAATGATAAAATAAACCAATATTCTTTTTTAGATTTAAACAAAATAATCAGTTTTCTAGATGCTATCTTGCATTGTTCAAAATACCATGTATTGCAGTGTTAACCCGTAAATTATCAGAATGATTGTCGGCTTCGGTATATCTTTAATTTAGAAGGGCCCCCAAGATTTGTGTTTCTCATTGCTATATTAATACAAAACTTTTCAGGACACATTTTTCAAATATGAAACTAAAGTACTGTATTATTTGGGGGGGGGGGGCAACAAGACTTGTGCCCCCTCCCTGTAAGATCAAGCTTATTGCGAAATGCGTGTGCAAAGGGCTATGCCCCCCTTATTAACACTATATGCCCCCCCACATAAACTTGATTTGAATGCAAAAACGAATTTGTATATTTTAAACCAGAGTTGTTGTTGTGTTTATTGAGCATTGCATTTCTCATCAGAAAGTTAAAGTTTGTTTAAAAATAAACAGAAGCCTGGAATATAACTTTGTTTATTTATGATGTTTTCTACAATTATTCTGCCTAAAGGATAAACCAATACTTTTTATCTAACATTTTTTTGATGCATTAAATCTAAATATTTTAAAAACTTTTACATGTCTTGTATTGAAACTAGAAATCAGACATACTTTCATTGCAATCCTCAATCAGTAGAACTAACCTCGATAACTGATAATTCAGTGAATCTATACTTTCTGTGCAATATCCCTGATAGCGCTGTAAATTTGAACTCTCTGTGTACTAATCTCTTCTAACTCAGTAAACAAATAAACTCTATGACCTGAACCCAAATCCTGAATAAAGTTGTAAACTTGTTAAGTTCTAATAGTCAGTTTTATCCAAGTTGACAAAACTTATATCTTCGTCTAACAGCACAATTACTTTATTTATATTTGTTAATTCGTTTGCCCATGGAAAATGCTCAAAACGCGTTTAAAAGTCTTAAAAAATCGGTTGCATTTTTGTGCAGTACCTACCGCGGCGTAGAGGGTGATCTTTTGTACGATACCAGAACTTTGCTGATTTTCTAACTGTTTTAGAGAAGGATTGAGCAACATTAAATAAAATGATGAAGATTTGCCCTGATTTTAAGTTCTTCCTTCTTTTAAGACACAGATCAACATTGTTAAATATAACATTTCTTAATTTTCCTAAAAACACAACTCCACCCCTTGGACATAATAAGTTTTATTCTTAATTAAAATCATGTTTCGGTAATCCTTTCAAGTTCTGTACGTTTCATAACTTTCAATAACTAAATAGATTTTCATAAAAAATAAAAAAATGTTCAATTGTAAGATTACACTTTTTGAGTTTAAATTGAGGGTTTTTTGAGTCTTACACTAACATTAATAGTTTGATTTAAAATTCTGAAAATATAAGAAGAGGCGAGGATTGATAGAAAATTAAATTTTTTTTTGAAAAATAAAAAAAGAACCTATGAGTTGAGATATCCATGGGAACTGCAGGTGTATCCCTAGGACAGAGTTCAGGGTTGATTCTTTCTCCGGGTCATACAGAGGACTGTAGTACCTGGAGCCATGTATTCTCATGGCAGCCTCTACATAGATCCTCCAGCCTCCAGCATCCATAACCTGGAGAACCTAATATATCCTGGTATATAGGAGCCTAAACCTAATATATCCTGGTATATAGAAACCTAAACCTAATATATCCTGGTATATAGGGACCTAAACCTAATATATCCTGGTATATCGGAACCTAAACCTAATATATCCTGGTATATAGGAACCTAAACCTAATATATCCTGGTATATAGGAACCTAAACCTAATATATCCTGGTATATAGAAACCTAAACCTAATATATCCTGGTATATAGGAACCTAAACCTAAAATATACTGGTATACAGGAACCTAAACCTAATATATCCTGGTATATAGGAACCTAAACCTAATCTATCCTGGTACAAAGGAACCTAAACCTGATATATCCTGGTATATAGGAACCCAAGCCTGATATATCCTGGTAAATAGATGACTAAACCTAATATATACTAGTATATAGGAACCTAAACCTGATATATTGTAAGAATTATACAAATTCAACCTTTTAGAATTTGTACAATTCCGTATGAGAGCTCTCCAATCGAACAGTTCTCATTCTCATTTTTATCTGAAAAATAATAAACATTTTAAGGTTACTATTACTACGCCGAATGATATGGAAGTGAAGCTAAAAAGGCCTTACAAGGCCCGATGAAAACTTGGTACCGCGCCCCGCTCGTCTACCGCTCCTACGCGCTCTTTTTGCGCTTACTCGTACCGGCCTCATGCTCGTACCAAAAAGTTTATAGTTTTAAAGGGACTATTCCTGACAATTTGGATGAATCATCCAAATTGCTGTACTCGAAGAATTAGGGTGGTTTAGCCAGCCTCAGAATATCCTGGTATATAGGAACCTAAACCTAATATATCCTGGTTTATAGGAACCTAAACCTAATATATCCATGGATATAGGAACCTAAACCTAATATATCCAGGTATATAGGAACCTAAACCTAATATATCCAGGTATATAGGAACCTAAACCTAATATATCCTGGTATATAGGAACCTAAACCTAATATATCCAGGTATATAGGAACTTAAACCTAATATATCCATGGATATAGGAACCTAAACCTAATATATCCTGGTATATAGGAACCTAAACCTAATATATCCTGGTATGTAGGAACCTAAACCTAATATATCCAGGTATATAGGAACCTAAACCTGATATATCCTGGTATGTTGGAACCTGAACCTAATATATCCATGGATATAGGAACCTAAACATAATATATCCAGGTATATAGGAACCTAAACCTAATATATCCAGGTATATAGGAACTTAAACCTAAAGAGTTTTAAAGTATATTTTAAATTAAATCAGTCCCAAATTAAAAAATCTCTGACGACATTCATGGATAAAAAAGACAGAAGATGACAATTATTCCACTATTTCTGGTTACACTGTATCTACAATCTACATATATCTGTATATTTCTTATTTTCTATTTCTCTCTGTTGATCTGAGTCTGATTCTTCTAAATGGCTGACTCAGTAATTGTCTTGAAGTCCTATTACTCTCTATTGTATGAACTGTTTATGAGTCACCAAAACTAAACTAAATAGGAAATTTTCTTTTTTTTCCCAAAAGCAATGGTTAGAATAGTATCTTTAATTCGTTCCTTAATGATTGGTTAAATTCTCATAACGGTTTCTATCACAAACACTTATAATTCTTCGCGTTCGTTAACGAGAATTTCCGTTAAATATTAGAAACATTCATTCACTGCAAACCAAGATGCGCTTTTACGCAAAAATCAAGCCGTATTTTGCCAATCACTCTGTTATTCATTTAAAACTTAACCTAGAAATAAGCGCTTACATTTTTAACATGTATATGGCTAGGGCTACAAAAAAAGTCAAGATGAATTTTTGAGGTAACCGAAGGCCAAAACGTTGCAACATTTTAAAGTCGTGGCTGTCTAAACATTTGATGACCAAGTTTCAGGTTTTATAGTACATTCTTCATTAAATTGTCTTCAGGACTTAGATGTATGTCGAAATGACGACATAAGAATGAATGAATTCTGTATACAATCGTCTCTGAAATCTCATTCTTTGAGGGTAACCCTGTACATTCATGCGCCTCTTTATATCGAGGGTCGCGTGAAATTAAGTTGAAGGGACTGTTGTCACGTGATACAGACAGAAATCACGTGACTAGTATACTGCACTGCCATTGGCAGAAGTTCTGGTAACGTTATACGGACTATATACGGACTATATGTAATAATATTATCGATTATATTATATTAAAAATGCTCAATAATACAAAAAATATAACAGGAGCAAATCTGAGATTCTCAGGCTTCTGTAAGATATCGTCGTTTTCAGATTTGTTGCGTATTTGTTGAATATGATCTGTTTAATATTTCAACATTGCATACATATGAATTTTCGTATAATTTTGACACAGTTTTATATCAATTTCTCGAGACAGAAACATCAGATAGATGTTTTATATGTATCGTTCAACGCCTGAGATTCTCAGGTTACATTCTACACCCCCTTTCATTTTTCCTGGGGCATGTTCTTTTTCCCTTTGTTATTGGTAAAAGGAAATGTGCGCTCAAATAAAATGTGTTCAAAGGTAAACTTTATTTTTGTCCAATGATTCTCAACCTTTTCTCAACGCTCCTTCATCTTTCCGGTAGCGTCTGATCCATTCATGGTTCAGTCATGTGCTTGGTGACCAATCAGAACCAATAGAAAATGCAACGGCGGTATAATCTTCTTCTAAACAAGGATGTTCTAATATTTCCATCTTTGGATTAATACATATAATGTTCTGAGAATGTTAGTGTCTGTCCTGTATACTATGACGTATTTCTATCTTTTCTTTTCCTTTTCTCTTTTTCCTTTATATATACCTAAACATTCTATTATTGGTATTCAATACACACTGTCATAATTGGGTTTACTAATATACAATATATATATATATATATATATTGTACATACTATAAATATATATATAATATATACAATACATAAAGCTCTCTACATATAGTATAATCTTCAAGAAGGATTCATTATGTGTACTATCCCGTGTTGCCGTCAATAGTCTGTATGTTTACAGTACAACTTGTTTGAAAGCCGATCCGGTACTTCAAATAAACCACAGTTTTCAGTGCCAAATTTTTTTTTCTTACTCTCTTATTTTTTAAACACTTTTTTGTGCAATAAAATTAATTTATACTTCATAATAAAATTGCACGTAAAATCCCGTGCTGCCATTTGTTAGTGTTTTAGTGTTGTAATGAAAAACCTCTTATCAATATTTGGCATTTGCCTATTTACCAAAATATGTTAATAATATTTAAAAACGTTTTTTATTTATTTTTGGCACATTATTTTATTAAATTGGTATATTTTTTATATTTAATTTTGAAAAAGAAAACAATCGAGAAAAAAAAATCAGAATCAAGATTTCTTTACTTTTCATTTAAGCAACCCGCCCTTTTTTAAATTATTTTTTATGTTGATCATTTTTGCTTACATTGATTGGAATGCAAATTCAAATATTTGTTCGGATTAACCCTCTTCAAACTTTTTGTTTGTATTTCTACCGCTTCTCCATGTCCTATCCTATCTTAACCTATCCTATCCTATCCTATCCTATCCTATCCTATCCTATCCTATTCTATCCTATCCTATCCTATTCTATCCTATCCTATTCTATCCTATCCTATCCTATCCTATCCTATCCTATCCTATCCTATCCTATCCTATCCTATCCTATCCTATCCTATCCTATCCTATCCTATCCTAACCTATCCTATCCTATCCTATCCTATCCTATCCTATCCTATTTTATCCTATCCTATCCTATCCTATCCTATCCTATCCTATCCTATCCTATCCTATCCTATCCTATCCTATTCTATCCCCTATCCTATCCTATCCTATCCTATCCTATCCTATCCTATCCTATCCTATCCTATCCTATCCTATCCTATCCTATCCTATCCTATCCTATCCTATCCGTCTGTCTGTCTGTCTGTCTGTCTGTCTGTCTGGGTGTCTTTCTGTCTATCCATCTATCAGGATTTTCCTGCATTGCGGAATTATTTCATATTTGCATACTGAGAGAAAGAAGAAACTATTTCATCGGGTTTCCTTATGCATACCACATGCATAAGTGCAAAGGTTTAAATATTAAAGCAAACCGATTCACACTGAACCACACTCACTACACTGAACCACACTCACCACACAGAAGGCCGGTGAAGGTTAGGTTAGGTTTTCTTTCCCTTAAGGGCTATTGAGAATCTATTCTGAAAATAGAAACAAAAAATTCCAAAATTAGAAACAAAAACATCAAGATGCGAAGAGCATTTTTATTTTCTTATGAAAAAAATCACAAATTTGACTATAGTATATATAAAAGAAAAGAATAATTGTTTAGAATTTACACATGTTTGGTATCATAATTCATTAATCATAATGATATCATATTTTAGACTGAGGCATTATATTATTGGTCTTTTTCACTTGCTTTTTTGTAAGTTACTAATGCTTTTTTTTATAATTTAAAAACTATCCCTTTTAAAAATAAATTAAAATATAAATGTAGCCTTTTTGGTAGAGGGATGCAAATAGATTCTAGAATTTGTACACTCTCAGTACAGCTGTATTCTGACATCACAAGTGTTAATTCAGTTTTTGTGTCCGTCAAAATTGTTAATAATAGTAATAACTTTAGAATAAAGTGTTTTAAATAAATTAACCATAAAAATAAGTGCAATTTGATCTGTTCTTTATTTTCTGTTTTTACACTCTTCTATTTAATCTTGGAAAACGTGTCAACTAATGTGAAAAAATTTCGTTTTCCTTGTTATATTTGACACTTGTGACGTCTTGTATCATATTTCCATTTCTCTGTTGCCACCTATTGTACTTGATAATATATTTGGAGGGAAGTGGTTAATATGTACAGAACTACAGACCATGCCTATACTTGTAATAAGAATACGGTTACATAGTTTACACAAATACTGTATTCTTAAAAGAAATATAGAAACAGCCTGTACAGTGTACAATGTACATAGTGAAAATCATAATAAAACACAAACAACACACATCATAGATTCATATCGTACTGGAGAAAAGGAATAAAGCCATCAGGTCAGCTAAGCAAATGTAATTTAAGATTTTAGGAACAAGAATTAGAGAAAGAAAGAAAAGAAACAAGAAAAAGAAAAAGAAAGAATTAGGAACATTAAAGGTTCATAAAAAAGGAACAATACAATACCACGAATGTTGGGTACGTTAGGAACAAAAAAGAAAGTACTAGATCAGGAACATCAAAAGAGGATTGAGGAACAAAAAAACTATAAAATGGAAACTATAACAGAAACATTGACTTTTGGAACAAGAGACTTAGCTAGGAACAATATATGCACACTAAGAACATACGCGAATAATAAATGAAATCTGAAATACACAATCTAAGGAGCAATTAAAAGAGTGTAGCTTCTCATAGTTTTGATGAGAAAACTAATTTATTTGGGTACATATTAAAAACTCAAAACAATTATTGCTCTTTGAAATAACTCTTAATATAAGACGAGTTATGATTCAAAACATAAAAGATTTATCTCTTTCACGGTGTACAAGGGTCAATTTGAATTCGAACCGCGCCCGACCCCTTGTAACGATCTTAGTGACCTGCGGCAAAAACCGCCCGGCCCCTTTGTAACAATCATAGTGAAGTGTAAACTACGGCAAGTACCGGCCCGACCCTTCCCTATGCCGGCTCGGTTTCAACTTTGATAGCGCGGCCGAACTTTTTGTAGTACCTGGCCTATCATAGGCCTATTTGACCTTCCTCACCAGCTTAGTTTAGTTTGCTTTGATTGATTTCTTTGAATTGTAATGTCAGAACTTAAGAGAAATTTCCATCTTTGTGATCAACCTATCAAATACTTCAAGGTTCCCCTAGCTCCAGTGGCCTAAATTCAAGTCTGCAAATACTATTTAGAATTAGCGTTGTGTTACCTAATTTCAATGGTCAAAATAAAGTTACGTCTGCCAGAGTATATGTTATGTAAACGGTAAAAGACTGTTTTGTTATCCTGCAAAACGTTGTATGATGTTCTGTAACAATTCTGCAGGATAATAGTGAAGAAAAACAACTGTACTGTGTTTTTTATGCACAAATTTCTGATATTAGTAAGTAAAGCACAGTATATGCAATAAAAACATAAACTGACAAGCAGCCGGATTATTTCTATTAGGCATCACCAACCTAAATCAAAAACTCATTTACAAAGACGATATCAAAATCTTCAGTGAATTTTCATGTTTATTTAGACATCCTGTGGAGTAAACTGTACATTCAATTTTTCCCACCCTGTAATGTATTGTTTAACTATACAATATATCTTCCGCGGGATATCCGGAGAAATTTAAATAAGGATCTTTCCCGTCAGGGTCGATACAAGGAACAATAGGGATATCTAGGAGATACCAGAGATACTAGGGATATCTCGGAGATACCAGGGATACTAGGGATATCAAGGAGATAGAAGGGATACTAGGGATATCTAGAGGATACAAGGGATACGAGGTAAAATATATCTAGGAGATACAAGGGATATCTAGGAAATACCAGAGATACCAGGGATAATGGGGATCTACAGAGCGTCCCATATCATATTAGATTATTTCTAATCTTTAACGACAAAATAAACCCTTAATACTCAAAGAACTTATCATTTTCCGCAAGAAAATTCTTATATAAGCCTTATGTTATTTTTCAAATTGATTTATTCGAATTAAATTTTCTTATTAGTCCCGAAAATCGCAATTTAGACCCGTTGACGGTCTAATATGATGTGGGACACCCTGTAGGAGATACCCGGGATATATCGAAGATAACAGGGATAATAGAGATAGCTAGATGAAAGTAGGTATACCAGGGATAATGGGGATATCTAGGAGATACCAGGGATATCTAGGAGATAACAGGGATATCTAGGAGATACTTGTTGGATACTTGGGATACCGTGGGGCTACCATGCAGGGATATAGTTGCTATGTAGGAAATACCAGGGATACTAGGGACAATATTGATTCATGTGATAACTAGGATATATCAGGGATATCTAGGAGGGACCAGGTATACTAGGGATACCATGGAAACCAAGAATATGTAGGAGATACCAGGGATATCAAGGAGATACCAGGTATACTAGAAATAACAAGGATATCTAGGAGATACTGGGGATACTAGGGACAATATGGATTCAGGGAATAACTAGGATATACCAGGGATATCTAGGAGATACCAGGTACACTATGGATTCAGGGGATAACTAGGATACCAGGGATATCTAGGAGATACCAGGGACACTATGGATTCAGGGGATAGCTAGGATATACCAGGGATATCTAGGAGGGACCAGGTATACTAGGGACACCATGGAAACTAGGGATATGTAGGAGATACCAGGAATATCTAGGAGGGACCTGATATCTAGGAGATGTGAGGTATACAACAGATACCAAGGAAACTAGGGATACCAGTGATTTTCAATACTAGGGGGATACCAGGGTTTTAAAGAATTCAAATATTCCTAGTTTAATAAAATATTTTTCATTCCGACTGTTTGTGAAAATAATAAGGTTGAGTTGGATTAAGACAGCATTATTATTCCAAACAAGTATAAACCCAGTTCTATACTACTTACATATACACTTACACTACACACTATAATAACAGTTAAGAACAAATATCAAAGACAGAAAATAATTTTACATCAGAGTTAGAAATTTATGATGACGGTATGAGAACTGGCTTCAACTCTAATTGTCTAATCCTTAGACATGGGGCCAAATGTAATGAATAGGATTAGGTTGAACTAAGCAAACTGAATTGAACCACTTATCTTCAGCTTGATCCTGTGCTTAAGAGAACTGGTTGAACTGGCGATACGTGGTTCAGTACCTAAAGCTTTTCATTAAATCTGGTCCCAGATCGTCAAAGTATGATTTCTTTAAGATTAAATAGTAAAAGTTTTAAAGGTTTAAGTCGTAAGGCAGCAAATATATGGGAATTAAAGATTTAGACTGAGGTTCAAAGAAATTCAACACTTACCTCAACTTTTGCATCAAACTGTTAATTATTCCACTAAAATCAGTCTGGGAAAGATATTACCAAACTACATTGAGAACATGTAGTTTATATTGGTCCTGGTCCTTTGTCCAATGTGCTTTGCCTTAATTGTTTAATTATACAGGATAACCCACAAAGGATGGGAATTCAGAGACGACTGTACAGAATATATACTGTCTGTTTCCTAATAATCACGATACCCTGCAACATCTTTCTTTGACAAATCATTAAATAAGCCATTAAAAGATTATATGTACAGGGTGTCCCAATAAGCATGGGAATTCAGTGACGAATTCTATATCGTCTTTTTAAATAATTCTTTGATTTAGTATAGTGATGCCTACTGAGAAAGCTGTAATCTGTAAGAGTTTTGTCTGCTATGTTCACATTCTGTTTGTTTATGTTTTGACTGCATACGGTTGTACTAGTTGTACTTGGTAAAACAAGATTATTACACTTGACTGTTCATCTTGTGGAGACATTATAAACACATCTTTATAGTCTTTTACACTTTTCATAAAATAAACTCTAGCAGACAACAATATTATGGGTTTTGAAATTAGGTATTACAATGTTAATGCATAACAAAGACGATATCGAATTCGTCACTGAATTCCCATGTTCTTTGGGACACCTTGTATGTAAGACTGAACAATTTATAATCGTCATCGTCATATTATATGAGCTCCAGGTCGTTTTTACAGTCTCATCCGTTGTGGTTCACCATGTATAATATCTTAAATTGCAAGAATGTAGTCTACATTACTACAATCTCTTCACACTACATACTAACCATAATATACATGCTCTTTGCCGTTCAGTTTCGAAAATCAATGACGATTCTGAAGGAATCCATTAAAGGGATTCTGAAGGGATCCATTAAAGGGATTCTGAAGGAATCCATTAAAGGGATTCTGAAGGGATACATTAAAGGGATTCTGAAGGAAACCATTAAAGGGATTCTGAAGAGATCCATTAAAGGGATTCTGAAGGGATCCATTAAAGGGATTCTGAAGGGATCCATAAAAGGGATTCTGAAGGGATCCATTAAAGGGATTCTGAAGGGATCCATTAAAGGGATTCTGAAGGAATCCATTAAAGGGATTCTGAAGGGATCCATTGAAGGGATTCTGAAGGGATCCATTAAAGGGATTCTGAATGGATCCATTAAAGAGATTCTGAAGGGATTCTGAAGGGATCCATTGAAGGGATTCTGAAGGGATCCATTAAAGGGATTTTAGACGTTATTTCAAGTGATCGATAATTTTTGGAGTTGCAGATCAAATACGCAGCGGTACCCTTTAAACCTTTGTATGTTCAAAGATGAAAAAGATATAACATTGGTTCTCTTTATAAAGTGACATGTGTGTTATTGAGATGAGGGGAAATATATGAATTTAACACTTTTTCACAAAGTAAAAAGACGATATCAATTGCATTGTTAGTTAGATAGAGGTTTAAATGATACTGTAGTGAATCAGACATGCCGCTAAATATGGGGCCACTAGAAATTGCGTCTACAGTCCCTTTAATTCTTATGTTTATTGGAACAATCAGCATTTTAGCTTCATCTTTCCCATTGTAAACTATCAGTCTGAGGGAAGTACTCATTTTTGATGCAAAAGAAACAGAAATTAATTTGACCTGAGAAGACATGCATTTAACTGCAAGATATTAGATACTAAATCAAACAAAAAGTTTAAAAGATTTATTCTTGAATTTAGTGATAAGTAAGATCGGATTCAAACGTTTAATTCATCCATAATATTCATAAACATTCCTTCTAGTTCCTGACTTTCAACAGAGGACTCCTTTAGGTTCGTGTTCTCCGGGATCCTGGTCGGAGAACTAATCCGTGGAGGACGGTAAGGTTTCTCCTGGATAGGTTTAGACCAAGTGGGTTGTGGAGAGGGTGCGGAGTAAATAATACCTTGCTCCGCTAGACGACTAGTGTACGCGTCTATTTTGGCAAGACGACTTGAAACATTGGACGAGTGTTTACTTAGTGGTTCGTCCTCACAGAGGGTTAAATTCTCATGGGTCCAGGCGGAGGAGATCCGTCTCGGAACCGGGGTTTCTCTGTTTATAACCCTACCCGGAGTTTCCTGTAACGAGGATGCATTGTAACCTTTCCTCTTAATTCCTTGTAAACCTTTAGAACTTTGAGCTTTAGAACCAGATTCAATCTGATGAAGATATTTCTGAACCAGCTCTGGGTTCAGATTTAGAACAGTCTTGAGTTCCGTAATTCGGGCTGTATGAAGTTTAGATCTGGGATTAACGGTAACTGTGCTGTAATCTCTGATGTATACTGAGCAGATTGACTCCGTCCTACTCTTCTGTCTCCACTCTAGATCCCGGAAGGAAACAATCTGACCCGGAGCAAGCACTTTACTGAGTCCTACTGACTCTACTCCACCCCAGACCACAACCTGGAGAAAACCGGTTTCATCGCAAACATAAACAGTCTGGGCCCTGGTCCACGGGTCCTCTAACATAATCACTTGACCGACAAGATCAACTTCGTTGAACAGAGGTTTAAAGTCTGGTTCTCCGATCTCCATGATAGAGTGGAGGGTTCGATCTACAGATCGGAGCAGAGGTCTAAAGGTTAGGTTGCATTCAACTTTAATTAAACGTTCTTACTTTCATTCAATTCTTAATTCATTGAATAATTAGATTTGTTAGGTTTGGATATATGAATTATGAATAGACCCAGGAAATAGTAAGGGGGATAGGGACAGAGTTTCTTCTAAAGGAACTGAGTCTTTGCCATAAAATGATATATTTTAAACTCTTTATCTTTGCAACTTGATGGTGTAGACTATTGATATTTCAAACTTAAGTTATTTGATCTAATAGAATTCATAGTTTGAAATATCTAAGGTCTACGACATTGGGGTTCAAAGATTTAGGGATTAGAAAATCAGAGTTTGCGACAAAGACTCAATTCCTTTTTCGACATAAACAGGGTTCCCATCAAATGAAAGAAATCTTGAAGTTCCCCCTATAGAAATGCAACTAAAATTATATGTAAAAATATGTTAAAAGACTAATATAAGAATTTAAAGATTTTTGTGTTGTAAAATGCGACCCGAACCTAGAGTATTGGATATCTATAAACTGGGTGGTTTTAGTAGCAGTCAGGTAAACTGTGCCTCCGCTTACACTTCTAACCTAAAAAAAACGAAAATATATTCTTGAAGAGATTTTGTGAACATTTTAAACCTTAACCTTGGAAGTTTAGGTTTAGTCGGATATCAAATACAAAAATTTCACTGAATGATATTAACAAAGATTTAAAAATACAATCTAAATATACAATTTAATTAAATTTAGATAAAGTGGTGTGTGTGATTAACAGTGCTCTTTAAACCTTTGACTATTCAAGGATGACAAACTTATTCTTATCAATATAGAAGCGCTTGTTATTTTTGAAAACCTAGTTTTCAAACTGGTTTCTATATAGAAATGCTTTTATTTATTTTCTAAATGAAAATCGCATAAAATATTCTGGATTTTCAAAGAATATGTGTTTTGTCAGCTTCGTTATGTTCTTACTGTACGATAGCGTACACTCCTGTTTTACAGCAATTTAAACACCATTTAAGAAATCAAAACACGGAGTTATCTTTCCTCGTTGATCATTCAAATGTTTTAAAGATTGGTTAAGTCATAAAAAATATATATATCTTAAAAACTGATTGCAAGGATTTTGATCCACCAAAAATTTAGTTGATTTTTATTCTGCATTGTCAAAGATGAAAAATATATATTTCTCCGTTAAGAATAAAGTTTGAGGGAAGCACCTTATTAAGGAAAGATTTATAGATCGCTGTCCTGCGGGTAAAGTCCAATAAGTTGGATAAATGGGAAGATTACAAGGAATTTAAACCCCAGAAGCAAAAAAGATTATCCGGCTAAAAACCACAATTTATACGTTTTCTAGTTTAATTTTAGCAAGAAGAAGTTTAATCTAATAACGTGGAAAGTTGTTACGTTAGAATAATTACAATACAAATATTCAAGCTTATATCAAACATCTAAATTCACCAATACCACAAATACTCAATGATATAAAAGGACGAAATAAATCAATCTAAAAATCAATCTTATGAATAAATATTATGTCTATAATTCAGAAAGACAAAATATCTTTTTTTTTGTTGTTGCAAAACTCAGTAAATTTCATTTTCATTTTTGAAACCTAGAGAAAATTGAAGAATATTTTTGTTATCTTTCAATTGACTTGCGGATTTCTGCTGATCTGAGACACTGGAGAAAATTGTTAGAATGAAACAGAATAACAGCGATATCGTCCACATTATTGTAATTCGGACAGGTGTCTCTTTAAATTTTAAGGACAATTCCACTAATTAGAATTTAGAAAATTGAGTGCAAAAATACATATTGAATCTTTGTTTTTATATCTTTGGATTACAACAATATTGCCAAATATTGCCGGGGATTACAAGATGATAGAACTAGCACCTGAGCTCCGATAATCCCAAGTATCTTTCCTTCTCTGAGTATCTCCTGGAGACCTCCTGGATTCCACACGGAGATCAGAGCTGAACCTGAACTCTCTGCTACATCCTGCACCCGGAGCTTCAAAACCGGTCTGGCGTTAGGTTTATGATCTCCTTCCACCATCCTACTCTCAACCTAGAGAAATACTGAGTTTTATCTTTTTTTTATTCGAAACTATAAAACTGAAAAAGAAAGACGATTATATAAAATTGTCTAACAAACATGAAACACAGCAATTAGGTTGTGAACACGACCCATTTCATCTAACAAGTTGATGCTAAAGCAACTCAGTACTGGTAGAACTATTTGCTTTTTAACAACATCAAAGACTGCACAGAAGACTACATAAATGTAATCTTCGAAATACAAAGTTTTTTGGGTCTCACGGTACTTATTCAATCCAGAATGAGAATCCCCGTAACTCCATGTATGATCAATATTTCTGTATTTCTACCGATGATGCATACGTCTGTATTACTATTCATATTGACTACTGAGTATCTCCGTATTTCTTTGCATTCCTGTGTGTGATAAAAGCGTATTTCCGTGTAGAATATAATTATATTCCTATCATCCCTGTTTCAGTTTAAGTACCCATTTTCCTTTACTGATTTCAGGATTCATCTATCATTGGATGATGAATTAGATCGATAGATAGATATTACTGCTATTGCAATTTCTATTGGTTCTGAATAGTCACCAAGCACGTGACTGAACTTTGCATCAACTTTTAATCAGTAGAACTCGAAGGAACCATAGGAATGTTCATAGTCGTGTTTGAAGATTCTATAAGTTTAATCATAAGGCATAACATATAATACATTATACATTTTACATACTATAATACAATATACATTACATAATACAATACATTATACATTTTACATACTACAATACATTAACATTTTAAATACTACAATACATTATACATTACATAATCTATATATAAATTTGGCTTGTCTGTTTGTCTGTCTGTCTGTTTGTTTGTTTGTTTGTTTGTATCCAATAAACGTCAAAACGGCTGAACCGATCGGGCCCAATTTTTTTGTGGGACATCTAGGGACTCCAGGGAAGGTTTATGAATCATCAATATTTCAAATATTTGTCTCCATCAAAATTCGATCGTCATTAAATTTTTAAAAATTTTGAAAATCCGCGAAATTTTTTGTGAAAATCCGCGAATCATTTTTGTTTTGTTTTACGATTCACAAAGAGAACATGTTCACAATTAATTTAGGAGATGGGCGCGAAGCGCCCTCTAAGGCTAGAAAGAAGGGCGCGAAGCGCCTTGAATTTCTAGTACAATACATTTTACATTATAGATACTACAATACATTATACGTTTTACATACTACAATACATTATATGTTTTACATACTACAATACATTATACATTACATAATACAATACATTATACATTACATAATTCAACACATTATGCATTACATGATACAATACATTATACATTACATAATACAATGCATTACATAATACAATGCATTACATATTACATGATACAATACATTACATAATACAATGCATTATATATTACATACTACAATACATTATACATTACATAATACAAGATATTCAGCAAAATTAGGATTAATCTTTATCCTCTACTCTACTACTTTTCATTCATTCTGGATCGTAACTGAGGGGGGCTCAGGTCCTTGGACCAAGTGTATTTTAAAAATTCTAATTCAGATAATCTAGTTTTTTTGTGCAACTTCCTTACTATTTCAAATGATGTACAGTTTATTAAAAGAATTTTTTTTATCTCCTTCAAACAACACTTACGCCCTGAGTATACATTTATTTTTAATTATCAATTTATTTTACACATTTTTCCTCTCTTCAACAAAGTTTTAGCAAAATGTTGTTTTTAAAAGGTTTCCAGGTTTGACAGGTTTAAGATAAATCGGTTGAGCGCTTAAGTCACAGGTTTAGAATTAAGATTCAAAAGTTTTGCTCTCCGACTAATCCCATTAAATCCAATGGCCGACTTAGAATCTTACTTTAACCCAATTCCTTATTTAATGTTTATGGAAAGATTAAAGTATAAAAGTTCTATTTTGCAACTACAAACTACAGAAACCGAAACTTTAAACAAGGTATCGTCATGAAACCCAGTATCGGAAACCCGGTTTCATGAATTGGGAGAGGCAATTTAAAAAAAAAAAAAATTCTATACAAATGTGTAGGGTTTGTTCTATTTAATTTCCGACTCAAACTACATGGTGGGGTGTTTCTTAAAAATTCAACCCTTCCAATCGGAGCAAGAATTTGATTTTATAAAAATCGCTCTAAAAAAATTAAACAAAAATGGTCAGTATGGAATCTTAAAATATTATTCACCCTGCACTTTGCATGCAGTGTTTCCATTAAAGATTTAAAGATTGTTTAGAATAATTTGATAGGTTTTTAGAGTATATAAATTCATGTTACAGAAGGTCTGAAGTAATTAAGGCTAAATTAATAAGAAAACTTGTATAAAGGACAATGTTTAAAATTAAGATCTAGCTGAAGATGTAAATAAATAATCTTCTGTATCCTTATTGGCCTCTCTGTGTGATTTCAAAGATTTATGTCCAATTTACAACTGTATTCTTTAGAATGATGGATTTATTTATGTTTTTCTGATTTGCGGATATGTTAATTGTTATTGAAGACAATAAACTCCCTAATCTCTCTAATGTTTAATCCTAAAAGGAACCAGAGGAAGAGTTAATTGTTATTGAAGACAATAAACTCTCAAATCTCTCTAATGTTTAATCCTAAAAGGAACCAGAGGGAGAGTTAATTGTTATTGAAGACAATAAACTCCCAAATCTCTCTAATGTTTAATCCTAAAAGGAACCAGAGGAAGAGTTAATTGTTATTGAAGACAATAAACTCTCAAATCTCTCTAATGTTTAATCCTAAAAGGAACCAGAGGGAGAGTTAATTGTTATTGAAGACAATAAACTCCCAAATCTCTCTAATGTTTAATCCTAAAAGGAACCAGAGGAAGAGTTAATTGTTATTGAAGACAATAAGCTCCCTAATATCTCTAATGGTTAATCCTAAAAGGAACCAGAGGAAGAGTTAATTGTTATTGAAGACAATAAACTCCCTAATCTCTCTAATGTTTAACTCCTAAAAGGAACCAGAGGGAGAGTTAATTGTTATAGAAGACAATAAACTGCCTAATATCTCTAATGGTTAATCCTAAAAGGAACCAGAGGGAGATTCAATTGTTATTGAAGACAATAAACTGCCTAATATCTCTAATGGTTAATCCTAAAAGGAACCAGAGGGAGATTTAATTGTTATTGAAGACAATAAACTCCCTAATCTCTCTAATGGTTAATCCTAAAAGGAACCAGAGGGAGATTTAATTGTTATTGAAGACAATAAACTCCCTAATCTCTATAATGGTTAATCCTAAAAGGGACCAGAGGGAGATTCAATTGTTATTGAAGACAATAAACTGCCTTATATCTCTAATGGTTAATCCTAAAAGGAACCAGAGGGAGAGTTAATTGTTTTATAACTCCCTAATCTCCCTAATGGTAAATCCTAAAAAGGGCTAAAGGTTGGCGTTGTGAATATGAAATTTAAAGCTTTATATTGACGGCCACGTAAAATTAGCTTATTAGTTTCTTTAACCTTAAATTTAACAATCAATCCTACACAAAGTATCTTTTTTGCCAGTTTCTAAAAATAGCATTATAATGATATTCTGTAGCACTATGAAACCTGAACGATATTTCCGGATAAAAACCTGTTTCTAATCCTACCTGTCTTCTCCGCTCTGCAATCCTCTCCTCCCCCTGGATTAAGACCTTCTCCCTCTGCTGGGTGTTTAGGTACTCGTAGAGACCAGGTTCAGATTCTACAGCTTCAAGTAGCTCATATCCGTCCTCCAACAGGTTCAGGTCCTTCGCCACGATAATATGATACATCATACCTCTCTCAATTAATTTGTTCAGAGGATTTGAGTTTTCTTATCTCTACTTCTTTGAAGTCTGATGGTGTAAACCTTTGATATTTCAAACTTAGATTATTTGATCTAACAGAATTCATAGTTTGAAATATTTATGATCTACGACATTGGGCTGCAAAGATATAGTGAGAAAATCCGAGTTTAAAAGATAAGGTAGAGAAAAAGGAAAACAAAATAATCTTGAGATATATTAAAAACCTATACACAGAATCCCAATAAATATAGGATTTGAGAGAATTAATAACTGAATAATGTAAAAAAAAGATTTCTCAAAGGAATTGAGTCTTTGCCACAAACTTTGATTTTCTAATTCCTATTTCTTTGCAATCAAATGTCGTACTCATAGACCAAAGATATTTGAAACTGTGATTTTTGTTAGATCAAATAATCTAAGTTTGAAATATCAAAAGTTAACATGATATATTGATTAGAAAATTTGAGTTTGTGACAAAAAATCAAATCCTTTGGTCGAGTTAATTTTGTCTAGCATTCCACAGTTATTAGGTACGTACTACGTATATAAAAATTACCCCCCATCGGCAATATTTTTAATTCTTCTTTCCAAGCAAACAAGTCTGATTTAATGCCTATGAGTTCAAAGCATGCAAAGTTGCACTAATATCTCAATATAAAGAACTCATTTCTTGAATTTATTATGCCTACATATCCGTCCCTTAATTCTAACTTTTCTATTCTCCTTCTTGTTTCCTAGTTCCTTCTCAGCTTTAATTATCATTTCTTCTCTTCTTTGGGATTCTTGCTCCTGGCGTACAATCCACTGCTTTTCACTAAATACATCAACAGATCATTAAAAACATTAAATAGTTACAGCAGAACTTCTTTTATACTTTTGCATAACGTTGTAATCTGTGTTTGGGGGTCTGTCTCTTTGTTTGTCCGATCATAACATAGAAACCCTTGGACCGGTTTGCCTCACATTTTGATTGGGGGAACTCGGGAGAGCCGGGGGAAAGTTCGTAACCTGGATTTGAGATTCTAAGTTGAGTGGGTTGACTTTTATAGGGAAAAATAGCTAAACTGCTAAAATCGTAATTTACGACCTAGTGCCGGTAAACGGTGGGAGTAACTAAGTAAGTGGTGGGAGTAAGTAACATGGGCAAAGCTGGGTTCCCAAGATAGTGTTTAATATATTTAAACCTATCTAGTTTTTCGTTTTGGTTCTGTTAATTGTTGGCATTTCCAGTTTTTTCTCTCGATATATTAGTACATCACCTTCTTTCTCGGATTCATTTTCTTTTTTAAATTTCCTAGTTTTTGATTTTCATATTTCTTTTATTTTACCTCAGGTATTCCGTCTTATTCTCCGTCCTGACACAATATAGGATAGGATACACCCTGGCCACCACTACCCGGAGTAATGGAGCTGCACCACCTCCACTCTTCAGACTGGAGACAGGAATACAGATTGGAGGGCAGGGACCTAACCTGCTCCACCAGACTACACGTCTACAGCTGTTAACATCAACCTAAGTACAAATTTATGACAAACTTCTTATTTTAGTTTTAAGTCTACAATGATCTTTAATGGTGACACAATACAAATCAGGAAACTTTTGGATTCGTCCTACCCTGTAGTTCTCTAGTACCCGGATATAGAGGATTAGTCCAACTTTTAGTTCTCTAGTAACCGGATATAGAGGATTAGTCCTACCCTGTAGTTCTCTAGTACTCTGATATAGAGGATTAGTTCTAACCTGCAGTTCTCTAGTAACCGGGTATAGAGGATTAGTCCTACCCTGTAGTTCTCTAGTACCCTGATATAGAGGATTAGTTCTAACCTGTAGTTCTCCAGTAACCGGATATAGAGGATTAGTCAAACTTTTAGTTCTCTAGTACACTAATATAGAAGATTAGTCCTAACCTGTAGTTCTCTAGTACCCTATTATTAAGGATTAGTCCTAACCTGTAGTTCTCTAGTAACCGGATATAGAGGATTAGTCCAACTTTAAGTTCTCTAGTAACTGGATATAGAGGATTAGTTCTAACCTGTAGTTCTCTAGTAACAGAATATAGAGGATTAGTTCTAACCTTTAATTCTCTAGTAACCTGATATTCAGGATTAGTCCTATCCAATAGTTCTCTAGTATCCTGATATGAAGGATTAGTTCAAAACCTTATAAATCTCTAGTACACTAAAATAGAGGATTAGTCCTAACCTGTAGTTCTCTAGTATCCGATATTAAGGATTAGTTCAAAACCTTAGTTCTCTAGTACACTAAAATAGAGGATTAGTCCTAACCTGTAGTTCTCTAGTATCCTGATATAAAGGATTAGTCCTAACCTGTAGTTCTCTAGTACCCGGATCTAGAGGATGTGAACCCTGATCTCCTCCTGCTAGAATACATCCCTGGACCACCAGCTTAGTTCCTTCCTTTATCTTCCCTGATCATAGGAATACATTCAATCTTCAAAACTTGAAAATTCAAAAAATCAAGTGAATTTTTATCTTGTGTTTGAATTTATTGACAAAAAGTTTGTTAAACTTCATGCGGAATATGTCAAATGTAAGTGAAAAAGGGAGCCTTCAGATATTTCCCAGTTCAGTGGTTTGAAAAAAATTTTATGCATGAATATAAAAAATGGGAAGTTTGAATTATTTGGATTATTTTTATTAAGTTCTACAATTGTAATCACTATTCCTGCTGCAACAAGCTGATGGAGAGGATCTCCATAGTTTAAGGGACAGGGTAGAGAATACCAGCCATCACTTAGCTCTAGAGTATCCGTCCCAACCCGTCCTACCAGCAGTATCATTGGTCTAAACATAGGATCATTGGTCTAAACACAGGAGCATTGGTCTTATCACAGGATCATTGGTCTTATCACAGGATCATTGGTCTAAGCATAGGATCATTGGTATAATCACAGGATCATTGGTCTAAACACAACACAGGATCATTGGCCTAAACACAGGGTCATTGGTCTAAACACAGGACTATTGGTCTTAACACAGGATCATTGGTGTAAACAAAGGATCATTGGTCTAAACATAGGATCATTGGTCTAAACACATGACCATTGGTCTGAACACAGAATCATTGGTCTAAACACAGGACCATTAGTCTTAACACAGAATCATTGGTCTAAACATAGGATCAATGATCTAAACATAGCATTATTGGTCTAAAATAGGATCATTGGTCTAAACAAATGATCATTAAAATAAACACAGGATCATGATGAAGAAATAAACCAGAAAGCCGTGACATAGATAAGGTCTCTAAATTATGTAGTATGCAAACAAGATCTAAAGTATGCAATATGTAAACAAAATCTTCTAAAATATGGATGACGTATCTAATAGAATAATAAAACCTGCTGACTCCCCCCCTCTCCTGCTCTACAAGCACTCAGGGAATATATTCCATTATTTCAGTGGATTTCCATGGATCTTACCCCCCCCCTCCTAATCCAGTTTCCTGGAATAATAAAATACATTTATATTTTATATTCATATTTGTCTTATTTGTGTCTTTCTTCCAAATACAAGTATAGTTGTCTGAACCAAAACAAAACCAATGTTTTAAGTAGGACCTGAGATAAAACTAAATTTGAAATAAATATAAACAGAAGAAATGCGAAATATTTATAAATTAACACAAACCAACTCTCTTATAATAGAAAATTGATCGGAATCTCAGAGTCCCGGGGAGCACTGCCTCAACTAACCAATAAGAACGTATTGATTAGGTATTTTGGGAAAAGCGAGCCAAGAAATTTCTTGACTGCTATAACCTGGGGGGCCGAGCGCCGGGGCCACTTAACTGTCCATTTATCTGTGCGTTGTTGCTCAGTAGGAATGGCCGCTTTCCTTGGTTCCGTTAAATTATTAAATATCAGTTTGAATTATCACAATATTATCGGACAAACAAGAAAAATGGCTAAATGATTCGTGCCGACTGCCGCTTCCTCTTGGTTAAAGGAACTATCATTGTAATTTCAAGTAGCCTCCCATTAAAAGGGGTATTATTTACCCGATTTACAATGGTACCCTTCTATCCATTATCTGATCAAGAATATGGAAGATAACCTCGTGTCAATTTCTTACAATTTCTCCATTGATTCTGTGGCTATTAATCCGCAAATCACTTAAAATAAAAAACTACAATATTAAAATTTACATTTTTTAAAAAAATGCCGTTTTTTATATTAATTGCAGTTTACTCGTCGTAGACACCTACTTGGGCATATGATATTGATAAAAATAAACCCTCCGAGAAAATGTAAGAATGAAAGAGATAAAAACCTTGAGTTTCTTTATTGGGAAGGATTTCTTTTAGCATGGGAAGCAAAGTTTCCTCTGATTAGATTAGACATCTTGCAATCGGCATTTTCTCCTCAACGTGGAAAAAGTTATTTAATGCCCTATAGTATAAAATTAAAGGAACTAAACATAATTTTCTAATCCCTTTATAGATGTAAACCTTTATTATTTCAAACGTCAACTATTTTATTTAGCACTAGCTTGAGAACCCAGCGTTGCCCAGGGTTCTCATAGTTATTCCAACCGTTTACCCACACTTTGTCGTAATTTACGATTTTAGCTTTTTCCCCCATAAATAAATAAATGAAAGTGTTAGTCGACCCACTAAACTTAGAATCTTAAAACCTAGCTAAGACCATTCCCGTGGTTCTTCTGAGTTACCCAGTACAAATGTAAGGCAAATCGGTCAAGGGGTTCATGAGTTATGATCGGACAAACAAACATCCAAACAGAGATTACTACGATATATAGATAGATAATTCATAGTTTGAAATATCAAAGGTCAAGGATATCAGGTTGAAACAATAAAGGATAAAAATAAAGGGTTTGTGGGCTGTGGCAAGTAATCAGTTCTTTTAAGTAAACATGGCAGTTTCCAATATCAAAGAAAACTACCAAGTGACATTAAGCTAACAAATCTAATAAATAAACAAATCCTTCACTAAAAATCACGCACTAAGATTAAAAACTAAGATTAAGTAAAAGTGGAAATGGTAAAAGATAGTTGGAAAAAAATAAAAAAATATTGTACTTAATGGACGATGCCTGATGATTTTTGAGTTTCTTGGGTTCAATGTCGGGAACTAGTCCCTAGGGACGAATATCTACTAGGTATACTAGACAATATAGTGTATTGTAGTTCTCTAGTANAATGTGCTTGCAGGTTTATTATACTGATATATATTTATAGTATAGAGCATGCAGGGAACAATGTGCTTGCAGGTTTATTATACTGATATATATTTATAGTATAGAGCATGCAGGGAACAATGTGCTTGCAGGTTTATTATACTGATATATATTTATAGTATAGAGCATGCAGGGAACAATGTGCTTGCAGGTTTATTATACTGATATATATTTATAGTATAGAGCATGCAGGGAACAATGTGCTTGCAGGTTTCAACTTTTCTGTTTTTGCCGCAGAATCAAAACATTATTTTCATTATATTTTGCAAGAACCAGGTTTTCCTAATGAATGTGAATGAACTCAGTGTTTTTAACCTTTGGTAATGAGTTCTTAATTAAACTTCTGCAAAGAATATGCAAAATACTAGATTTAAACATAAAGTTACTGCTGTATTGAGTTATCTGATTTAAAACTTTAAAATCTGCAAAGTTAAAGCCTTTCTACCTAACTCACACAATATACATATTACATAACCCTTGTCGCATCCTGTGCTACTGCTAGACCATACTGTCCAGCAATATTTTTCAAAAATTGTCCTGTCCCGTCCTTCTCTGTATTAAATGGAGCTACCCCAAAGGTTTCCTTATTCTGATCCTAACCTCTATCCTACCTTGAGCTAGGTTCGTCCTTCTCTGTAATCTTCCTGAGAACAGATCTCTCAGCTCTGTCAATCTCCCGATCATATCTCAGTTTAAGTCTACTCATCAGGTTCTCCAGGGTTAGAGCGGACTCTGCTAATCCTCTCCTCTCCAGACTACCCAGAGCCCAAACTATCATCCTAAAGAAATTGATTATATTGACAATAATTAAAACCTGAGTACGCCTCTGCGTATATTATACACAGAAGCGGACTCAGGGGGGCCTGAAAGGGGGTCTATGGGCCTGGTTTAGTAAAATCTAAGGTTTCAAGGGGCTTTTCAGGCCCCGACAACGGGTGCTGAGCCCCATGAAAAAAAATTATGCCCCCCCATCCCCTTACATATTTCAGTGTACTGATTATACACCTAGTTTATTATGTAGTAATCTACCTGTAATGGTTTGAAACCCAGTTTTGATGAACAAGGTGTGGATCTACTCCAGGTGTAGCCAGGAACCCTGACTCAACCTCCTCCACACCAACCAATCCGTCCTCTCCTGAATAAGTTCCCATTGAATGAATGACTGCTTAAAGCGATAAAGTTTTTCAGACTTAAATTTCTCCCAGGACTAAGTGAAAAAAGTTTGAATATAAAATTTTCGAAAACCAGAGGCCGAATTTAAAGAATTTGAGCCGTGGCTTAAATTTAAGCCACGGTTGGTTCCACCTAAAATCGTATTCATTGTTTCAAGATTTAAGCCAGCACTAAATTGAAACCGGTTTTATTCTCCATTTTTTCCAGATCTACAGATTAATTCAATTCCTCGTCGATATACACTATACAGTAAAAGTCATACCCTGTAGGGATAACTTAAATTAAGGGATCAAGCATTGATCCTCAAATTCACAAGTGCTCACATTGGATATCGAGATGAGGCGTTCAAGATTAACAATATCCACACACGTTACAATCTTAGTTGTAAATTTCTGTTTTAAGTTTCTGTGGCCCTGTGTTTTACAGATTTCTCTGATTTACAGAATTTCCTTAAACCGGGTATAAGTTTTAGTTTACATTTATAAATTTTGGCCTCTACTCCTTGTTAAAGGTTCATCGTATTACAGATTTCTCTGATACACACAAAGATAATAAATGTATAGATATGCAGGCAGGTATAAATTTAGAGGTCTTGAGAAAAGGTGCAAACAGCACCATCTCTGTCGTACGCATGGCATTTTATCCTCTGGATTGTTGCTAATTTATCACTTTGTTTATGCGTGATAACACTAAATGCGTACTATAGTATCAACAATGTATACTGCATATTGTACTTAATGAAACAAATTAATCAATGCAAATAAAACTGAGGTAGGAATTTGACTAGACAAAGTTTAAATGTGCAAGTTTTACTTGCACATTGCACGTAAATTAACGCAATTTAAATAAAAATTATTACTATAAAAGTACATCGAATCTAGGACAAAGTACAACTGATCTGATCATAACATAAACAAAACGCGTACTGTATGTTTGTGTTACCTTGAAATTTAATTTTTTTGGTCAAACAGGTCCAGATAGCAACACTTGAACTATACAGGATGCAATACGCGTACTGTATGTTTATATAACACAAATGCGTATTTCCTACAGATGGCAGCAGGGGGAGAAAGGAATATAGAAAGTAATCAATTTGCTATAGATGTCTCTCCTTGCACCTTTTCTCAGAGGTTCAAAAATTAGTTGTCTGTTACAAGCAATTTAGGAAGGAGGTTTCTACCTGCCTGCATATCTATATATATATTATCTTTGGATACACAGAACTTAGTAAATATCTACAAACCCCGGTTTACAAGTCGTTATTATTTTTATTATTTGTTTCAATGTTCATTGAACTCAAGATTTATTTCAAACAGCATTGAACAGTAACATCTTCAAGTTTTTGTTTCTGTCTGCATTTCTCGTTAAAGTTTATTGTATTACAATATTCATTTGATATACACAATAATATCAATCCCGTTCAAAACCCAGTTTATAAGTCCATAATAAGTTTCCGTAATTTTCTTGTTCATTGAGTTACAAGTTTACATGATATACACAATATTACAGCTTTAACACCAGGTCTATCAGTCTATAACAATGTTATCTGATTTGCACAATAGCACTAAACCCCTACAAAACCCGGTTTATTTGTTAGCTATAAGTTTCCATTTCTGTTTCCTATCAGTTTTTTTTCTGTTTACAATATTGTATCCAACTACTAGAATACCGTCAATCCATTAATCATCTATTGAAGTAATCTTATTCAAGGTTTATCCAGGCTTTGTATTCTTCCCTTGGATAGATAAATAATAGGATAGATACAGGGAGAACCAGTTTACATGAGAATTCAGTGAGATAATTGGATTGGTACAGGGAGAACCAGTTTACATGAGAATTCATTGAGATAATTGGATAGGTAAAGGGAGAACCAGTTTACATGAGAATTCATTGAGATAATTGGATAGGTAAAGGGATAACCAGTTTACATGAGAATTCATTGAGATAAATAGATAGGTACAGGGAGAACCACTATACATGAGAATTCATTGAGATAATTGGATAGGTAAAGGGAGAACCAGTTTACATGAGAAATCATTGAGATAAATAGATAGGTACAGGGAGAACCACTATACATGATAATTCATTGAGAAAATTGGATATGTACAGGGAGAACCAGTATACATGAAAATTCATTGAGATAATTGGATATGTACAGGGAGAACCAGTTTACATGAGAATTCTTTGAGATATTGGATATGTACAGTAAGAACCAGTTTACATAAGAATTCATTTAGATAATTGGATATGTACAGTAAGAACCAGTATACATTAGAATTCATTGAGATACAGGGAGAACCACCAGTTTACATGAGAATTCATTGAGATAAATAGATAGGTACAGGGAGAACCAGTATACATGAGAATTCATTGAGAAAAATTGGATAGGTACAAGAAGTATCAGTATACATGAGAATTTATTGAGATAATTGGATAGGTACACTGTACAGTCAGAACCGCTATACACGAGAATTCAATTCATTGAGATAATTGGATAGGTACAGTCAGAACCAGTTTACATGAGAATTCATTGAGATAATTGGATAGGTGGTACAAGGAGTATCAGTATACATGAGAATTTATTGAGATAATTGGATATGTACAGGGAGAACCAGTATACATGATAATTCATTGAGAAAATTGGATATGTAGTCAGAACCAGTTTACATGAGAATTCATTGAGATAATTGGATAGGTACAATCAGAACCAGTATACATGAGAATTCAATTTATTGCGATAATTGGATAGGTGGTACAAGGAGTATCATTATACATGAGAATTTATTGAGATAATTGGATAGGTACAGGGAGAACCAGTATACATGGGAATTCATTGAGATACAGGGAGAACCAGTATACATGAGAATTCATTGAGAAAATTGGATAGGTACAGGGAGAACCAGTTTACATGAGAATTCATTGAAATAATTGGATAGATACAGGGAGAACCAGTTTACATGAGAATTCAGTGAGATAATTGGAAATGTACAGAGAGAACCAGTATAAATGGGAATTCATTGAGAAAATTGGATAGGTACAAGGAGTATCAGTATACATAAGAATTTATTGAGATAATTGGATAGGTGCAGTCAGAACCAGTATACATGAGAATTCAATTCATTGAGAAAATTGGTTAGGTGGTACAAGGAGTATCAGTATTCAGTATACATGAGAATTCATTGAGATAATTGGATAGGTACAGGGAGTATCAGTATACATGAGAATGCAGTAAGAAAATTGGATAGTTACAGGGAGAACAAGTAAAAATTGGAATTCAGTGAGATAATTGGAGGTAAAGGGGGAACCAGTATACATCAGAAATAAATATATTCTAGTACAGGGAGTACTAGATTACATAAGAACCTGAACCTGAACCTTAACCTGAACCTGAACATGAACCTTAACCTGAACCTAAACATGAACATTAGCATGAACATGAACATGAACTTTTTAATGAACAAAAAAATGAATATGAGCATAATCATGAACATTAACATGAACATGAATATGAAAATGAGTATTAAATGAACAAAAAGATGAACATGAACATGAGCATGAATCATGAACATGGACAAAAGATAAACATGAACATGGGTATAAAAATGAGTATGAACACGAACATCAAACATGAACATGAACATGAGTATGAAAATGAGTATGAACTGAACATATACATTTTACATGAAAAAATTGATTAAGAACATGAACATGTACATAAACAGGGTGTACCTGGAACAATCCAGCAACCGTCCAGTAGACGGACTAATCCTGCCTGATCAGGTATACAAGGGAAGCGAACTCCAAGGCTTGTGTCTGCTGAAACATCTGAAGAATTAAATATTAAGGTCTTTTCATTCTAGTTAAATTAATTCGTCTAATGTTGCCCGAACATGGACATATGTACTTCTTAGAACTCTTTCTAACATAAAATAACGAAAAAGTGTTTTTTTTTTATTTAAACCAATGCAAGCACTATGATTATTTTTTACCTTTGGCAAGGTCTGAAACCGTATATTCTGATCTGACCCTATCCCTGAGTTTAACACAGAGTTTATTGGTTTTCTTCAACCTAGTTAGTTCTCCTTCGACAGGACGGATCAGTTTCTTCAGTTTTCCAGAGATAAGATTTTTCTGCTTCAATCTGTTTTTCTCTCTCTCTTCTCGAGATTTTAACTCCTACAATCAGACAAATTATCTACTGCATACCTCTAGCCGGTCAAATCACAACCTCAAATCGAATGGTTGAGGGTAATTATTCCAATTAATTTTGAATTTAATTTTGTGCAGAGTGTCACAGCCGGTCAAATCACAACCTCAAATCGAATGGTTGAGGGTAATTATTCCAATTAATTTTGAATTTAATTTTGTGCAGAGTGTCACAGCTTTAATATCTTTTTTGTGTGTGTGGGAGGGGGTGGGGTGGGGGGAATTAAGGACTCGTTAAATTTTGACTTTTCCATTTTGAAGAGTGAGAACCTCGTATTTTATCTCGCAACTCCCCCAGTTGCGAGATGAGATAAAGTGGGTCGGAATACTGAAATACTGCAATTACAACCTTTTTTGTTCCTTTCCTAAATTTAACAAATTTCACAGATGTTACATTTTATTTACAATGTGCGTTGGCAGCAGAAAACTGAACCGATTGAGCCAAACATTTTTATCACAAATTGAAAAGTTTTGCCCGACGAAAATTTCAATTTTTAAATATATGAACTAAAACAGAAAAATCAGTGAAAAGAGTTTAAAAACGTTTAAAAACTTAAATTATTCCGAAAATATGAAAATATACCTGAGATGATTCCACTTTGATTCTTTTTCTGCCTTCGACATCCTCATCCTCTCGTCTTCGTTTTCCTTTTCCATCTTCCTCCGTTCTTATTCCCTCCCCAACCTTGGAATAAAATAAGGATCTAGATTTGGTTCGTATCTAAAAAAACGAAAACAAACTTTAATTGATAAATTGATTAATAAGAACAAGTTCTGACGACAATGTGATCTCCGTGCGATGATTTTAAATCAAATCGAATTTACTTAAACAAAACTCACAGGGATTAAACTTCAGTTCACTAATCTCACTGTTCAGACTATTAAGAAAAGAAATCTATAAAGGATCCAGGAACCTTGTTTCTCTTATTGTAAAAATATTTTAAACTCACTAGAAGAATATTTTATGACAAATTATACTTTTAATAAGTCCAATTCATTAGGTCGTATCTTTTGTGAATTGTTGGCAACCCTGTATTAGCTAGAGCCGCCATTTTGTTTTTACCTGAGCCGCCATATTAGAAAATTCTTCATCGTCGTCATCAAGGAAAAATTCTTCTTCTTCCATTATCACAGCATTTATATCCGGTGCCAGCGCATCCACTTCCGGTATCACAGTTTTAGCTTCCGGTTTCAGACTTTTAACATCTATTATCACAGAACTAAAATCACAGTTTTCTTGACCCTGTTGAATATTTTTGATTAGGTTTAATCTTTTTACATCAGAATGAATTATTGATGAAAATTTAGTGTTTGCTGTATTCAATGCTTTCTCAGATATTTCCACTTTCTTTCCAGAAACAATGCTAAATCCTCCCATTTTCTCTTTTGCTTCAATCAATGCTTTCTCTGATATTTCCACATTCTTTCTAGAAGCAGTGCTAAATCCACCCATTTTCTCTTTTGCTTCAATCAATGCTTTCTCTGAAATCTCCACTTTCTTTTCAGAAGCAGTGATAAAGACTCCCAATATCTCTTTAGCTTTAATCAATGCGTTCTCTGATATTTCCACTTTCTTCCCAGAAGCAGTGCTAAATCCACCCATTTTCTCTTTTGCTTCATTCAATGCTTTCTCTGATATTTCCACTTTCTTTCCTGAAGCAGTGCTAAATCCACCCATTTTCTTGTTTGCTTCAATCAATGCTTTCTCTGATATTTCCACTTTCTTTCCCGAAGCAGTGCTAAATCCACTCATTATCTCTTTTGCTTCAATCAATGCTTTTTCTGATATTTCCACTTTCTTTCCCGAAGCAGTGCTAAATCCACTCATCATCTCTTTTGCTTCAATCAATGCTTTCTCTGGTATTTCCACTTTTTTTCCTGAAGCAGTGCTAAATCTTTCCATTAAAATTTCAGTTCCTTCTTTAGTATTTTCAGATGTTTCGGTGTCAGTCACAACTGGATTAGAATCATGGCATAATGTCTCGAAAAACTTGTCAAATTTAGATAATTTATCTGTGGACATCTCAGGGTTGAATTCCTCCAGGTTTTCCTGAAATTTTTCTTCTAACGAACTGTACAAAATCTTAGGTTTTAAAGTTCCCTGACCTACCATTGAACCTGAGTTTAAACTAACAGGTGTAGAGTTAGATTCGGAAATGAAAGGTTTAGACCGAGTTCTAAGGTTACAATCTCCTGGACTTAGATCATTCTTCAGAGAACTAGTGCTTTTACACCCGGAGCTAATATTCTCTTTTCCGTTAAGGTTCGCAGGATCTCCAGAAGCTGTGGCAGGTTTGAGAGCTGAGAGCTGGATGGTTTGAATACCCGGAGAATTTATATTCCCTAGGTTTCCTGGAGTCCCTCCAACCTGAAGTGAGTATATCAGATCTATAATGAGTTTCTGAAGCTTGAAAGGAAAAGAAAATAGTAATGTATTATAAAAAGAGCAAGACTGAGAAAGTTTATGGGAGAGGTAAGAAATGTTTATATAAGGTGCATTCTAAAAAATCGTAATTTTTTCACATTTAAAAAATTTGAAAAAACTAAATAGTAATTACTCTACCGCTCTAATAGTCACTCAAAGATGGATAGAAAGAAGAACACAAGAACAAACCTGGATAAAATGTCCGTGTTTCTTTAATCCAAGAACTCTCCTGATCCCACTACAGTTCCTTGCCTCTGTAGATCTGACTCCAAGAGTTCGGCGGGGAGCTGGTCTACCCCCGGATATATTTTCAGGAGTTTCTAGTATATTGGACTGGATGGTGGAGTTGTTGACGGATCTGCTGATGTCAGTGTTGTTGATGATAACAGTGTCCATCTCAGTGCTGTTGTTAGTAGAGCTTAGGACGGTTTTATTCTCCGATATTCTGGTATCAGAATTGTTCTCAGCTATTCTGGTATCAGAACTATTTGGAGTCTCTGACAAACCTTCATAATTAAAAGGAAATAAAATTTAAGTTATAAACTTGATACAGTCCCACTAGAGTACAGACACATTTCTTCTATAAGTTTTCAGAACCTCAAGGTTCAGACCATGTCCCTTTGTCCCATCCCATCCCATCCCATCCCCCCAACCACCCACCCAATACCACATTTCAATCTCAATCCCCTTCTGCTTTTGTAATATATTAGAACATACTTGATCTAGGTGGAGCTTGATGATCCTTGCAAGAACTGAATCCTGAATCCCTTGACTGCTCCATACACCGGGAGCTAGAATTAGTGGAACTTGACACTTGGAGCATAGATCTCTTGTTTTCTGAACCCGGAGAACTAGACCCAACCTTCCTCCTGATATTAGAATAATTACTTTGCTAACTGCTCCCAGACAGTTTTATAGTTGTGAAGGATTAAAGAAAGCAGCTTTAAATTTAATCATGTTTACAGCAACTTGTAGACACTCTCACAAGTTTCTGGATAAAAAGCTTCATGGTATATAATTACATAACATTAAAATGTTTGAAAATCTAAATAATGAGCAGTATGATAATCGTCTCCGTATTTTTTTATATCTAAAAAAGTCAGTAAGGAAGTTAACTGTGACGTTTCTATCTAAAAAAAAATATTCCCTAACGTATATTATACAGATGCAAATATCATTCATATCGGTATTTATAGTAAAAAAAACCAAATAACACCACATGTTTTATGTAGCACTATGAAAGTGATACTGAACAATGAAAATGTTATCCTACACTGGATATAAAATTAAAGATACAGGGTTTCCAAAAAAGGATGCGACTTCAGAGACGACTGTACGGAGTTTATTCAGTTTTTTTTCTATCCATTAATTCTTGCTCTCCGGCAGCTACAACATTTTTTTATCCTTCTATTCAGTATTAAACTAAGTTATGGATAGAAGATCAAACAAACCGAATCGAATCGAATCAAATCAAATCATGGTTTAAATGATATAAGATGTTTGGTGGGATGGATCCATGATAGATAGATAGTGAGTTTGATTTTATTTTAGAAGGTTTGCTTGCAAGCAAAGCATTTTTGGTTGTCATTCCGAGTCTAATCCTGTTGGTAAAACTATATAGAATCCCTCTAAATATTGGCTTATGATATTTTGTAAAATGTATCTATCTAAATAACATTAAAACCCATGACTTTGCAGTTCTTTCGATACAATATCTCTAAGCTAATCTTAACATCAGACCCGAGATTAAATATGAAATTCATCAATTCTATTCAAATTTCAAATGGTGAACGAAATTTCAAGAGATCTTCCATTAAAAGGTAAGATGTCAGGTTTATAACGCTATCATCTAAATTTCTCGTACGCAAGTGACTTTTACAGAGAAATTATCCATTTTGTTCATAGATTACATCCGATACCTAGGCACAGAATTTCTTCCGGAATTTTGGGCTAAAAACAACAAGTTTATCTCATTTATCCTTGAAGAAAACCAGGCTGAAAGAGCACTGTTGTGAATTGGATATGCCACTCTACCAATAAAGACAGGGTCACTTAAAATTACGTTTATAATCCCTTGAAAAATATATAAAACTGTAAACCTGAGAGGGGTACTGGTGCTAAGAGAACCCTCTCTCTCCTCCCACTCCTCACAGAACTGCTCCAGGACGGAGACGGATAGATCTCCGAGGAACTGCTGGGTTGAGTTCTCCGGACTCTCAGATATTTTAACTCTTTTCAAGGGACAACTCCTAGATTTAAATACTATGTTAGAATAAAAATAACCTACAAATCCATACTCATATAAAAATCATGAGTTGATACAAGTGAGAGGGTAACTATCTAATCAGAGCTGGAAACTTTTAAATGAACGGAATGAAGTAACCCAAAACTACGCTCGTTCAAGGAGCTTGAATCTGGTAATTCTTCGAACCTTTCCCACTTTGAATGAAGTTAGGAGATTTGACCAATGTGTTACATTTCAAACCACAGATAGCTAAAAGATACATTCTAAGATCATTAAAAAGTTACTGAAAGAGATTTAAATTTTAATTCATAATACAGTAAAGTCGAACGGAAATTTGATGTCTATACGAAAGTGGGGAAGTATCTTCTGTTAAAGACCCTGTTTTGGAAACAAAAGCTAAACCTTTTGGTTAGGATAAGGCTTAAAGCCGTATCGACATATACAAGGTTTCTAACCAGAGATAATAATGAAATGATTCAAAGAATGAACTTCTTAGTCCCGACGATTTGGATCAAACCCGCCAGGGGAGAGGGGAACCACTGAGCACGTTATGAACAGATTAAAAATACAAAAGTTTTGACCTCGGTTTATTTACCTGATAATGGGAGATCCAACATCTCCATCAGCCTGGATATCCAATCCGTTCTCTTTCAACCTGAAACCCTTCTCAGCTCCTCTTTCCTGCTTCATATTTTCTTCCTCCTCTCTCCTCTGATCATTATCTTCATCCTGTTTCAGCAGATTTTCATCTAAACCATTCACGTTCATTTTGGGCCGGTTTTCTTCTTTTTCCTCCTTTTCCGTATTTATTTCAAGATCATCTTAACAAAAAATTGTATTGTTTACAATATAATCCAAAACTTATCTAGGAAACTGCAATGAAATAAATGTCTTCTCTCGGTTTTTATATTTAATTGGAGAAAAGAGATTAATGTTCCGAGTATTCTAGAGTTGGGGTGTTTGGTAGAATTCCTATATTCTGCAGAACTTGGATGTTAAATGATGTAAACTTTGAAAATAAATGTTTACTTCTTCTGACAGTTTTGCATACAAATTGAACTACACCAGGGTGGTTCCTAAACCTCCCTACCCCCCCCCCCCAAATTATCTCCACATTTACATCAATACAATGTAATCCAAAAAGTGCGATTTTCAGTCCTTAACATCTTTAAAAGACTCGGAAATTTGCAGCAGTATGTTGTTCTAACTTTTTAACTGGGTCGTTAAAGTAATTTTTTGTCGTCCGATGATTTGCTCTGGCATAAAACTCTAACGACCCTTTCAAAAATTAAAAACTATAAGCAGAAGCTAAAGGACTTTGAACACCTTTCCTTTTATTGTGTTAGAGTGAGATAGCATAAATAGCTAGTCTTATCACATCTATTACAACATCTTTCTTAATAATCTTCCTAGAGTTATGACTGGATTAAAGCTGACTTTGTAGCTTTGAATAAATATCTAAATCTGTATAGATGATTTGTGCATAAAGCTGAACTTGGAGTTGAATATGAAAATGTCCTTGACCTATACCTTGATTGTATCTGGATTTTACTCTGTTCATTGAATATAGTTTCTTTGTGAAATCTTTACACTGGATAATGATATTTGTACCTGATGTTAAACCTAATATCTTGTTCAACACCTGTATTTGTACCTGGATCAGTACCTGGATTAGTACCTTGATTTCTACCGGAATCCCTGCTTACATCAGTCCCTGGATATATTTCTGAACCTTTATCTGGATAAGTCCCTGGATTTGCATCTAGATTAGTACCTGGATAAGTACCTGGATCAGTGTCTGGATCCGTACCTGGATCAGTGCCTCGTACCTGGATCATTACCTCCTAGATTAGTACCTGGATTAATACCTGGATTAGTACCTGGATTAGTACCTTGATTAATACCTAGGTAGTACCTGGATTTGTGCCAGGGTGAGTGCTTGGATCCTACCTTGCTCTGTGTCAGGATTAGTACTTAAATCCGTGATTTGATCAGTACCAGGATCTCTGGTTGTATGAAAACCAGGAATTCAGCTTGTATTAGTACCTTGATCTCTGCTTGTATGTTTACCTGGAGATATACTATCCAGTTCATCAGTATCATCCATATCTACCAGCTCAACCTCCGAAGTTGCTGAGAAGTTCAGCTTGGATCTAAGTGAGTTAGTGCTGGACTGATTGTTTACAGTTTCATCATTTGGGCTGAACAGGTTTCTGCTGGGTGGACGGCTCCCCCGTAAAACTGGATTCTGAATTATATAACAATGATTTCATCATTTCGTAAAGGATATGAGTACTTTTCAGTTCTATGCATTCATCTTTGTGAACTTTTTTTACAGTTCTTTTCTTTGAAATAGAACAAAGAAATCAAACTATTAATCAGAGTTATCTAATGTCAAAATGTCAAAAAAAAATAAAAACGTACCCATTAAACTTTTTTTATTTTTTACAAAACTGTTGGATTTCTACAGTAAAGAAGCTAAAGAAAAAACCCATATATTCATATAAAAGAAAGAAATCCAATATTTTCGCCATCGTTTACAGATTATTCCTGTTTATCCTTTCACATTTATAAACCTTTTTCATAAAAGTATCCCACCAAGGGACTGTGTAGGTAATTTCCTATTTAAAAAGTTGCGTTGCATTCCCAATTTACAGGGGGTATAGGTTAAAGCCAAGAAGTATGAAATATAAGGGAGATACAACTGATGCGGCCCGCCCTACCATATGATTATACATGCTTTGCAGACGGTACTCCATTTGAATAAGAAATATTTGTCTGATGTACAATTACCACGTATACAATAACTTATTCTGAATATTTCTTATACAAATGGAGTACCCGTCTGCAAAGCATGTTTCTCCCCTTCTATTTCATACTCCTTGGTTAAAGCGTTATCTCAACGCTGTTAAGTAATATATTGATGCTTTTCTGTCATAAAATGTTAAATTCTGATAAATCTGTATCTCTCATGCAAAAATCCTAAAGAGAAAATATAAATACATCACTATCTTTATTATTTTTACTGGCACAAAGGTTTTAAGTGCATCTGATATGCAGTCCCTATTTAAATATAAGGTAACCAGGAGGAATTGCGTATATAGTCTCATTAAGAGAATACTGACGGTCCTAGTCTGGTTGTAAGAGACGTTAACAAACCCCGTGTACGGTTAGGATCAAGATTACCCGAATATATATCCTTGGATCTTTGTATTTATTTAGTCTGGTTGTTAGACAAGTATTTACATCAAGTCCCTGGAGATATACAATTAAACAACAAACAAACTTGAACCCTTATATTAAACCGAGTAGGGGATGGCGTCGCGGACAAACTTTGATATTTATGTCTAACGGTAAAGGTGGGTAGGAGTTATCATTCACGTATTTTGTATTAAAACAAATTTAAACCCCACCTTAGGTCTTGAGGGTGAAAGATGGATCCTCTCAATAGTGTTCATATTATCCCATTTAATCTTCCCGTTCTCATCAGTAGCAGGAACAAGGTTAGATAGAGGAGTCTCAAACCTTGTATCCCAGGTCACAGGGGTACCTGGATATAGTTGTATTAAACCTTGTATCCCAGGTCACAGGGGTATCTGGATATACTTGTATTAAACCTTGCATACCAGGTCACAGGGGTACCTGGATATAGTTGTATTAAACCTTGTATCCCAGGTCACAGGGGTACCCGGATATAGTTGTATTAAACCTTGTATCCCAGGTCACAGGGGTACCAGGATATAGTTGTACCTTGTATCCCAGGTCACAGGGGTACCTGGATATAGTTGTACCATTATTCCCAGGTCACAGGGGTACCAGGATATAGTTGTATTAAACCTTGTATCCCAGGTCACAGGGGTACCTGGATATAGTTGTACCTTGTATCCCAAGTCACAGGGGTACCTGGATATATTTGGGATAAAATTTGTATACCAGGTAATATAAAAATATATTTAAATAAAAATATATTAAAGAAAAACTTTCAGAACGATTTTCATACCTTTGCAACCTAGGCTTGCAGCGATCTTGAACCCTGCTGGAGAATCGAAATTAATCGGCTCTTCATCTTCCATCAGATAAGTCCATTCGATAGAACCCTGTAATACACAGGAAACCACGTCACTTTTTAAAATTAAATTTCTTTTTCTATTTGAAGAAAATTTTTCAGAACCCGCCCCACATCTTGTCAGTTAATAAAATGTACGATATTAAAACAAAATTGGCAGAAATGTTTCCGATTTTGGAGAGAACGAAAACAATTTTAGGTTCAACGTGTACTGTTAGGAATGGTTTATTATCTTGACTCTTTATGTGAAGGGTCGTTTTAGTTACGTTTACTATTTATTGAATTGAGGAAGTAGTGGCTTTTCAACATTTTAATGTGTAACAAAACCCATGGCCATTGGCCACTGTTGGAGTAGTTTTTTTTTCTGATCAAAGGTCGAAATTAATGAATAGCAAGAGTATTTGGCCAAGGTACGAAATGTTGAACTACTTTTCTAGTGTGGCCAATAGTGCAGTAGAGAAGTTTGCACTTCATCCAACTAAATACTTCTGCTAGAAATCCGGGTAGGATTATAGCAGGAGCGTTAGAGTGGTCTTTTGTGGCGTCTTACGTTCAAATGATGTTATCCAGTTCATCTCCTTCAGCTCCGTTGCCCATCTTTTCCAGGGTTTAACAACCATGTTTGAAAAGGTTACTCCTTACATTAATCCTAATTGGCCTCATCACTAGGTTCAAACAATAAGCAGATTATCTTGTCAAATAGACATATCAAATTCAAATACTTCTCGCTATTAATTAATTCCGACCTCTGGATTCACTGCTACAAAAATGACTGTTAAAAATCCTCGAATGATATCCAGGTATAACCTACATCTGTAAGATCCGTCTCCTCTCTCCTGCTCCTCTGACTAGAGAGAACAGGACTGCAGGGTTCATCTCCCAGGATAGGTTTCTCCAAACAGGTTCCAGGTTCAAGCTCAGCTTTAATCTCAGATGTAAGTTCCAGTGTTCCATCTTCTGGTTCAGCTCTTACTTCAGATTCAAGACCAAGTTTAGACTCAATAAATGTCGGCTCTAAAATTCAAAATGATGAGAGTAAAACATAAATTCATTGAACAATAAAGTAAAGTAACGTTTAAGGCCGTTAGTGTTTGATAAAGCAAGGAAAAAAATATTCAAGTTTAAACTTCAATGATCCCCCGATATGCTTTTCTTATATTTAAATCACAGCTTTTTAAGACCGTTTCTATATACAACAATAAATCCTTTTTGTTGCACATTTTTGGAATACTAATTTAATAAATTTTTTTTCTGATCTTATTTTATAAAAATGTAAGTAATGAGTATTAATGATATAAACCTGAAACATACAAAATTTAATGTTTCAGGAAAAGTTATTTAAAAACCTCCAAAAATAGGTTGTGGGAATATTCCCCCCCGAATTCTTAACAAATGTAGATGAATAACTCCACCTTGTTTTGGATCATTTGATGTTGGATTTTCAAGAATTTGATCCTCCTCCAAGCTCTCTTGAGAGTCGTCAGGTAGAAAAATCGCGAATTTGCGTCCGATAGCTTCAGCCCGGTTGGGTATCCGGGTCCTACAACTACTGGAGAGGATGGGACTGGGTAGCTCCGGCTCCGGTGGTATCTCTACATCTACCCGGAGAGGAACCAGATTAGTAGAGTTGAGTCTGGGCACCTCGTCCTAGATAGGGATCCAAGTCTTAATTGAATTTTTGAGATTCACATCCCGAAAATATATCTGTTTGGTCCTTTGCCAATTAATTAAGCCAATAAATTTTGATTTTGATAATAGTATTTATAGAATTTGAAAACTTTCCATTAGTGCTTTTTTGTTGTTAGCCGATCTGTTTGAAATTAGTATTTTAAAATTAATATCGGTTTAAAGATTGAAAAAGTTTCTAACGTTTTTTAAGTAAAATTCAAAGCTTAATTTTTTGTGTTAATTTGCAGTAAACTTAAAATTAGCTGAGTTTACAGTAAACTAAACAATAGGCTTTTGTGTTAATTGCAGTAAACTTAAAGTTAGCTGTACAATACAGTATACTAAACAATATGTTTTTGTGTTAATTGCAGTAAACTTAAAGTTAGCTGTACAATACAGTATACTAAACAATATGTTTTTGTGTTAATTGCAGTAAACTTAAAGTTATCAGTTAGCTGTAGTAAACTAAACAAAATATATTGTGTAAACTGCAGTAAACTTGAAATTAGCTCTAGAAAACTGAACTATAGATATTGTGTAAACTGCAATAAACTTTAAGTAAGCTGAAGTATACTAAACTATAGATATTGTTTAAACTGCAATAAACAAGTAAGCTGAAGTAAACTAAACTATAGATATTGTTTAAACTGCAATAAAATTGAAGTTAGCTGAAGTATACTAAACAATAGATATTGTGTAAACTGCAGTAAACTTAAAGTTGCTGAAGTATACTAAACTATAGATGTTGTGTAAACTGCAATAAACAAGTTAGCTGAAGTATACTAAAAAATAGATATTGTGTAAACTGCAGTAAACTTATAGTAATCTGTAGTATACTTCAAGCTTAAACCAGCTGTTTAAGCTGTAAAAACCATTAAACTTAATGTTGAAAATATTGGCATAATGTTACTCCAATTTCTCAACCTCCATTGTTCCTGGAAAGTTATATTTTAGGTAACAAAATGTTTGTTTAAGATAAATGAACCCTGAACCAACATGTTTAAGAGCTGGGCTGGGTTCTAAATATTTAATCTCCTATTTACTTCTTCATTAGCTAGACCATACATTTAGAAATTATACAACATATCTATAAGAAATAAAGAGGCTCCTTGTCCTAATTGTTATTTTAAATTTTTTATTAAACTGATTTAAGCGAAAAATACAGGTTGATCGGCATTTTTGTTTTGTAAACGCTATACGAAGTGATATGAATAATTTTGTATCCTAGAGAATCTATATATCCATAACCCAGAAACCCTAAACAGATTTGTATCAAATTTTGAATAGGGAACTAGTCATAATTAAAGGTCATCATCCATGGACTGCAATATTGAAGTAGTATCTCTCTGGCTCCTCTAGTGGCTTAGACTATAATTTCCTATTATAATTGTGGAAAAGATGGTCATATCTCATGAGATTCCAGAGGAGAAAGGCAAAATAATGTGAGGAAAGAGAATGGAACTGTAGGAGACGGAGAGATAGCGGAAATGGCTATATCTATGGCGGAGATGAAAGAGACGATCAAGAAGTTAGCTCCGGATGCGGTTTTTCCGTAGAGGGTTCCAATACCGGACGACTGGAAACCCTGGAAATGAAGAAGCCTAATTGTGTGAATAATTATAATTATTCAATTTTGTGTGCAAATTTGATGTAAGGGTCATTTTTAAAAAGGATGATTATAATCCAAATATAAAAACAATAATGATCAAAATTATATATCTAAAGACTCAGTCTTTGGAAATTAGACACCAAGACATATAATTAACTTGCTGGGGAACCCATCTTTGCCTGGAAAAGAACACTTCTCAATAAAAGTCAACCAATTCAACTCAAAACTTTAACCATTCCCCTTGTTCTACCGAGTTTCCAAATCAAAATCGGTCCAGAGGTTCCCGAGTTCTAAAAGAACATGCAAACAAACAAAAAAAACAGAGATTACTACTTTATACATATAAGACTGCTTTATTTAGATTAGATTAAATTTTAAGACAACTAACTAAACGTATATCATGCAAATTGCACAATGCACATCGCTAACTACAAATTGCCATGCACAAATTTTTTTAAACTTAAAGTTAATAAGATCGAAAACCATCTTGCCATGAAGAGAATTATCAAAAATGGGATTTGAAAGACGACATTTTCCTAATATAAATTATTTGTTTTACCTGTTTTTTTGAGGCCTTATAAGGCGTGGAGAAAGTAGCAGGCGTCCGCACTATTAAGAGGTTGTTAACTAAGTTAGCAAACATAAAATTATTTACAAGTAAATCTGTAAATAGAACCTTCAAAACGAAAACATGCACACTAACTAAAATAACCTGATGAAAACAAAAGATAAAAATCATTTTAATAGTTTAAAACAAAATCTTGGGTTTCAAGACCAAATGAGAAACGCCTTAACATATGACCGATCAGGATTAGAAAATAGCACAGCAAAAAAAATTTTTTTCTTAAATTTAAAAATAGAAAGTCAAAAATAAAATCATGAAAATCTGCATAATTCTTTAGTAATGCCATTAAAAAAATTGTATTTAAAAAATATTTAGAACAAATGTAACAGAATCCTTTTATCGGAGGAACTTTATATTGTTCCTCATTCTATTTGTTTAAAGAACAGGGTGATTGATTCTTTCTTTGATCACTCGAACAATTTTCATTATTAATAAATATGAACATTTTAAAATAAATAGTTTAGATTTTTTAAAGAGGTTTTATATATGTTGGGGAATCTGGAAAACTTTAACTGTATTTTTAAAGAAAAATAAGACTGCAGAGAAAAATATATACATCATATAAAAACATGTTTCTTTCTTCTAGATCTTTAATTAAAAAAAATAAAGACATCAACGCGAAAGTTATTGTTTTATATTAATTTAGAATTTGCTGTCATTGAAAAACTTTTTATTTAAAAAAAAAAATATTTTAAAATTGTTAATACAAGTTAAGGCTGATAGAATTCCCCTTGCAAGAAGGAAAAATTCATGAGGAGAAAGATCTTTCTTGTTGAATAAAACATGTTAATGTCCAGGTTGAAAACTCACAATTTCTCAGAATAATAAAACCCAGGAAGAACATTAAATGTGGAGGTTTATAAAATGAATATTGTAAGATTTTTGATTTTTCTTAACTTTTCGAATAATTTTCCACAGAGTCATGAGTTTATTAAACCGGTTTAATTTTGTAATTGGTGGTTTTTAATGGTTGGAATTAGTGGATTCGTTGGATTTATCTAGAACAAGACTCAACATTGAAACTAATTCTATACTAAAACCATCAAAGGTCGGTTTTTTTAATTGGGCCTAAATCATAAAGTCCAGCCTTAGAGCTGGCAGCTGTCGATCACGTGACACAAGCTATCGTCATCTGATTCATAAGTTAGGTCTAAGATTGAGCCTAAACCTGTATCTAAGGAATTAAGACTCGAGCCGAAGCTTCCAAATAGTGAGCGCAGATAAAACTGTAAAACAAAAAGACAAGTTTTGGACTCAAGTTGATTTCTAAGCTACTGGATAAGTTATTTTGCTGTATAACATCATCAAATGCACATAAAGCTTCCCTCCCTCCAGATTTAATTAAAAATAATTAAAAGTTTGTAAAAAAATTATAAAAAGAAAACATTTTAATAAAAATTTCTTAAGCTTAAAAAGTTTAGTTTTTTTTCAGCCTAGGGAAGGGTCCAATACCCTCCTGATATGTCTTATACAACTTGGTAATTCAAGTCCAATCTCAACTTTTCAGAGGTTCCAAGACTCCGGAAAGAGATATCGACAATCTGACTTCATATCCTGCTCCTAACAAATTATATGAGTCTACGTTCAAAAATAGAACCGGCTGCTATTAATATTGAAAGAGATATTACAAAATGTCTTACTTGACACGGGTTCTTTTTATTTAAAAAAACCCCCGAAAACTCTAAAAATTAAATAAACATAATTGTCAAAAAAAATGCCAGAAATAGAGCCGAGAAAAAGGGCTGCAAATAATATCTAGCATACGTGGTCATATTTACGAATTTGAAAACCTAAACAAGATCTAATAGAAAATAGTTTGCCCTGTATAGGAAAACTTCTTCTTAGATAGCCAATCATAATTATATAAATAAATAATAGAGAAGCAAGAGAATACTAATTAATGTATAATAATGGTAAAGGGAGGCAAGGAAAACTACAATTACACAATCAAGAATCTAATAAAGAATTTGAAATTTTTACTGAAGTTTTTATAAAACATTCACAGCAGTACTATTGCATCAAAATTAACAAAATAAAGAAATATTCATTTACAACTATTTTCTGATGCTCTAACTTGAAATAGATTTTTCAACTATATTTTGCTGCCTCAACTTAAAAGTAACTTACATCAAATCAGTTTAATCTTCACATGCTGCTATCTACATAAAGGGACATGCAAAGGGTATAAAAAGGGGACATTTAATCTCCCCTAAGTTCGAAAATTATGAATACAAACAAGAAGTTTAACTAAAATGGCTAATTCTCTAGTGCACACACTGTCACACTAGAGAAGAAGTTTAACTAAAATGGCTAATTCTCTAGTGCACACACTGTCACACTAGAGAGGAAGTTTAACTATCAGTACCTAGTTCAAATACTTCAAATACTCGCTATTCATTAGATCCCACCTCTAATATTATTTAAAAGACCCCTATTTACAAACTATTAGCTACAGTACAATATAATTGATGGATATTGGAAAGATTATACTATTCTACTCCATGCTGAGGATCCAGTATCCACTAGATCCGCAACATTATATCTCACTGGATCCGGATCCGGGCCCAGATAGCAAAATTATTCACTTAAACATGGAAAACAAAATGATGGCTCTCAGTGTTAATTAGTAAAAAATCATTTAAGCCTTCCTAACAATTTAAATTGAAATTAAGTTTCTACGTTAAATTAGTGAAAAAATAAAAAAGCTTTTGAAGACTGTTTCTGGTAAATGAATTAGCAAAACTTTATAAACTGGATCCGGATTTGGGTACGAAGCACTGATTTTATAAGTATTAGAAAAAACACATTTGCTTAGAGAAATATCATGTTTCTTGGTTAAATTAAATATGTGCTCTTCTTAACTACTTGAACAACGAGTGGTTAGGATTTGGATCAGCAACATTTTAGTTGCCTGGATCTGGGACCGAAGTTAATGATCTTGAACTGCATACCGTCGCCGGTTCAAATTTGAATCTACTTCCTTTTTCTTAAACTTTGAATCGATAGTTAAAATTTTTACAGGCAGTAGCAGTTCAGTGATGTTGCTCAAATTCATTAAATTCGGTCTCAGGATCCAAATCCAAGGATAAATTATCAATCAAAATGGAAGAAATACTAAGCATTATTTACTACAACGCATATTCTCTTATCCCAACCTTGAATCTCTGTTTTGTTTAACCTTGCCTGTAGTCTACTGCATGGTCCCAGGGGTATACTTCAGTCTCTTACCTTCTTATGTTCCATTTTATTCCTGCATTCATTCACGTCAACACAATCTTAACAACAAAATTACATCAAAACAAATTAGATCAAATCAAGCTTTTAGGGACATCTTAATCTCTACACTCCAAAGTTAAAGTGAAGCTCACATATTTAAAGGAGCCTTGTACTCCTAACTTCGGTAGATTAATCAAAGGGGGTTTTCAATGGATACAATTTGACCCAAAACTGAAGAATGTCCCTCACTTCAAGCCCAGAATCAGTTTTAATCCATCATGGTGATGAGTTAGGTATGTACACAGAGCAGGAGGAGCGCAATTTTGATTATGTGACGTCCTTAATAAAAATTAACCCCCACTGAACACATTCCTGACTACTTCCTCGAAAGTGAAAGATTTTACATTGTTCCTTCATAAAATTGCATTAAACAAAATTCCAGTCACGTGCCTCTCCATCTTACTAATAATTTTTTGATGATTATTTTACACATTTGCTTTTCAACTTCTAAATTGTCAGAACCACCCTGTAGATAGAGTGCCTACTGAGTTACCCTGTATCTAGTTTAATCTTATAAAAGATTGGTATAGTCAGTATAGACTGTAGACATACAGATAGTATAGCCCTGGTATAAGAGGTCTCTGGAGAAAAGAAAAACAAGTAGACTTACACACACACATGAGCATACACAAACACACTCTTACAGAACCACTTTCACAAAAATATTACATAAAAGTAAAAAAGATAGATTTTTATAACAAAATCTCTGCTAGAAACCTCAAATAGTTCAAACTCCATGTTAGAAAGTTAGGTTTGTTAGTAAGAAACGGTTTCTGTAAGAAAATAAATAAAAAAAAAATGGCCGAAATTGTACAAGACAGGCTGTACAAGACAAGACTGTACAAGACAAGACTGTACAAGACAAGACTATCCAAGACAAGACTGTCCAAGACACTGTCCAAGACAAGACTGTCCAAGACAAGACTTTCCAAGACAAGACTGTACAAGACAAGACTTTACAAGACAAGACTGTACAAGACAAGACTGTACAAGACAAGACTGTACACGACAAGACATGTACAAGACAAAACTACAAGACTTTACAAAACTGTAAAGACTGTACAAGACTTAACATGACATAACATGACAAGACAAGACAAGACATAACATGACGAGACGAGACGAGACGAGACGAGACGAGACGAGACGAGACGAGAGGAGACGAAACGAGACCAGACGAGACGAGACGAGACGAGACGAGACGAGACGAGACGAGAGAAGACGAGAGGAGACAAGACAAGACAATCTCTAATTGGGAAACAAGACGATATACTCCTTATTGTTTATCCGATCAAGGAATAAATGTAAAGAGACAGGTACTCATTTTAAAAGAGTACCTGTCGTGAATCGTGTATGGAACGCTTTAAACTTGGGTCGACAGTCCTTTAAAGACCGCGAGTTCTCCCTGTATCTAGCTAAACTACCTGGGTATGATGTAATGAACAGTAAATCTGTCTTCTTCTGTAGAATCCTCCAATACCGACCATCTTATCCATTCTACATTTTTATATCTGCAAAGTAAATAACATATGTAAAGGACAATTAAAAAATCATTTAATCTACTTTTATTCTATTATCACAGAAAATGTAGTTAACACAAAAGGTTTTATATCAATGTTATTTTCGACACAAATCTACTTTAAAGGGAGTGACCGGCAATGTATGGTAGTTGAACTGAGAATGTAGTGCTGTTAAGAAATGTTTTAAGAATCATTTGAGACCTATCATTTACGGTGCATATTTTTTCAGCAAGAGCAAAAATTCAATGCTTAAAATCCTCATAAATTGTTTATTTTTGAGAGATGATTATGAGAACCGGCTTTAAAAAATTTATTCAACGACGAAAACTTTGGTAAAAATTCTGCAGTAAACTAATTAGTTGTTTATGAACAGGTTGAGAAAATAAAAATTAACTATTATCATCGAAAATAATCTTATTCAGTTATTGGTTTCTGTAATTTTTCATTGTTCACAAGCATTTTCTGTAGATTTCCCAAAATTTTTATTGAAAAGACGACATTCGAAGAATTTGAAGAAGTCGGCAAACCAATTCATAAAGAATAAGAAATTTAATATGATATGTATATAAAATTATTTTTTTCACATTTTAGTCCTCGTTATTTAATAATTTAAAAAATCGATTCTCAAAACGTAACCACCCAAATGGATGATTTTGAACTTCGAATTTGCGATCAAACTCAGTAATTATACATCATTAAAACGCTTTAATTGTTTCATGAATCCTAAAAAATTTCTCCACAATACTACATTCTCCGTTCAACTACCATGCATTGTCGGTCACTCCCTTTAAGGAACAGGATCTGAACACAATCATATTCGAGGTTCTGTTCAAAACACAAAAATTACGAAGAAACTATGAGTTCATATACATTCTTTTTTAAACATTTACTTTTTAAAAATGAGGTTATTGAATTGTGAAGTGTACATACATGCACTGTACTTTATACATAAAATAAGCGTATAAGATGAGCGTATTAGGTACCTGGTGCATAGTAAAAATCGGTAGATTTTCAATATGCATGAAACTGGGAGGAAAAAGACTTAATACTTAAAGGTTGTACCAGTGCTTAGGATCCATTTAAGTTTTATGCGGATCCTGATCTTGGATCCGCACTGGAAAAAATGAATCCGCATCCGGATTCAGATAATGATCATTTCTTAAATATTTCCTTATTTTTTTTTAGCAGAACAAGAATTTTTAAATTATTTAACTTCTTCTTTCCCCGTTATTTTTAATAACCTTTAAAAATTAAGATTTATTTTTGATAACTTATCTTTTTTTCAACAGTTTAGATTTGAAAGTTGAGAGCCAACAGATCTTTGTTGGCAGATTTGGATCCGTGTTGGAAACAACGGATCCGGATCCTAAGCACTGGGTTGTACTATATCCGATATATCGCATGAACATATCAATACGAGGAAATATGTTATCCGGAGTAGGTTAAAGACTGAGAAAATACTTAACATCTTTCAAAAACTTTGTAAAGATCCGGCAGGTTTGCAATCTGTAGTAAAGATTTATCCGTCAGACAGGATGCAGGAGGAAGCAAATATTTCTTGAATGCTGGATACACAACATGTTCTGAAAAAAAATTAATGATATTTTACAAAGGATTTGAGTTATTGCCACAAATTCTTATTTTCTTATCTCTATATCTTTGCAACCCATTGTCGAATACCTTATGCATATAGATATTTCAACTATAAATGCTGTTAGATCAAATAATTAAAGCTTGAGATATAAAAGTTAACACCATAATGTTGCAAATATTTAGGGATTAGAAACCAATTTTTATACAGGGTTACTCATAAAGGATGAGACTTCAGAGACGATTGTAAGTAAATTATTCGATCTTTTATCTTACATTTCAGCTTCTTCTCCGCTGTAAACTTATTTTTTCTTTGGCAAATCCTTTAGCACTAAACTAGCAGGCCATTAAAGAATATTTTTATGGTATAGCGCCAAATCAAATCATTAAATCGATATATTTAAAGAGTTTTAAGTCATCATTAAAGTCTCATCTTTCGTGGGTAACCACTAACCTTGTAATACAATCGGTTTTTCTAACAAATAGTTTAGTTATATAAGATTTGATCTGTAGAACAATTTGGTTGATTTTTTCATGTAGAAAACTGAACAATTCCGTAGAGTTTTAACTATGCAAAGCTTGAAAAGAATTCTGTGTGTAAAAAGAGTCTAACATAAGATCGATGTTCAAGGTGGAAACTTTTGATTTAAACCTTTCCATTGCTTTATCGGTGAAACAGAAAACAGAAATATAACATATATATATATATATATATATAACATTTCACACTGTACATACTGCAAATTGTGCATTGTACACTGCAAACTGCACATTTCAAAATGCACATTACACACTGAACGCCACAATCTGTACACTGAAAACTACAATATGTATACTGCACACTTCACTTGCTGTATATTGCAAACTGTACACTTAACTCTTTACACTCCACAGTTCAAACTACAAACCGTACACTTTATTCTTTACATTGTACACTGGAAAATTTGTACACTCTAGGCTTTACAATGTACACTATATAGACATGTGCGATAATAGGTTAATCCGAATGCGTCAATATAGGCGAGTGCCATAATAGGTTAATCCGAATGCGTCGACATAGACGCAAAAGAAAGTTTTGTTTGCTATACATTTTAGCAAAAAAGTTTGGAAACATAAATTTCTTAAAGATCCCCTTTGGAATCTGTCCTTGAAACTTCATGTAATTCTGTCGACAGGGGAGCTGGTCGGTATTAATGGGTTAGTATAGTCATTTCAAGATTATTTATGTGGTCGTAGGAAATACCTAGAAGTTTGATTTGATTTAATTGATTTGATTTGATTTGATTTAATTTAATTTGGTTTGATTTGATTTGATTTGATTTGATTTGATTTGATTTGATTTGATTTGATTTGATTTGATTTGATTTGATTTGATTTGATTTGATTTGATTTGAAAGCATAGAAAAAGCTGACAACATTTTGGAAATGCAAGGAGTTAGGGAATACTGTGAGTATTGTTTCAAGACCCATACATGTAATATTGTTGCTAGAACCAAACAAGTAAAAGTATGTTTACAAATAAATGATGCAAATTAATTAAAAGATTAAAGACGTTCTTAAAATCGTCCCACTGTCATGTTTCAAAGGACAACCTGTAGACTAACACAAGTTCTAACCCCTATAAACATGCTGTATTCCTACCTACAACAAACTTGTAATCCTTCTCCTCCTCTGGAGTAGAATGTTGCTCCAGGTCTACTCTAGCTCCCTCTACACCAGGAACCTTATAGAACCTTAACAATTTTTATCACAAGGGTATTATCTTTTAAAAAAAATACCCCTCCTTTAAAATTTTATCCCCTGTTATGATACAAATCTAGTAGTCATTCCAAAACAACCATTTTTGCTTTTAAACTTTTTTCATGGTACAATTCACAGTGTACAATGCACATTTTTCAGTATGTTAATGCTTATCCTTAATGAGGGGTTGAGTATTGAGTAATCATCCTTCTATTTCGTTAAATTTCTCTGGGCTATTAAATAAAATTTTTGGGACATTTCTAGAATAATTTTTTGTTTTTGTCCAAATGATCAAAAGGCCAAAACTCTAAAGCAGTGAAAAAAATGTTACCTGGCTGTTTCTTCAATCATTGTTCTAAAACACTCGGCCTCGTCCTCGTAGTTAACTTCAGTAGAGAGACGGAGGACGTAGAGGGGTAGTCCGGCAAGCCAGGGACAGTAGTCATCCAGGAGAAGGGGTAGTCCGACTATACAATGCTCACCATCTGGATAAGAGTTGTAGTCATTAATTTTCCCTGCAGATTTGCTTTTAGTTTTTTTGCTTCCCCCCCCCCTTTAAAGAATAATTTTTCTAAATGTCTAAAAGATGAGGACTTCTACCAATGTTGTCTATCTGCAGGGAGAAGTAGTCGTCCAACATTTCCTTGTGCTGAAGGAGAGTGGACACCACGTACTCAGCGAGGTCGTCCTTCGACCCGTCCTCCTCCTTCCATCCAGCCTCCGGTAGATCCAGCGCTAAATAAAACATTTTGTTGCTAGTGTCAGGATACAAAATATCCGGGCGTGAGACAATGCCCAGGGTTAATTCTTTGAAAAGAAGACGACATTCAAAACGAAATATCGTTTTTTAAATCTTTTCTAGTATTGCTATATTTAAAAACTAATTTAAGTGTTTACGTTCAACTTTTAATTATCGATCACAAAGTGCGTCTGTAAAGGAATACATAAAGACTTTCTCCAAGATAAATTTGCCAATTTTATTCCAAAAAATATCAAAAATAATATTTAAAACTCTAAAATTCAGTTTACTCATAACTTATTCTAATATTGTTTTACAAACAAACCTATAAGAGCGAGTTCTCTGATAGAAGGAGCTGGATCTAGTTTCAAGACACCTAGGTTTCCAAAATCCCGGAGCATAAGCTGTCTAGATAGAAAAGAATCGACTTAAAGTCAGGATAAGAGATATCTAAGACTTTCAAGGTTTCTCTAAGTATCAGTTGCCTAGTAAGAGTAAAGAGGAACGAGATAGTAGACACTAGTTTAAAGTTTATAAAATCTAAGAACAAAGTTATATAAATAGACAAATGTTAGCGGTAGTTATGATTATTTTTGGTTCTAAATGTCTGAAGTAAAGGTGACCAGTTATTGCAAGCACTGGCAAAACCATAAGAGTCAGACCGGGATTAAGAATTCATGTATTTCCCCCCCCCCCCCCACATTTAGTTTTTATCAAGAATGTACTTATTCTCAAGTAGCCTGCATCTGAACAATATAAAGGAATGTAAACACAGTAAACAAGTGAGTAAACACTTCAAACCTTTGATCAATCCAACCAACTACAAACCTTTCAACAATCTGTTTTAGCAAACATCAGAGATTATTTAAACCATAAACTTGGGACATAATTAAACACAAGATACTAATTAGTACATCATGAAGTGGTTTATATCTTCTGACCCTACTGAGCTGGAACAATGAGCGATTAGCGATATCTACAAATTCAAAATGAAAAAAATGCACAATTTTGATCAAATGACAATTAAGATCTAGGCTTTGATTTTTAAAATCAATAAAACCAATTTCGTTTTTTTTTGACTGGGGTTGTTTTTTAGTTTTCCTAAGAACTCTTTAATTTTTAGAGCTAAAATTAACTGCCTGAGTTTCAGGCATAAGGCCGGAATTCCTGATTTTATCGATGCCGAACTAAATCTTTGTTTTTACCCACTTTCGAATATTTTTGAGAAAACCCCTTGACAAAAGGAAGCAGATGACACAAGGGTTGCAAAGAGATTTTACTACATCTGGAAGCGATTACAGATGTCAATTAATTTATTTTTGCGGTAATTTTTGCAAACGTTGAATGGCAAGGGTAAAGGCTTTAAAAATGAACCTGAATAAATGTTGAGAGAGTTTGGTTGTATTAGCGAGGTATAGTTTAGTGGAGTGCTGGAAGAGTGCTAGCTTCCTGTTGACGCACCCAACAAATATGTGCGCGGAGAACATTTCACGTGCAATGCTACTGCTAGCCTCCTAGAAAAATGGTTAAAGTTGAGTCTTCTTGAAAATAATTAAGTTACCAGATATCACAAATACAGTTGGACACTTAAATCTGTGGAATCGGAAGACAATATTAGTTCTGATTTTGATTAGTCCAATAAATATGAATCAAAGCATTTGTGTAGTGTGTACACAGACCCATTCCATTTAATAAGTTGATTAGTATCAAACTTCTGGTAAACCTATTTTCATTATGCCAACATCAAATACACATAAAATTGATTTAATGTCGTCTCTATACAACCCGGTTTATGTGTCCAACTGTACTTTCCTTTTTGATTTGAGAAAAATTATCAAAGAAATAGAGTATTTGCCACAAAATATGAGTTTCTAATCCCTTTATCTTTGCTACCCAATGTCGTAGACCTTTGATATTTCAAGCTATGAACTCTGCTAAAACAAAACAAAGTTTAAAATATAAAAGGTTTAAACCGTCAGGGTTAGAATAATCTTATTTTGTGGCAAAGACTCAACTTCTTTAGGTAGAATCTAAATTTTAGTGATAATAAAATCTAAATTTTAGAGATAATAAAATCTAAATTTAGATAATTATTTTTCTCTCTTTTTTTATTATTTCCGGGGGAATGGGATGATTAAAAAAAATTAACCTGAAATTTTTGTCTGAGAATCTTGATACTGGATAGTTTACACTCTCTGAACTCCGGAGTATTGACGGAGTCAGGTTCGGGGATTTTCGTCTCTTTAACATCTTTAACATCACTCCGGACCAAGAACTTGTCCAGCTTCTGATCTGAAGAATCCGTCCGGACGAAATCTTTCGGCGCAATCGTCTTTTCCAGCTTCGACTAAATTAAAAAAAAAAAAATTTAATTTTTTAAATTTAAAAAAAACTGAAGTTTTGACAAAAACTAAAAAACAATAATAATACTAACACGATAACCTAAAAATAAAATAAATAAAACATAAAATAAAACGTAAATACAAAAACAAATTAATTAGAAACTTTCTTTACTAATTAAAGCGCAACGCTGAAAATGGCAAAAACGAACATAATAAAAGGAACTATGAGCGTAATTTCAAGTGCCTCCTAGCAAAGATGGCAAAGCCGGATTCACAACGGAATCCTTGAGATCTTTATGCAATCAATAATGTGGAAGATATTGTCGTTTTTCTAGGATTAAAAGTTGTTAATTCCTAAATGTTTTTTGCAGTAGAAATGCGAAAGACACTTTAGAGAAGTCACAATTTAAAATAATCAGTTTTTAAAATTATAAACATTAATATCTAGTTCATACTTGATCAGACAATGATTTTAAGGCTACCGTTTTTTATCGGGCATTGTCATCTGTACATGGAGGGTCACTTGAAATTACACTTATAGTCCCTTTGAGAAGCAAGGAAAATAACCTGACCTTTGGTTCCAGAATCTCCAGGGTAGCTCCAGCTCCAGGTAACAGTTTCTGTGTATAGAAGGTTCGGGATGCATTCGAGTTTAACAGTTTCTCCTCTTCACAATAACATGGTTCAAAGACATATCCGTTCATAATAAAAACTCCAATCCTCCCCCCCAAAAATTTTTTTTCTTGAATTGTAAATATGGTAAGCATTGGGCAAATAGTTTTATTTGAGTTGAGTCTGGTAAAATTTATCCGTTTTCCGACATTTCAGAATTTTTTTACAAGGTGCAAATAAAACCTTTAAAGTATATGATTTGTAATTAATAAACCTACTCAGGTTTTTTTGTCACAACTCTTAATGTTCGAAAAATGTTAAATAGATAAAAAAACTTGACCAATCTTTAAAAAATGTGATTTTTAAAATAAAAAATATATAAATTACAAGTAAATATTTCTAAAAATCAAGCAGAGTAGTTCTAAAATCCCATAAAAAACCCTATCTGGTGAATAAGGTCCTTACCTAGTCCCTGCTGTATCTTCTCAATGATAGCGTCCTGATGCAGGAAGAAGACCTCATGTTTGGTCGGGTGAACGTTTACGTCCACGTTACAGGCAGCGATCTCCAGGGATAAATAGATAAACGGAGACATTCCCTACATATTAAGAAACTGGTTAATCATGGAAAACACAAAGCATTTAAGCAACATTTTTTTGTTTTAAAATATGATCTAGGTAACCCTGTATGCACCCGATTCCTAGAAGAACAGACATATTTGTCCGATGGTTCCAGAATTCTATATAAGAAGCCATAAAGCTAACCTAAGTTTCCACCTTTATTGCTAAGATGGTTCCAGAATTCTATATAAGAACTCATAAAGCTAAACTAAGTTTCCACCTTTATTGCTAAGATGGTTCCAGAATCTATATAAGAACTCATAAAGCTAAACTAAGTTTCCACCTTTATTGCTAAGATGGTTCCAGAATTCTATATAAGAACTCACAAAGCTAAACTAAGTTTCCACCTTTATTGCTAAGATGGTTCCAGAATTCTATATAAGAACTCATAAAGCTAAACTAAGTTTCCACCTTTATTGCTAAGATGGTTCCAGAATTCTATATAAGAACTCATAAAGCTAAACTAAGTTTCCACCTTTATTGCTAAGATGGTTCAAAAATCGGATTAAGGATCTAATTTTTGCTAATTAAAGTTGCAATCTCTAATGATCAATGATCATACTTTGAATGCCGAGTTTAAACAAATAACTATCAATTGTTTTTGTCGCATGTAAATGCGCTGCACCCTGAGGAAGATCTGGGGGGGGGGGTTCATTTCGGGTTCCTTTTCAGGTCTTGCTAATATTATTATTAAGAACATTAAAAATAATAATAAACCTTTCATTCACTCAACCACGGATTTTTTCAAGGGAGGGAGAAAATTACCAACCCACCCCTTCCTTTCTGTTGCTGGTATGATGAGTATGATTGATAGTATATGACAATTGGTTCACCTTAGGTAAGTAGCTCGCATACACAGTTTCTATACTCTTCCTGAGAGCTGTAGAGTCGACCAGCCTGTGGTTGATGAACAACAAGAAGACCATTTTCTTCACGCTGTAGTTTACGTTACTCACCCAACCCTTCACCTGGAACTTGTACCTGGATAATTAGAGTTATTTCAAGGTCATTCAGCTAATGTGAGATGACATTTATCATATTTTAAAGATTTCAGACATGCAATAACATGATGTTTTTGAGACTTTGTAAAAAAAGTAAAAATTATTTTACGTTGTTCACTTTTTTATTCGTATTTACAGATTTGTTCTGTCCGCAGGTTAACTTCATTTTGTTTGAACAGTTTTATATCTTATTAATTGTTCATTAAAATACCTATGAATATAATTAATACCTGGAGTCTTCTAACTTAAATTCTACCAGCTCCTTAGCCACAGCAGGTCCATACAATGCTCTGAACAGGTAAATTTTCATTTTTATTTGGTTCTATCATTATATATTTGGATTTAAAGAAAATCCCAATAATGACAAAAATTCGTTAATTCAACAAACAAGGATTAAATTGTATCTATTCTTCACCTAATGTTGTCTACAATTCTATTCTGGTATTGTATAAGATCTCTACCTGATGTTGTCTACAATACTATTCTGGTATTGTATCAGATCTCTACCTGATGTTGTCTACAATACTATTCTGGTATTGTATCAGATCTCTACCTGATGTTGTCTACAATACTATTCTGGGATTTATCAGATCTCTGCCTGATGTTGTCAACAATACTATTCTGGGATTGTATCAGATCTCCACCTGATGTTGTCAACAATACTATTATGGGATTGTATCAGATCTCCACCTGATGTTGTCTACAATACTATTCTGGGATTGTATCAGATCTCTACCTAATGTTGTCTACAATACTACTCTGGGATTTATCAGATCTCTGCCTGATGTTGTCAACAATACTATTCTGGGATTGTATCAGATCTCCACCTGATGTTGTCTACAATACTATTCTGGGATTATATCAGATCTCTACCTGATGTTGTCTACAATACTATTCTGGGATTATATCAGATCTCCACCTGATGTTGTCTACAATACTATTCTGGGATTATATTAGATCTCTACTTGATGTTGTCTACAATACTAGTCTGGGATTTATCAGATCTAATCCTGATGTTGTCTACAATACTATTATGGGATTGTATCAGAGCTCTACCTGATCTTGTCTACAATACTATTCTGGGATTTATCAGATCTCTACCTGATGTTGTCTACAATACTATTCTGGGATTGAGTTTTAACTTCAACTCCAGTCTCTCCAGCCTTCTTAAGGGTAAACCCAACACCAGAATTGTGTACGGCGTACCTACAGTGAAAAAGATTCAATATTTTGACATTTTTCAACAATATCATTTTAGATGCGTATAATGAAGAGAAGCGTATCCGAGTCACAACAGTACTCAGTAATCTTTTGACTGATCAAGGATGACAGACTTATCATAATTGATAACTATTGTAATTGTAGGTATCTTTGTTTGCAAGATGTTCTATATTTCACTTCCCAGAAGTCGTGGGGAATAGATATTTTCATTTCAGTCTTTGAAAACCACGTTTGACATAAAATATTTGGATGTAAAATCAGCAGCGTAGAGTTCAATCTGTATGCTAGCGAACAATTGAAACACCATATTATAGACAAACAATTGTACACAAGGAGTGCTGTCTCTGCTCTTGATGATCGGTTCAAAGGATACGTTGTAAATCCCCTAATTGAGGGTAAGTTGAAATTTCCGTTAAAGTTATTTTCATCAAAAAGCTGAAAGATTTGAGAGGAATGTTTGCAACATGGTAATCTACTCATAATTCACGGCAATAACTAAAAAAATGAGTTATGGGCGAAGGGGCTATTGGAGTACCTTGTCATAACTTCAGATATCTTGTTAAACTCCTCAGTATGAGATTTAAGAGCTCCTAATCTGTTTGGTACATTGTAAAACAGATCTTCAACAGTAATAGTTGTACCCTAAAACAACAAGGTTAAAGAGTTAGAACAAACCTTTTTCTTGAAAATGAATATTTTAGACAAATCAGTCAAGGGGTTCCCGAGTTATGATCTGACAAACAAACAAACACCCACCCAAACAAACAAACAAACAAACAAACAGAGAATACAACTTTATATATCAGATCAAATGAAATTGAAGTTCCTGGTTTTGAAAGGGATGAACTATCCCAAAAAATCAATTATCTATGTTGTGACTAGTTTTAAATGAATATGTTCTACGTTCGTAAATGGCCATAGAAGATTTCTTCATCATCAGCCTGTGGACGGGTTACTGCTATAAATATAAATCCCAGTTCTATTTTGAATTAAGAATCTGGTAAATTATGGATCCAATGAACCAGGCAAGAAATATCCTCCCCCACAAACCTGTGTTGTGGTGTGACTAGTTTTTATTTGGTATGGCATATTAGTAGTCTTTATTTTCATACATCTTATATTCAATATACTGTACCGTTATGTGCACGAAATAAATATTAAAGCAAACCTGATTAGCGGCCATCGGTTTAGGAGTCCCAGTCAGTTTACCATCCATATACTGGGCTTTGTATCCACAAGCAGAGTCTCTAAATTATAATATTTTAGAAATTGCCTTTTTTAAAACTTTTCTTGGGAACAGTTTCTTTAAAATTGCTATTTTTTGTAAGAAGTTTCTTTTAACACAAATCGTACTTTTTTAATAATCCTTCTTTAGATTTTTTTTTGATTTTAACAGTGGTTATGAACTAGATTCCCTGTAAATAGTACAAATTTTTAGTTAACAAAACAGTTTTCCCCTTTCCTTACATGTGGGAGACGCCTATTTGAAACCACATTCTATCTATCTGTCTCTCTGTCTCTCTGTCTATCTGTCTATCTGTCTATCTGTCTATCTGTCTATCTGTCTATCTGTCTATCTGTCTATCTGTCTATCTGTCTATCTGTCTATCTGTCTATCTGTGTATCTGTCTATCTGTCTATCTGTCTATCTGTAATATGTCTATCTGTCTATCCGTCCGTCCGTCTGTCTATCCGTCCGTCCGTCTGTCTGTCTGTCTGTCTTAAATCTACCTTGTTTTTAGGATAAGTTTCTTTAAATCTACCTTGTTTTTGTAATAAGTCTCTTTAAATCTACCTTGTTTTTGTTAGAAGTCTCTTTAAATCTACCTTGTTTTTGTAATAAGTTTCTTTAAATCTACCTTGTTTTAGTGAGTATACTGAGGTGTGCTACATGAGATATACTTGCCAATGCTTCTCCTCTAAACCCGTATGTAGCAATACTACTTAGATCCTAAAACAATATTTCTAAAAATATTATTTAATAAGCTTAATATTTTTCGCCATTTGTGCCAGTCAGACTTAATTAGTACAGTGAGTATAGTAAACTTTCACGAGCACACAACAGGGTGTCCCGATAAACATGGGAAGTAAATGATGATTTCAAGATTGTCTTTTTAAATGACTTTTGATTTAGAATAGTGATACCTACTGAGAAAGCTGTTATTTGTAGGATTTTTCTCTGCTAGAGTGAAGAATTTGCTTGTTTATGTTTTGATTGCATGCAGTTTTACTCAGAAAAACAAGATCATTTTGTATACAAAGTTTACTTTTAATTTTCCCGTCTTCACTGTTTATCTTGCAGAGATCATACGGACACGTCAAGTCACGTCACGTCACGTCACGTCACGTCACGTCACGTCAAAGCAAATCAGACTTGTAAGGACGTACTATAACCACACTCCAATCCATCATACAGCCTATAACCGTTTTCATAACATACACTCTTCCCTTTTGAAGTCAGGTTTTACTTTGATAATTCTCCGAATTCGTGTCACTTAATTTCCATGTTATAAGGGACACACTGTTTGAATATAGGCGCACATACAGTGGTAGGCGATTTTACCAATACAATGAAGACGACTTTTTGAATTTAGTTTTTATTGTTTACAAGCTTTTTTCGAATTACAAGTTTACAAGTAATTATAGAGAAGCTTTTAAATTTATAGCTTCTCTTTATTTTCACTTTTATGTGTATCCAAGCTGCTTAAAAGCTTGATATAAATTAAAATTGAAATCGAAAGTCGTCTTCATTGTATTGATATTATCGCCTACCACTGTATCATGGATCATGATGTACCTTGAAATCCTTAAGTTTACTAGTGGTGAACCTCTCTGCTACAATCTGAAGATCCTCCTGGCGTATCCCTGTACCATTATCAGCTATCTGTAGAAGCTTTAATCCACCAGACCTTACAGTTACAGTGATTTGAGAACACTTCGCGTCCAAACTGTTCTCTAGCATCTCCTGGAATAGATAAAAAGTAGAAAGTTTATTATTTTGTTTCCAGAAATATTAAAAAAATGTACTGCAAGGTTCTTAATAATATCGGCCTAAACAGGCACAATAGTTGGAGATAAATTTAGAAGTAAGGTAAAGATACCTACTCAATGTAATTATCACCCTGCCTTAAGAGATTTCTTACGTAAAGGATTTGGATAAATATCTTCAGTCATTAAATCATTTAATGATACTGTTGTCAATCATTGATAAAACATAAATAAATTAAAACTTCCTTGATTATCCCTTTAAGGTGGATTGAACTTTCACCTTTAGTGCATTTGCTGGTCTTTGTATAACTTCCCCTGCAGCAATCCTGTTCACCACAACCTAGAGAAAAAAGCGGAATGCACTTTTAAAGAAAATTTGAAAGAATTCTTTTTCTGAGTTTGATTTGCGGGGGTTGACGAGATATTATTAATAGCTGTACTTAATTTTCTGCATTCCTTTACATCTGTTTGTTGACCTGACCCATCGCAAGCCACAAGTAGCAAAACAATGCAACTAGAAGAAGTACTCGACGTTTTTCCGTGCCAGTCTCTCTTTAATTTGAGCGGTCAGTTTTCCAATGTCTAAAGTGTAACTGTCGGAACGATTAATCCGTTTTACAAGAGCATTGCAATATAATCAAGCTTCCCTCTTCTTGTTCTAACACAATTTTTTTCTTTGGTTAACCCGCTTCTCTGGCCACAAATATTTCTTATTTTTTTTCTCTTTCAAAATAAAAATTCATAATTTTATAAAGAAAAGCAGCCATTTTCCCAAATTATTCTGATATATAAATTATGCTTTGAAGTCGAGGCTGCGAAAAGCAATTATTTAAAAAATACATATCCCTGAGTTTAGTTTGAAAATGTGAATATTGACGTCAAAATATATGATTAAACGTTAAAATTCTCAGAATAACATACACTTGTGACATTTGCGCAATTCTTTTTCTTGCCAATTTTCAACTCGATAATTAGTGTAAATACTTAAATATTTTAGTTTTCATTTATATAATTTTAATAAATATATATAATAATATATATATAATAAATATATTCAAGCAAAAATTTCCCAGTCTTAAATTAGTGCGGTTGCATTTTTTAACATAATACAATTGACACCCCGAATGCAGAGCTAGAAACTCTTATATTGGATACCCTTAATACCGTTTGCGTTATCTCGAATTTTTAATAGTCCTTTTTTTGACCAATGGGAGTTATCTTATTAATTAAGCGCCAAATTTTCCCTGTTTTCGATATTATTCGGTTTCTGCAAACGACACTTCCCTCATCCCTGGAGATCGAATTAAGATCAATTTAATCTGGAGATTAAAAGAAGATGAGATTAAGCACTGATTTAAATATCCACAATACAAGAGTTTCCAGCTCTAGCAGAACTAAACAGGAATATGGGTTAAAATATAGTCATTATCAATCAACTTAAATTAAATCAAAAGCTAAGTAAACCCTCATTTCACTTTCGGTAACTCTCCCTTTAATTATCTAAGATTTAAATACCTCATCTAGTTTTCTGATCACACCAGGAGCACATTCCGACATTTTGTCTGAAAATTCACAAAAATATTCATTTATTTATTTATATATTCATAAAAAAAAACCATGGTAGAGTAATGCCGAGTATATACTTTACAACATTGATCAGCACAAGAATAAAATATTTAATTCAGGGGACATAAGTTCCAAAACTAACACTTGATCCATTTCTTTCACTGAGTATTAGAAATGGGCACAAATTGAAAGACTGTGGTTTAGGATTCCGACCCATATCGAGAATAGAAGTCGATATACAAAAACCAACATTTTATTAAACACGACGAGGAAAACAATTCCCAATTTAAAATTATTTTCTGCAATCAAAATTATAAAAGGAGTTCTTTCTATATTAAAACCCTTGACCGTTTTCAAGACAATGTTAGATTTTCCATTTTCGAAAATATCCTGAATTTGGATCTTTGTCGCGTTTTCGAGACAAAACCCACTCTCCCGTTTTTGAGTATAATCCTTAATTCAGAACAAAACTCACTTGCATAACTTATCTATATTGAAAGAACAAAATAATATTAAAATTTTGATATCTTGATGCTATTATGATTTTTAAATTATAAAAGAACAGTATTTTTTTTTATATTTTTTTTATATTTTACCTTATCAAAAAATCTTGCTTTGCTACGTAAGTGCGTAAATGCTTGAAAATTGAAATTGATACGAGTTCGAGTAATTGTTTCAAAACCAGGATATATTCCATAGTTGAAATGAGGTAATTGTTTCAAAATAGGGATATGTTCAAAATGAAAACTAATATCACCAATTCTCATACCTTATTATTAGTTTAAAGTTGACATTTCTTGTTTTAATTATTAGTTTTAGCTATTTATAATAAATGAATGGTGTATTTCGTTCAACTCGGCTTGGATTTAAAGTTATATACGCTAGAAAAAGATACCTTTTCAGATGTGGCCCATTCTAGTGTTAGAAATTGGCCAAGTGTTAGTTTTGGAACTAATTTTCCCTGTAATTGTAATCAGGATATAAATTAAAATTGTACATGGGTTCCCACAAAAAAGAGACTGTAAAGACGATTTTAACTTTTGCGTTAAATAGAGTCTTTTTTTAATGATCTAAAGTAAACGTAGAGAGAAACAAGTTTCCAGTTGCAGGGATTATGATAAATTCCGTACAGTCGTCTCTGCTGTCTCATCCAGTGTGTAAACCTGTAGGTACAAGACTCGATGGTACATACATTATTGAATAAGTAATTTTAGCTGAATAGATAAGTATGACTAAAAAATAACTATTATAACAGTTTAACATAATCAGGAGAATATTTAAATGCTATGGTCTGGGCAGTGGCCAAGGTCAAAATAATTTTTGTGCATACTTCAGAACATAATAGATGACTTTTTTGACATTGACAATAGAGAACATACTTTAAGTGTCAGGGAAAACATTAAAATGCAAAATTTGTGACGTATTCACTTGACCAGATTTTAAAATTATTTGAAAAAAACTCACAATTTAAGTAGCATTCTTACTCCAATTCAATTCAAGAAGCTAGGGATTTTTAGCCCTCTAATATCTTAAATTATAATCTTAAACAAAATTTGTAAAGTTAACTTTAACTAAAACATAGCTGTATAATGTATATATCTGTACTCTGTAGTGTCTTATATATTTGGAAAAATTTGTGACAAATGAACTTGAACAGATATTTAGAAATATCCCGCTGAATTAGGCCAGATGGGAACCACTAAATCCCATTGTTACCATGGCAAGTGGCGGAGCTCAACCATGTTTTCATTATAACCTGGAAGTTATGGTACTTGGTCTGAAGGATGATTGTGACAAATTACAAATATTTGACAAGACAACTTAACTTTAACAGACATTAAGTAGTCCTTGTTGACGATTTTGGATAAAAAATGATAACACCTTTTACGTGTTCTTTGCTATAAAATTTTTAGTATTACAGCACAGGTTAAATGCTAGATCTGGGGGGGTTGTAAAACTTAATGAGGGTGGGTTCTGATTATCTTCAATCTTCATGCACTGTAACATTCTTCTATTTTCTTCTTTAATTGGCGGATAACAGTATGATCCTCTGGATAGCCTGCTCTCAGTAACATCTCTAAATCCTTCTCCATCCTCAGCAGTTCACACAGGATTGGAAGATCCTTGCTAGCAGATACCTACAACAAAAAACAAGTTATTCAGGCGAAGACCATGATTGCTATTTATAACACAGAGTATCATGTTTTTAAGCAAAAAATTTGGAGCATTAAGTTATTCTGTTAAAACTAACAATTTGTTAACGAAGAGCGAAAGGAAAATAACCAAAAATTCTAAAATAAGATAAATAGAAAAAAAAATGTGGAAAAGGCTCCTTCAAAGTTTCTTTGAAGGAAATGAAAGAGTAAGATTAGTGTTTTAATAGAAACCCGAATTTGTTCAAATACCCATATCCTGTCACCTGAATTTTCTGGTTTGTTCTCTGGACCTTGTTCTTGTTCTCCCTCTGGGTTGGGAGGGAGCTTGTCTCAGTCGAGGACCTGGAGACAGGGTTAAAAGTCAAAGTCAAAACTTAGTGATTATAAGCTTAATCCTTAGTTTGATGGAAAACAGTACGCGTTATTTTTGAGAGACTTTTTTTCTAATATAAAAATTGACCAAGCGGCCTTTCTCCTTAGAGTTTTGTGAATTTCTATGAAAAGACAACAAGAATTGGCTTATTTTTTTCTAGATAAATCTATCACTCTGGGATTTTAGATAGTGGTTGAAAATATGTCTTTAAAGGGAAAAAACATCTTTAAAAACTGTAAAAGTCTTATATTTTATAATCCTTGCCTGGAGGATAAAGATCTTGGGGATAAAGGAAGATCAGGTTCTGGTTGTTTCTCCGCGGTTCTCTCCCTTGTTAGAGACAGTAATCTGTTCAACTGAGCAGTTAGTTCTCTAATCTGCATTGACTGCTCAGTATTCAAGATTTTATTGTCTTCACGCAACCGTGAGATCTGAACGTCTTTCTTTATCAGTTCTTGTTCCGCAAACTCAACGGTTTTCTCGAGATCTTTGCACTTCTCATTGATCTTCTTCAGATCAGAAACTAGACTAGAATGCCGCTCCAACTTTTTATCCCTCTCTCCTCGAACCTTCTTAAGCTCTTGCTCTGTGGTTCCAAGTTTGGATTTCAGCTCAGAGATTTCTACAACCTTCTCCGTGTTTACTTGTTCCTTCTCTCTCAACTCTTTCCTCAGTTTGTTCAGAAGATTGTTTCGATCCTGCTTCATCCGTAACTGTTCTTCCTCCATAGTTTTCTTCCGGTTTTCGATCTCGAGCTCTTTTATCTTCAGCTCCTCCTGTTTTCTATCGAGCTCAAGCTCCCTGTTGATGAGGACCTGCTCCTTCTCCCTGTGCTCTCTCTCGTGGTCCTCCTTCCGTGCCTTCCACTCTCTGCTCAGAAGTTGAATGTGCTGGGTTTCAACCTGAGAACAATATAAATGATACAAATTATACATAACCCTATAACAGGGAGCACATTAGTGCCATCAAATGATACATAACCCTGTAACAGGGAGCACAATAGTGCCATCAAATGATACATAACCCTGTAACAGGGAGCACAATAGTGCCATCAAATGGTACATAACCCTGTAACAGAGAGCACAATAGTGCCATCAAATGATACATAACCCTGTAACAGGGAGCACATTAGTGCCATCAAATGATACATAACCCTGTAACAGGGAGCACATTAGTGCCATCAAATGATACATAACCCTGTAACAGGGAGCACAATAGTGCCATCAAATGATACATAACCCTAAAACAGGGAGCACATTAGTGCCATCAAATGATACATAACCCTGTAACAGGGAGCACATTAGTGCCATCAAATGATACATAACCCTGTAACAGGGAGCACATTAGTGCCATCAAATGATACATAACCCTGTAACAGGGAGCAAATTAGTGCCATCAAATGGTACATAACCCTGTAACAGGGAGCACATTAGTGCCATCAAATGGTACATAACCCTGTAATAGGGAGCACATTAGTGCCATCAAATGGTACATAACCCTGTAACAGGGAGCACAATAGTGCCATCAAATGGTACATAACCCTGTAACAGGGAGCACATTAGTGCCATCAAATGATACATAACCCTGTAACAGGGAGCACATGATACATAACCCTGTACAAGGGAGCACAATAGTGCCATAAAATGATACATAACCCTGTAACAGGGAGCACATTAGTGCCATCAAATGATACATAATCCTGTAACAGGGAGCACATTAGTGCCATTAAATGATATATAACCCTGTAACAGGGAGCACATTAGTGCCATCAAATGATACATAACCCTGTAAAAGGGAGCACATTAGTGCCATCAAATGATACATAACACTGTAAAATAGAGTTTATCATAGTAATTGTTAACAGCTACAGCCTTACTGTTGACAAATCCATCGATATATAGAAAATAATAACTCGCCTAAAACTTATTCTTATCATTTTTAAATCTTTGCAACCGGCTGCCGTAATATATATTCAAATTATGAATTTTGCCCAAACATTAGAGTGCTAAGATATCATCCTTTGTGGGTAGCCCTGAATCAGTGTATATATGTACAGTATGCACTTCTAGTATACATAGTGTACACATGCACATTGTAAATTCATGTACAACCTCAACAGTACCTGATAAAGTTTACTGCTGAAGTGTACCTGATGAAGTTTACTGCTGAACAGTACATGATAAAGTTTTCTCCTGAAGTGTACATGATGAAAAGTTTTCTCCTGAAGTGTACCTGATGAAGTTTACTGCTGAAGTGTACCTGATGTAGTTTACTCCTGAAGTGTACCTGATGAAGTTTACTGCTGAAGTGTACCTGATGATGTGTACTGCTGAACAGTACATGATAAAGTTTACTCCTGAAGTGTACCTGATGAAGTTTACTGCTGAAGTGTACATGATGTAGTGTTCTCCTGAAGTGTACCTAATGAAGTTTACTGCTGAAGTGTACCTGATGAAGTTTACTGCTGAAGTGTACCTGATGAAGTTTACTGCTGAACTGTACCTGATGAAGTGTACTGCTGAAGTGTACCTGATAAAGTTTACTCCTGAAGTGTACCTGATGAAGTTTACTGCTGAACTGTACCTGATGAAGTGTACTGCTGAAGTGTACCTGATGAAGTGTACTGCTTAGCTGTACCTGATGAAGTGTACTGCTTAGCTGTACCTGATGAAGTTTACTGCTTAGCTGTACCTGATGAAGTGTACTGCTTAGCTGTAGCTGTACCTAATGAAGTTTACTGCTGAACTGTACCTGATGTAGTGTACTGATGAATTCTGCTTGCTTTGCTCTCTTCCATTTCTCTACTTCATAAGCAACTTCGTTTAGTCTGTTTAACCGCAGGACTTTGTCAATTTCGGAATCTGTATCTCTTTCTTCCCTAGGTCCTCCAAATCTTATAAAAAATTACTTATAACACATCACTCGATTTTTAGTACACTTTGCGTCCCCTTTCTTATTACAATTCTCGCTTTAAAATGTTGCCATTTTTTCCATCGTTATCCAAAAAAAGAAATATTGACAGATTTTTCCGTTAAATTTAAAGTGACAGATTTCAAGAAAAATAATGTCTACATTATATTCCATAGACCTTCCCTTGGGACATGAGAGTTGCCACGAAAAATGATCGCCCATTCGGTTCAACCTGTGTTGACGTTAATTGGATACAAGCTAGAAAAACAAACAGACAAGCTACACTTTTATAGATAGAAGTTAAAATCTCCAACCAAAAACAGGTTTATTTGAGTATTCCCCATCCCAGTCTATTTAAGAGCTAGATAATTCAGGGTATTTATTATTAACTTCCATCCCACCCCTCTAGGTTTACAATTTTGCATAATTTCAACCTTTCCAATTCACTATTTTGAAATATATACCTGGGTTGTGACTTCTTCTGAGAATATTTAGAACCAGAACCTAAATCTGTGTGCATCTCTAGACTAACCCTGATGTATCCTAGAACTCCGTGCTCAGAGATTATAGTCTCTTGGCTACTCCTCTCCTGTAGTCCGTCTATACTTGGAGCATCCAGGAGATGATCCAACCTTAGGAAACAGGATGCAATCTGTGTAGTCCCGCTCAGTACCTTGAGCTTGAGATGATATTCCTTGAAGGCATGCAGGAGCTCAGCTTGGGAGGCGGAGAAATTGAACTCATAGGATCCGTTCGTTAAATCTAATATTTCTCCAGCGGTGATGTTGTAATCTGAAATCAAATCAAATCAAATCAAATCAAATCAAATCAAATCAAATCAAATCAAATCAAATCAAATCAAATCAAATCAAATCAAATCAAATCAATATATTAAATCAATGCTTTGTATCCGGATCCGTGACATGCGCAACATTTTGGTCTCCTGGATCCGGATCCGGAAAAATATGCGGATCCACGGATCCGGATTCAAGGGTCAAAATTTAAAAAAAACCGCAAGAAAAATCGTTTGTTCCCAAAACCCAAATTTCAACTGTTTAAAAAAGAGAGATTATCATAACTTTCCTTATCTCTATAAGGTTCAACAAGAATAAAGCATAAAAATAAGCGAAAAAAAGAGGAAAATAATTTTAATTTTTTCTTCTGTTCCTAAGCACTGATTTAAATAAACTAAAATCAATCATTTTTAGGGGTAAAAACAAAAGATGAGAATTCTTACCTCCTATAACAATATTTTGTTTAGATATTGGCGGATAACAATATTGGATTGATATATTGGAGAAACTTTCAAGTAAATTTATTTCTACCAGGTCGATAAACAGCTTTCTAAACAAATAAATTTTATCGTATTTTTATAAAAGAAATAATATATTTTTCGGGAAAATGTCTCAAGAAAATTTGAAAGCTAAAGTTTCATATTTTATAGTCCAAAGCCACAAATCTCCTTATAAATTCTAATTTTGAGGGGCCCAGAAACTTTTTCTTTAAAATATCAGATTTGACAAGTCAACCATTTTTAAACATTATCAAATTGATCTCTTTTATTCTCAACTAGATCTTTTGAATTCTCAAATTGACCTTTTCAATAATTGATATTTTGGTTTCTTAAATTGATCTGTTGTATTCTTAAATTGATCTGTTGTATTCTTAAATTGATCTGTTGTATTCTTAAATTGATCTTGATATTGAGTGGCAACTGCCAACTAGTTCTTGCCACTTTCTTAAACGTTTAACAAGTTAACAAGTTACCTGTCAAATTTGTTGGTCATGCTTAGGGCAAATGGCTGGGGTGGGGACATTTTCCGAGATTTCGGAGGCGAAGACATTTTCATGGATTTTGGAGGCGGAGGCGAGTTGCAATCCCTCTCATCTGGATCTGGAAACGTTATATCCGCCGAAGGGGGAACAACGGCAGGTTTGGGCAGCTTCGTTGGCGGAGAACAACGGCTCTCTTCGTCAATTTTAGAACCTTGAAAAATAAAAGAACTTTTTTCCAGAATAAATAAAAAAATTGATGAAAACTTTTACCTTTTTTCTTTTCCGATCGGGGGTTTGGAGCGATAAAGACAGGTTTAGGCAATCCTGTACTAGGATCGTGTCTCAGTTTTGTCAGTCCAGAATCAGTTTTTTGTGTAGGTTCGGGTCCGTTTACTGGATGGAACGGAGAACCTGGAGTAGGTTTGGGCTGAAGAACTTGCGACGGAATATGAAGGGAATTTAGTTCGTGAGGTATAGATTCTTTATGTATCGTAGTTTGTTCAATTCTAGAGTCAGGATCAGAGGAGGACGAGATGTAGGACAGCTCTCCCTCAGATATCCGGGTCATATCAGAGTCTAAAAGAATATCCGGGTCAAATCAGAGTTCATGCAAAACCGGATCTACCAAAGGATAGAAAAGGTCATCAGGGAGTTTTCAAAACCTTGAGCAATCCAGAACAAGAAATGTCCAGGTAATCTTCAAAGTATTAGAAACCCTGACTAAAAAATATAGCCTTGTTATATCCGTGAGATATCATATTGCACAAATATTTAGGTTATGTTAGAAATAATGTTAAAATTGTCAGTTTTAAACGAAAAACAATTTATCTTTTAAGAAAAATTTGATTTACCTTTTGAAGATAGTTGATCACAGTTTACGTGATTAAGGACAACCCGAAGATTGATCTTGGGACTCCGACCTTCATTATCCCTGAATTTAAGTAATTAACAAATCAAGTCTTTTTATCCCTAACTTTTACAAGTTAAAATAGTCAACTAATAATAATTAGACATATGTTTTGGAAGTTGTAAGGTTCTACGAAGCAACAAAATATGTATCTCCTGTAAACCCCAGGTGGGTTTCATGGAACCTTTATTACCTGGGAGTAGATAGATTATACGCAACACAACCACAAGAATATCTCCTAAAAACTCTAGGTGGGAGTCCTGGAACCTTAACCTGGGAGTAGATAGATTGTACGCAGCAACTATAGGAATATCTCCTGTAAACTCCAGGTGGGAATCCCGGAACCTTTACCTGGTAGTAGATAGATTAAACGCAAAAACAACAGATATATTTTCTGTAAACTCCAGGTGGGACTCCTGAAGCCCATCCAGGGGGAGAATCTTTACCTGGGAGTAGATAGATTATACGCAGCAACTACAGGAATATCTCCTGTAAACTCCAGGTCCTCCAAGTATGGTTCCTGGAACCTATCCAGGGGGAGAACCTTGCCAACATCAACTAACGCGCTACCTGCAGAAGAGAAAGTTAGTTAGCCATAGTTACAAACTAATGAAGGCCGTGCAATTCATGAAAAGCGAGCCTGCGAGGTTAGACACTAGACAGTCATTCAATGAAAATGAAAATAAAATGAGAACTAAATAAGATCTTAAATAACGGTCGCAACAAAAAATCAAATTTTTATGTACATTGAAATGAACATTAAACAAAAAACTATTCGACATGAGCTTACACGAACAAAAAAAACTTTGAATACACATAAAGTAGTTATCTCTGTTTGTCTGTTTCTTTGTCCGATCATAACTTACAAATTGATTGACTGATTTGCCTCCAATATTTGGGGGAACTCAATAGAAGTCAATAGAACCACGGGAATATTATCTCTTTAGTTTGAAAATTACAAGTTGAGTTTGTTAACTTTTTAGAGACAAAACGGTCTTACCTAGAACCATGTTGTTTGAACAGACATTGATCTCGAATCCGTACTCAGATAGGAACTGGAATAGGACGGACGGATTACTCCGAACCTCGGAGCTGACAGTGTTTCCGGTAAATCCTGTAAACTCTAGGTCGGAGAAAACACTGGAAGTTTTAGAAATCCCTGGAAATAAAAAAAACCTGTTGAATAAGTAAAAATGATAATCTGATAATGAGGGGGGAGGAGGTATGCAAATAATGCTTAACATAATTAAATAAAGTTCATAAATGGACAGAGTTGACAGAAAGAAGAATATTGGGGAAAATGATTATCTGCATTAAACCATGTATCTATCAATAATAGTCGGTTAATAATTGTAAATTGTAAAAATATGAAAATAAAAAATATCAGAAAATAAATAAGCGAAAAGAAAGCGAAGGATGTAAATTCAGTTATTAAATTTTACAGAAATAAATAATTTAAAAATATATACAGGATGTCTAAAATCATATTAGATCGTTTCTAGCTCTGAATAGAGATTCAAGGGACTAACGAAAAAAAAAATAAATCATTTGAAAAAATGTATAAGGCTAATATAAAAATTTTATTGCAGAAAATACCAGGGTTTACGGATATTATGTGCGTATTTTGACGCTAAAGCTTATTATAGAAAATCCAATATGATATGGGACGCGCTGTATAAAAAAAATATGTTTCAACCTAGAAAAGAGTATACAAGCTGATATTCAGGTGTTGTTGGTATTTCCACATCCTCTTCGTTTCTATTTAACTAAGCAAGTTAAAATATAAAGTTTGAAAAGTCGAATTAAATAGTTTAAAATATAGAAAAATCCTGTAAAAATATAAATTGCAGACACACATGTTTTTAGAGCAGTAAAAGATGGAGTGGATCGTTAATCAACCTTATTATGTCTAAATACTCGTTACAATTAACTCTAAAATAAAAAGAAAAATATAAGATACTACTTTTATGCGTCCATCTTCTTTTTTAACTTTTAATTGTGGCTTTATCTGTGAGTATCTTCTCTTTGTACAGTTTATAATTTTTTTTAATTGGCGGATTTTATAATATTTTTTTCGGGCATTTCCTTTTACAAAATTAAATAATTTGAGATACAAATATTTTAAGATTACATATTCAAGTTTGATTGGCCATAACCCTTCCCTAGGGCCACGTGAGGTCCCACACAATTTGAGTATGATCGGTTAAGCCGTTTTGACGTTTATTGGATACAAACAAACAGACAAACAAACAGACACCCAAGCTAAATTTATATATAGAAGAAAACCTCTCACCAATTTCAGATTTGACAGATTCACGATTTCGATTTTAAAATTATAAGTCCGTGTACACTCAGATATACTGCCAATCTGAAAACAAAAATAGTTGTGAAAATGGTTTTTATAAGAATAAGAATTATAGGTTAAATCTAACAGCCCCCCCTCCCCCTCAATATGGGAGAACTAGAAGGCCCACAGAGTAAAGCACAAAAAATCCCAGCCCCCCCTCCCAAGTTCATAATGGGATAGATACCACCAGGAGGCGCGGCAGGATCAAAGTCCAGCGGTGTATAGATACCACCAGAGGCGTGGCAGAATCAAAGTCCAGCGGTGTATAGATACAACCAGGAGGCGTGGCAGGATCAAAGTCCAGCAGTGTAGAGAAACCACCAGGAGGCGTGGCAGGATCAAAGTTCAGCGGTGTATAGATACCACCAGGGGGCGTGGCAGGATCAAAGTTCAGCGGTGTATAGATACCACCAGGAGGCGTGGCAGGATCAAAGTCCAATAGTGTATAGAAACCACCAGGAGGCGTGGCAGGATCAAAGTCCAGCGGTGTATAATAAAAACCAGGAGGCGTGGCAGGATCAAAGTCCAGCGGTGCATAGATACCACCAGGAGGCGTGGCAGGATGGAGATCAATTTAAAACACTTCAGTCCCCATAACATAATCTGTATTAGATATTAATATTCCACCTGAAAATATAAACTGGTTCCGTTTTGAATCAGAATAGGTTGGGGACCAGGCGCAGTTCTTGAGTGTTCTCTGGTTCTTCTAAATAATCAAAATCTTCAAGAAATTGTTCATGAAAAGCATATTCTTAAAGGATTATTCCAAAAAATCTTTATTAAAAAGAATTTCACGCCCGATCGTTATGTAACGTGGCACCGGAAAAAATGTCGAAATTTATCATATTTGAAATGTGAAAATTTAAAAAGAGAAGCCCGCAAAATACCATTTACACAGAAAAAGTACAGCGTTGTTCCCAAAATTCTATTTATTTAAGAAATTGTTCACAAAAATGATTTCTTAAAGGAGCTGTTCCCAAAAATCAAATTCTCCAAGAAATTGTTCACCACACAGCAGCGTTAGTTTTCATTTATAACCAACCTAAACTAAGAAATTGGCCTTAAAAAAGTAGATTTAAATATCTAAATATGGAAAGGGATAAAAGAAACAGATGAAAGAAAGAGATGAGGTTTTGGATTATGTAGACACATTTTATGATTGCATAAGAAGGTGGTAACATAACTATTATATTTAGCTGAAGATGCCATTGAGATTTGTAAATTTGTAGTACAACATAGATACAGAAAACGAAGGTTAAGGATAACATGGAAATGGAAGTTTTGGATAACACAAAAAATGTTGAGTTTACTTTATGTGAAATGGACTATCCTGCGTTGTCTTATATCACTCTCGCAATTAATTAAAATGTTTTGTTATCATTATTAAAATAAGGAAGAAAAAATAATCAAAACAGCCAAGAGCTATTTTCCACCTAATTGCTTTAAACTTGTACTGTTAATATAATCATCAATTTGTAATTGTAAACTACGGGTCCGTTTACTTGATGGAACGGAGAACCTGGAGTAGGTTTGGGCTGAAGAACTTGCGACGGAATATGAAGGGAATTTAGTTCGTGAGGTATATATTCTTTATGTATCGTAGTTTGTTCAATTCTAGAATCAGGATCAGAGGAGGACGAGATGTAGGACAGCAAGGATGCAAGACAAACAAATATAAACTACGGTATATAACTGCCCGCTTCCACGCGAGAAACTTGCGCCTGCGCAGTCGGTCTGGAAACAGCTTCTAAAACTAGTTTTTTCACAATACGTTCTGTACAGATCCGCAGGGAGAACTCAGGAATTCACAGGGGCACCACATAGACTGTGTACACGGAGCATGGCTCGCGTAACATTTAGTAATAAACTGTATCTTATCTTATTCAAGTCCCCCCCCTCCCCCCTCTTCCATAGGCCCTAGATATAAAACTCTGTCCAAATTATAATTTTATTATAACGCAGTATTGATGTTAACATTTTCGTGTCGTAAAAAAATGGGAGAAAAGACTTTTAGTGAAACAATTCTTACTTTATGGTAGTCTCAGATACAGAACTAATGGATTCAGGTTCCTCTTGTAGTTCTATCCAAACTCCTAGTTCTAGTTGAGGAGCAGGTTTATCCTTGGATCCGAGTAGAGATACAACACTGGTTTCATCCATCCCGGAGTCAGCAGGAACCGTTTTAGCTCCCTTCAGAGGGACAACCTTAACCATAGGCAAAATTTAGTGTAAATCTGCCATCTTTCACTTCGATTTAACATTACAATTTTATAACATTTCCAATTTCCAAACATGTGAGTGCTTAGGATCCATAGAACCCCCAGTAATTGGGTTTCTTGGATCCGGATCCAGATCCACAAAAATATGCGAATCCACGGTGTAAAATATCAACCAAAACCTTTAAAAAAAAATTTTCTCTCAAAATACAAATTAAACTGTTAAATAAAGAAAGATTATTAAAAACTTCCTAATCTCTGAATGATTAATAAAGTTTAAGCAAAAATATAATCGAAAAGGGAAAGGATTCTATTCCTTTGCACTGACTCATAAAGTTATTTACAAAAAAAGATATCTTGATTGTTAAGAAAATACCTTATAACCCAGGCGTGCATTGTTCTGCAAAACCTCAATTCTGATTGCAAGATTTCTGTAAACAGCGAGCTCTTTTCGATCAGTAACCCAAACCAGCTCAGAATCTGAATTTAAACGTAAAAAAATAACAAAAAACAAAAACTTGACATTTGATAAACAGAGAACAAACTTTTTGTATTTTAGCTAATGCATTTCCATAATAATACAATTGATATGCATAGTTTTAATACAACTAAAATTTTCTTAATTTATTGACCTACAGATCCAAATTGGACAGCAAACGAGTGATCATGTATATTGCGCACAATGTATAATTCTAAAACTTTTATAAAAGAAGTTTCTTCATATTGGTCTTCATAAGACATACTAATATTTAAAAAGGGCCCATTTTATGCGATAACATCTGTTAGCAGTTAGCAGAGTCCAAAACTAAAGAACGAAAAGTTTTGACTTAAATTTTAAGTTCATGGTTAAATGCCACTTCTGACTTAATTTAAACCTGAATTTTAACCGTGAGGTTAAATATTTAACCCTGTGGTTAAATATTTAACTCGCCGAAATCGAGGAGTTAAAATTTAAACACATGGTTAAAATCTTGAAATCCTGAGTCTAAAACTAAAGAATGCGCGAATTTTAAGTTCGAGGTTAAAAGTTCTGTAAAATAATGAATGGCTACATAAATATTAAACTTTCTCAATATTAAATTTGAATTTCCCGGGAAAAATCTGAACCAATCAGGTAAAAGGATTTACGGAGAATATTACATAACCATCGCTAATCAGCTGTTCTTACGTAACCGAAAACAAAACATACAACCGTTTTTTTGGATTTACATACAAAAATTAATTAATCTAAAACGTGAAATTTCTTTAACAAGAGTTAAAATTTAAACACATGGTTAAAATCCCTGTTTGTCTATCATCATTCAGCGGTAAGAGGCATTCAGTATGTGACTAGAAATATGTTTTGTTTTTCGTCACGTAACTTAAAATTTAAAAAACAGCTGATTACCGAATACCGATACTTACGTAATAATTCTTTAAATCCTTTTCTCTGATTGGTTCATATTTTCCCGGGAAATTCAAATTTAAAATTGAGAAAGTTTAATATTTAAGTAGCAATAAATTATTTTACAGAACTTTTAACCTCGAACTTAAAATTCGCACATTCTTTAGTTTTAGACTCTGGAAGCAATCATTAGTTTTCTGGTGGAAGTCTTGCGGTTTCTGGTAGAAGTCTTGAGCTTGAGGTTTTTGGTGGCAGTCCTGGTAGCAGACCAGGTGGCAGTCCAGTTATTATTTAGTTTGTCTTTCTTAGTGTTTTTATAAACTTTCTTCTATACTGCATAGTTTTTCTTTATTTGGTGTTAACAGATATATTGTTATGTACGTGCACAGACTATTACAGTCGCCTGAACTACTGACATCACATAGCACCCTTTGTTAAAAACATAAATAAATCACTATTATGAAGGTGCACTTTAATCTACACAATCTTTGGTTTAAATTTTAGTACTACAGAAAATTTCGTGCTTTGGACAATTAGCTTTCTCTTTTCATGGTGAACATTAACATTAGTTCCTTAAAAAGTTTAAACATTACATAATTCCAACTGTTGGATAAATACAGCACGAAAACGAAAAAAAACTGTATTGGTGTTAATTGTATTTTAAATGGACGTTATCGACTGAAAAAAAAACTTCCAGAGATTTTTTTACTGTTATTTTTTAAGTCAACAAAAGTCCTCCTGAAAACAACAGCTTAAAATTGTTAAAGCTAAACGTTCTCAGTTAGTTCTAGGTAAATCTTCCCCCAAATAATTTTTTTTTTCAAGGAAAGATTAGAATGAAAAAAGTTGGAGCATTGTTGTTTGGATGATAATATGATAATCTTATGAGGAAAAAAAGTAATAATGGAAATTCTTAATCGAGATGAAATAATCTTGATGTATTCTTTAACGAAGCAAGATTTACTGGTTTGTTTTCATTGCCATGGAGTGGTAAGACGCCATTAAAAGTTGTGACACTAATATTTCAATGATAAGTTTTTATATTTTTTTTTTGTTTTGATTGTGGTTTCACTTCATCATCTCGAACTATGTGAGATATGGTGACTTAGACTGAAAATCTCTGACCATACTATTACAAGTATGCCGAGATTTGCAAAATCTCACTAAACTTGGTTTGAAATGAAGATGAACTAAAAAAATTAACAAAGTAGGCAGTCGGGCAGTATGCTTTGAGACTCGGCAGTTTGATGAAAGTGTCTAATGTAAGGCTAAAAGCATCGCCCATATTTTTGGGAAAGGTCAGAAAATGTTAATTTCCACTCTTCTGTCAGGACTAGGGTTGAGATTCAAATTGATATTTCTGAATTATGGTATATCAATACTTCAAAAAACAAACAAAAAAGGTAAGTGAGCATGTTTTACTAAAGTAAAAAAGGTAAGTTTGCATGTTTTGATATAAAAGAAAAAGGTAAGTGAGCATGTTGTTTTTAAGTTAAAAAAAGGTAAGTTTGCATGTGATGTAAAAGAAAAAGGTGAGTTTGCCCTGTGCATGTTGTCAGTACAAAATAATTAAGTTAATATCAATATTGATCTATACTGAAAAGATCAATATAAGGAGCGTGTGAGAATGAATATTCTTCAGCTATTTTAAGAATTTCCATTCTTTAATGCTTAGAGCGTGTAAGAATATACATTCTTTCACGCTCTGACAGTGTAATAATTTCCATTCTTCCACGGTCTGAGCGTTAAAGGATGAAAATTCTGCACCTACAGTGTAAGAATAAGCATTCTTAAACGCTAGGAAGCGAACAGTATTAAAATTGTTCCTACTGAACCGTGTAATAATGGGAATTCTTACACGATAGCTTTACTACTATGGAACCGATCAGATATGATATAATAACAATGATGATAATAACAATGATGATAATAACATAATGATAATAACAATGATGATAATAACAATGATAATAATAACAATGATGATAATAACATAATGATAATAACAATGATGATAACTATGATGATAATAACAATGATGATAATAACAAAGACGATAATAATACCGAATAAAGGATCTGGTGTTGAAGTAACTGAATCTGTTTCAAGGACTACCCTGTCCAACTTAGCCTTCACAACAATATTCTCACCAGGTCTAACAAAATACATATTTAACAAATATTTCAGAGTTTTAAAACAAAATCAATCTTAAGTATATTTTATGTCGTTACACACCATTTGGTTTTACTAGGAGCTTGATATGGCATATGACATATGACGTGCGACGTACGACAAACGTCATATGACATTTTACAAATGTCAAAACACATATGGCATATGGTACATATTACATATTATTAAATGTCATTTTCATTTCGTCATTTCGTCATTTTGTCATTTTGTAAAACTTGCATCCTTGGAAAATTGAAAATAATATATAATTATTAGTTCTAGGAATTTTACGACGCAACTTAAAGAGAAAGCTTGATTAATCAATAATATGAGATATGGATAAATATTAAAATCAAATTGCATATTTTTCAAAACCTAAAATAAATAAACACTCCCTTTAAAGTTAAACCGCGCAGTGTTTACGTATGTTATTTTCCATTTTTCAATCGTAATAACAAAACGTCTAATTGATCAAATACCTGACAGGAAAATTAACGCCCCGCTTCACGTTCAAAACTATTAATCTTTTCTCCAGAATCATTCTTTCTGAAACATTTTTTTAAAATGAAACTAACTGTCGAAAAAATACTGTTTAAATATCAAAGATAACCACATTTAAAAAGTCAATGTTCTCAGGTACCGTTTAAATTTTCACAAATCAAAATACAAAATATCTTTCCCCGGATTTCTGATTTAATCCTCTAGGGGCAGTTTCTTCAATATTTCCTTTCCCCCTCCAAGCTGGACACTGTCCTCTCTAAAATATATAAAAATATATTAATGTGATCAGTGGCCGAATTTAAAGAATTTGAGCGGCGGTTCAAATTTAAGGCGCGGCTTAAATATGGATGGTTCTACTTAAAATTGTATCAAATGTTTCAAGATTTAAGCCGGTGCTTAATTTAAACCGGGTTTTGGCAGATTTAAACCACGGCTCAAATTCTTTAAATTCCATCTCTGTACTAATCAAATGCAGTCACTTACACAAATATCTACAGAATCGGTTTATAAATGATGCAAGTCATAGAGGAATCATACTATAAATATTTATTTTATCAAAATCAAATGTTCAAATCTTCTTATTTCATTCTTTTTTTCTGAAGAGCTCCTTTATTTTCAACTTAAATCCGGATCCGTAAATCCACATATTTCTTCGGATCCGGGTTGCTAAAAGTTGCGGATTCTTAGCACCGGTAATTTATTTGGCTTTCAGAGTTTGCTTGAATAATTGAAAAATATCCGTCATAAGATCCGTTTCGGAAAGATTTCTGCAAGTATTCTTCAAGAAAACATCGGGTAGTTGAATATGAAATAATGACAATTAACTCTTTAATTTATTAAAGGTATTATATAAATAACTAGCTGAAAGGCCCGGCGTTGCCCGTGGAAAAAAATGTAATTTTTAGCCTATGTCACTTCCTTCACCAAGGCTACCCACCTATGAATGTCCACAAAAAATTTCAGCCCATTCGGTCCAGCCGATTGGCCGGCCAGAGGGAACATATATATGAATATCTTGTTTTATTATAGATATTATTTAACGTTGTTTGGCAATTTTCACAAGAAATCTATTTTTTTAAATATTAACAATAAAAATCAATAACTGACCCTAAAACGAGGAAGCTCCATCGATTACATATTTCTTGGACGATCTTTCGAAGCTGAATAGGATCTAGGGTTCGAGACTCTTCTTCTGGTAAACTCTTTCGAAATCCATCCACGAGTTCGAGAAAATGCCTAAATGAACGAATTCTTGAAATAGAGAAGTTAGAAACTAGAAACATGTTTCTAGTTTTGAGTGGGTCATATGACCCCAGGGAAGGTTTATCATCATAAAAATTTCAAAAAATAGCCTCAACCAAAAGTCGATTTTCAAAAAATTTTAAACATTGACGAATATTTATAAGAGAAAATGTTCACAATTGAAAAAGAAAAATGTAAAACTGGAAAAGCATCAATAAATTCAAATAAATTAAAAAATGTCATGTAAAATATTTCTTTGATGAAAAATGAAAGACAGAGAGGAAATTTAATTTGTAATTTGTCAAAAAAAAAACGATAGTCAAATTCTTGACAAGGAAGGATTCAGTATCCGGATCTGCGATTCAAACAAATAAATCTTTCAATTTATTAATTCTCTTTGGTATTTAATTCATCAAAATAAAAGTAATCAAATGTTTTCTTAAATTGAAAATGAAAAATGAAGAGAAAAAATGTAAGCTCTATAAAAAACAGATTGAATTCCTATGGCTGGTATTGAATTCAATTCCTATGGCTGGTATTGAATTCAATTCCTATGGCTGGTATTGAATTTATTAGATTAAAATTTAAAAATTGTCAAATCATTTCTATGATTGAAATTTAAAATTGTTTGAAATATTTTCAAAAAATTTAATGATGGCTATGTGAATTTCTTTTTGAATGTCAACAATTTTTTGGTTTAAAAATGTAAGATTGAGTGGAAAAATATTTGGCAAAACTGATATTTCCATTATTAAAAAGCCTCGTCGGTTCAGCCTTCTAAACGTTTATCGGTTACAATCTAACAAACAAACAAACAAACAAACAAACAAACAAACAAACAAGGAAACAAACAGACAGGCACCAAAACAGACAAGCAAAGTATGTATATATACAGAATCCGTGTCCTGCATTTCATTCATGAATATGAAATAAAATAAATATTAAAAAATAAAATATGAGAAATATTAATTAAAACTTTGAACTCCAAGTATTTAATTCTGATGAAGGACGGATTGAAAAATAAATCCTCTGTTTACCTGAGAGCGTGATGTTTGGCTGAACCTGGTTTCAATCCCGTCCCAACACTATAGAGGACGGAGTCAATCATACAGATGAAGGCCCTGGTGGTGGTGTGGCTTGCCTGCATACCCATCCATTGGTTAAGGTTTAGGCTCATCAATAACCACATCCGGGAAAGTAGGACGCCATCTAATATCAAAATTCAAATAAAAAAATTTGAAAACTTAAATATTACAAAAAACCAATAAAAAAAAAATTACTCCTTAGAAATTGATATCACGCATGAACACAAAAGAGCTAGAAACTCTTGTAATATATATTAGAGATGAATTAGAAAAATAAACTTCCTAATAAACAAATGGAAAAAGCTGAAAAATACCATGTTTAGGCATTGAAAATGTACTTTGACATAAAATTATCAATGTATACCAGGGGCGGACCCTGCTCTTGGGGTGTCAAACTTCCAATAAAACTGTGATTCAGTTGCAAGAGCACCGAGCGACACTTGCAAACGAGGGGGTGCAGGGAGGCAGAGCCCCCCGCGATTTTATATTAGGAATTAGCATTAAAAGTAAGTATTTTAAGTGCTCAAAATAGAAAATTACTTTTTAAATATGTATTTATTGTTCTAGAACTTTACTTTATTTTAAGAAAAATATAGATATAATATAGAAGGATAGGATATTAAGGAAATAATAGGTCTAGGATATCTTATGTATTTTATGTGGAAATGTCAACAAGGTTAATGGTTACTACTAATAATATTGAATTGTCCGGAGAAAGCAAAATTGCTTCTCACTAAAAAGTATGCACTTTCACTTATATTTTGCTTGTTGCTTGAACTTACTTGAGATAACAAGGTTTCTGACCCCGAGCATGAGCTGTACTGTGATGAACCCCATGAGGGCCCTGACCTTGAGACCCTGCTGGGTCGGCGGGATCAGGGTTAAAGAGTACAACAGGTTCAACGGATGGTTGAAACCTTCCAGTCTCAAGTGCTGAATCAATAGATAAATAAAAACATAATAATTTTGTTGTGACTCTATTCAAAATGTATTTTGTTTTCAGACACAAAGTAAATAGAAACTGGACGCTTAATTAATAATTATATCATTTATACTTTTTGAACAGACTCTTTAAAATGAAGTGTCTGGCCAGACATGGTAGTTAGGCTGAGACTGCAGTATTGAAGAGAATTTTTTTATGATTCATTTGAGACGTATCATACTTTTTTTACGGTGCATATTTGTTCCGCAAGAGCGCAAATTCAATATTTAAAATCCTCAAAGATTGTCCATTTTGGAGGGATGATATTGAGAATCCATCTTTTTAAAATAATTCAATGACAACAAAAATATAACAAAAATTCTACAGTACTATTTATTTGTTAAAGAACAGGTTAAGAAAATAAAATGTAGTAATTTTATTCAGTTATAGGTTTCTGTAATGTCTCATTTTTCACAAACATTTCTGTAGATTTCCTGGAGTTTTATTAAAAAGACGACATTTAAAGAGTTTGAAGAAATTTGCGAACAAGAAGTTCGATAAAATAATGAAAAAGAAATATGTTCCTAACCATCTAATTAGTACTGTAAAATTTTTGTTACATTTTTCGTCGTCGTTATTTAATAATTAACAAAAAACGATTCTCAAAATCAGATGAGGATTTTAAAGCTTAAATTTGCACTCTTCCTAAACAAATATGCACCATAAAACGTCTCATAGGTTTCAAATGAATCCTAAAAATGTCTACAAAACTGCATTCTCAGCTCAACTACCATGCTTAGCCAGACACTCCCTTTATGAACCTGAGATATTGAAACAAACGCAAAAATAGTCTTACGTTTGGAACATTGTCAACTCTCCAGTTTCTTGAAGATACTGAGAGATGAACTGGTCTAAACCTAACCGTGAGTAGAACACCCAGATCTATTATCTAAATATTAATTATTTTTATTAAACTACTCATATTCATAGTGAGATATATACATATAACGATATCTAGGTATGGTAATAGATCAAGCAATGTAGCCTAACGTATCGTAGTCTGTGATCCACGCACCCCGAAAGGGGGCTCTGGGTTGCAGGGAGAGGTGGTTACCAGTTACCTGGTAACACTTGTGTTATTGGGGAGTCATAATAGATAGATAGATAGATAGATGTTAATAGATCAAGCAATGTAGCCTAACGTATCGTAGTCTGTGATCCACGCACCCCGAAAGGGGGCTCTGGGTTGCAGGGAGAGGTGGTTACCAGTTACCTGGTAACACTTGTGTTATTGGGGAGTCATAATAGATAGATAGATAGATAGATGTTAATAGATCAAGCAATGTAGCCTAACGTATCATAGTCTGCAGGACATGATTTGACTGTAGCTTAAATGATGATCATCATAATATTAATAGAAAAATTAAGAGATCAAGCAATCTGGACATCTAACGATCTCGAGAGATTTAGAGATCTTCAAAGGGATTTTTAAGAAATCTTCAAGAGATTTTCAAGAAATCTTACAGGAATATTCAAGAAATCATCCAGAGATATTCAGAAATCATCAAGAGATTATCAAGAGACTCTAAAGATATTTTCAATAAATAATCAAGAGATTTTCAAGAGATTAGATATCTTGAAGAGATCTTGAAGCGATATTGAAGAAATCATCAAAAAGTTTAAAAGTTCTTCAAGAGATCTCCATGAGATCATGAGATATTCAATAGATCCCCAAGACTTTCAAGATATATAAGGAGATTTCAAAAGATAAAAAGAGATATCAAGAGATCTCCATGAGATCATGAGATATTCAATAAATCCCCAAGACTTTCAAGATATATAAGGAGATTTCAAAAGATAAAAAGAGATATCAAGAGATATTAAGGGGTATCAAGAGATATCAAGCGATATTAAGAGGTATCAAGAGATCTCCATGAGATATTAAGAGGTATCAAGAGATATCAAGAGAAATTAAGAGGTATCAAGAGATATCAAGCGATATTAAGAGGTATCAAGAGATATCAAGGATATTAAGAGGCATCAAGAGATATCAAGAGATATTAAGAGGCATCAAGAGATATCAAGAGATATTAAGCGGTATCAAGAGATATCAAGAGATATTAAGAGGTATCAAGAGATATCAAGCGATATTAAGAGGGATCAAGAGATATCAAGCGATATTAAGAGGTATCAAGAGATATCAAGAGATATTAAGAGATATTAAGAGGTATCAAGAGATATCAAGCGATATTAAGAGGTATCAAGAGATATCAAGAGATATTAAGAGGCATCAAGAGATATCAAGAGATATTCAGAGGTATCAAGCGATATTAAGAGGTATCAAGAGATATCAAGAGATTAATAGAAATTTAGGTCTGATATCCTGGTAAACTTAAAATTTGTACAATGATGATAATAATAATAAGAAAACTAATGTGCATTTACAAAACACCAGTGCAACAGTAAAAATTGAAATATTAAAAAGTTGTAAATACATCATATAAATTATATTGTGAGTAATTACAGGGTGGCCAAAACTTTTTTGAACCCATCCGTACAAAAATCCGTACATTTTCAGAAGAAATCCGTACAATCCGTACAATTTGAAAACAAATCCGTACAATCCGTGCAATCCGTACAATCCGTACAATTTTAGGGTAAAAAAAAATCAATCCGTACAATCCGTACAATCCGTACATTTTGGCCACCCTGTAATTAGTAAACTAAAGTTAATGTTCTGAATGTTGAAACTGCAAAGCTGCCTTATTTAAAACACTAAAAATGTTTAAATTTCCAAATTATCTTTCAAAATAGATCAACAAAGCGTTGTTTATTCTTTACATTCTAATAAATAATATTTCTTTTCTACATCAAAAACTCGAAGCTATTAAGATTAAAGGAGGAAAAATGTGTTATTCATCCCTGAGAAAAATTTAAATTTCCCTAATTTTCATTTTTATTTTAAATTACATCTGTTTGAAAACATAAATGTCGAGTTAATAAGATTTTAATATTAATAAGAAAATAAAATAAAGAACCTCTGAACGCGCAACAAAGTAAAATCGAACTGTACAAAGTATAAAACTAAAAGATCTGACGTGGAGAATTTTGGTTGAAGAGATTGGGTTTAACTTATTCTCCTTGCGGTCTCGTATTGATCAGAAAAGATTTGACTAAAATGAAACCGGTTCTTGGGAATTAGTACAATTTTAACCCATTCCAAATTGTAAGAGCAAGTGGGTTGATATCCTTAATTGGCATTGGAATAATTATCAATGCTTGTATATTACATACATAGGGTTGCACAGTACATATACGTAATAAGCTCCTATACGTTGAACCGTTTAAACACAGAGGGTCGTCTTGCGACAAAATACACGACGAATTTTATAAATATGTCGGACATTTTAAAATAATAATAACTATCTTTAAGAATACATTAGTTACGCTCATTAAATATTTTTATTTCATCGTTCATTTGGTTTATTAGGTTTAACAAAAAATCAAGAAACCACTAAAATAATAAAAAGAAATAATATTTTATAAATATTAAAAATTGGTAAGAATCTTGCTACAAAAATCAACAAGTGGCCAAAGATGTCAACTCAGCAACATTTAGTTAAATATGTACATGATATATTATGATAATGATAAACTAAAGCCATAAATTAGTTTTTGTCATGAGACATAACTTATATAAAAACAAATTTATAATTATCTTTTTTAATATTGGTTAAGGATTCTTTAGGATACTGAATTTAAAGAAAAGTAAATAACTTTTGAAAAGTACTGTACACAGTTTTAATTTCTAATAATATTTAATTCCTGAGGATGTTAATTTTCTGATTACATTGGAGTCCTAAGGATATTTAATTCCTAAGAATATTAATTTCCCAATGATATTGGATTCCTAAGGATATTAGATTCCAAAAATATATATTAGATTCTAAGAATATCTAAGTGTTAAGGATATTTAATTCCAAAGGATATTTAATTTTCTAATAATATTGGAGTTCTAAGGATATTTAATTTCCTAATAATATTGGAGTCCTAAGGATATTTAATTCCTAAGAATATTAATTTCCTAATGATATTGGTTTCCAAAGTATATTGAATTCCAAAGGATATATAATACCAAAGAATATTTGATTACAAAGAATATTTAATTTCTAAGGAGTAAGAATATTAATTTCCTAATGATATCGGAGTCCTAAGGATATTTTATATGTTATTCTCCCCATCACTTGATCTTGATATCAACTGAGGGCACTTTTAATTTGAAGATCAGTGCTTAATCTCTTCAGAGCTCAAAACTTTAGAATGGGATATCCTTAATCCCGATCGGTAAATTAATCTGGAGATTAATAACGAGAGGAGAACAAGCATTATCTAATCTTGAGATTAAGAAAAAGAGTGGATCAAGCATTAATCCCGATATCTACTATTCAAAAGTTCCCAGCTCAGTTCAATTATCCCTCCCCAGATCAGTCATCAATGCTCCCTTCATCCACCGACTGGGTACGATTAAGATGCGGGATATTAAATAAATATTAAATTAATCTGCAGATGAACTAGAGATTAATCTGGCTATTAGCAATACAAGAGTTCCCAGCTCTGGTAACATCTAACAACATTTTCTATTGGAAAAGTGAACGCAAATAATGATGAAACACAAGTAATAAAGCACTTCAGAAAATCCTAATTGCAAACAAACATTGAATGCAAAATATCGAGGAGGCAACATTGATAAATCAGTATGGGGAATGGTACTTCTAAATAGGCACTGTAAAGAAGGAACGCTAAGAATATTTTGGAAATCTTCTTTTTAAACATAAGATGACTAAATAGATTTACGTCAAAACTGAAAAATTATCTCTAAAGGAACAGTTGTGAGAGAAACAAAGATAAATGTGTGTATTTTATTTTTCTATTTTAAAAAAATGACAATTGGTTTAAGTGGACTAGAATTAGGTAATTATTGCTTTAATGACGCACGCCCAACTGCGAGCCCCTAGTAATTAGCTGGGTATAAACTCTGCGGGAGGATTCTCGACTTCAGATCTTACAATCTCCTTCCCAGGTACACATCTACTATTATATTTACACTTATCATAAATATTGTTTCAAAAATTTAAACATTTATCTAAATTCCTTTAAACTTGTCCTTTATATAATTTATAAATATTATTTTGTAACTTATCTTTAAATACAAAGTCAAACTTTTAAACATTTAACTCTTTACTTTCAAGTCGATCTCTTAAACTTATTTTAAATCTTATTTCTATAATTGAACTATCTCATTCTGAACTAACCAGGGGTAAGATGAATTTGTTTTCTTCTATTTATTTTTACTTTTTTATTTAAAAAGTATATGCCGACAAAAATTTATTTAAGAGAATAGGCGAAAAAATTGCTTTTAATAGTTCCAATTATGATTGAAAGTCACAGTTTTAAGGAATAAGGACCAAACCGTTAAATCTGCGTTATCTGAGCTGAAAACTTTATAATGGTGGATATCAAGATCAATTCTTGATCCTCTCTTTTTCTTAATCTCGAGACTAACCTAATCTTGTACTTGTATCCTAAAAAGTGTATAAAATTCAACCAATCAGAGTCGCGTATTAGAAGCCGAGAAATTTGAAATTTTGCGCACAATTTATGATTAATATACAGACACGGGAGGGACTCGCTAATTCTGAAAAAGCGGTTTTTGGTTTTTATGTACTGTTAACCGTTTCCAAAATAAGAGTGGATTAGGCAAGAAATTAAAAGTGTCCACAATGGATATTCGGATTAATCAGTCGGGATTAAAGGTATCCCGTTTAAAAGTTTTCAGCTCTGCTAAATCACTGTTTTTTTCTTCATAACAGTTACATTTTATTCTCTATAAAATACTGTTCCAAGACCTTTCACATTTCTTAGAATTAATCTTGATAAAGGAATTTGAACTGATTCTATTTAATTTCTTTTCAAGTCAAGTTATTACTTTATTTTAAAATATAATCTTGAAAATTTTTTTAATGGTACAAATCCAAAATTTATTTTTTCAATTTAATTTAATTCAATTCAATTCAAGAAGCCAGGGACTGTCTAATAGCTCCATGATCTAGGCAGGGTACACCATTTCCAGATCAAAGCTTTTCAGCTTGACATAGTTTAGATCTAACTACGGACTTTTGCAAAAAAAAATGCGAACACTTTCTTTCGTATTTCTAACTTTTTCGCAAACATGAATTAAGCAAAAAGAATGCGAAAACGATGCAAAATTCCGCGTAAATACTTTTTGATCAAAAAAATTCCGCTAAATTTGCATTTGTTTTTTCGCAAAACAGAATAAAGAAAAATTTCGTGAAGAAAGCAAAAATTTTCGCATTTTTCTCGAACGAATGAAATGCGAAAAATTGCTGAATTTTCGGCGAACGATTTACCCTTTTTGCTAGTGACCTTACTTGCGACTAAATCTGATCCATGTTACCAGTCTCATTCTCAACACTTTCTGCTAGCAATTTACCAAAAAAATACTTATCTTGTTAAATTTAGAGACTAATAGCTTATATAGCTTGTTGACATGGGGATCTTAGGAGTAGTATTAGCTGTTGCTATTATTAGCATTCACGCCTCAGATGTTACGGGTAAGACAAAGTTTTTTTTAAATATTCCATTTTTTTACTTTATTAAAAGTGTTTAACTCTTGTTACCATTCAACTAAGATAAGGGCTGAATTAAAAAGCAAGAATAAAACTTACTACTACTGTTCCAAATTTAAGAAAAGTCTTAGATACTTAGCAATAAAAAAAAAACACATTTTTTAGCCCATTTAATTTTCCTTTTATTTTAGGAGCAAGTTCAGATCGCTCATTGAGTGGTAAGAATATAAAGTTTACTACAATCTATATTTGTAATTATTTGTATCTCTAATATTTATGAACTAGGAACTGAAAGACAATCTCTGTATGCTGACTCCAGAACAATCAGCAGAAACAAAAGAAATCCACTAAACAACCAAAGACAGAACAATAACAATAATGGTGACAAAAAAGAGGAGAAACAAAAGAAAAAGAAAGGGAGAGAAAATGCCGTAACCAAAACAAACGGAAAAAAAACTAATAAAAAAGGTAATGGCAAATCAAAAGGCAACATAAAAAGGAGACAACGAAAAAGAAGCAAAGCTGGCAATAAAGAAGAAGAGAATGGTGACACCATAGGAAATACAACAGAAAACGGCAAGGGAAAAGGTAAAGGAAAAGGCGAGGGCAACAATAAAGGAAAAAAAGGGGGAAAAAGTGGAAAAAGAAAACGTAATAATGGAAATAAAAATGAGAAGGAAGATGAAGTAAATAATAATAAAGAAAAAAAGAAAGGAAAAAAGAAAAAGCAAAAAAAAATTCAGAAAACAGATAAGGTCAAAAAACCAGAAGAGACAAGAACCCTCACTCGGCAAGTAGATGATACTTGCGTCAAGGTAAATTTTGATTTGAGATAAATAAACTGAAAAAGAATAAAACACAGATAAATTTTTCAGGATCTGGCAACCTTAGCTTCAGTGGCCTCAAACCAAGCTAGAAATTTCTTCCAGCAAGCAAACAGAATCCTTGCAAATAATGACATTAAAACATCTAAGAGCGGGAAGAAAGGAAACTTCAAGGATCCTGTAAAAATTCTTATCAACAACCTTGGTGGAGATCCTGCCAACTTGACCTGTTCTGGGAAAGCTATCAGTAATGATACAGCCAAAGGTGTGTTTGTTTTAACTTTGCAGCCAATCAAAAATGGAAAAGTAGACAAAAATATTACTTGATTTACTTTAAGTTATCATGCAAAGATAGCCATAATTACATGCCTGGCCTAATTGTACAGATCATGGGCTTCATTTAATAGATAAGAAATACCCACTTATAAAAGTTTTGAATAATAATAATACCCATCAAGATTAAGTAAAGGAACTCTTACTAAATAATAATGCCAAATTGTTGTCCTTACAATTAACATAACATAGATTTTATTTTCTATAGAAACAACAAAGACATTGGAGGAATGTGAGGCGAACATAACCAGTGCTTGTGTTGCTTCCCTCCCTGATGCCAACCTTACAAAAGTTCAAGAATGCAAGACTGTCACAGATGATTTCAGGTTGGTAATAATTTTTAGTGACTTACATATCCTCATAAATTGAAGTAACACTTAAAACAAAGAATTTCATGTCTGATTCACAACCAGTATCAACACATTTATCTGAGTAACAGTAAAAATAAATCGGTTTTTTTTCTGTATTGAAAATAGATAAATGTTGTCAATTTATTTTCTTGTTTCTGACGTTTACATTCAGAAGTTCCTTTTAGAGACAACCCCCAAAATGAAAATTATTAATATTTAAGAGAAATTTCCAAAAATTTCCTGAGAAAGGGTTTTCAGGATCTATTCTTATTGTTAATAGTTTTAGTTAATCTTTCATTATTGGTACTTACAATGTTGTCCTTCAAGATTTTTAAAAAAACCTTTTACTTAACGTAAAAGTATCAATAAACCTGAAAATCCAAAACATAAGTTTTAAATAATTTTTTATTTCTAATGATTGTTAAGTGTCTTTTAAGCTTTTTATGAAGAATCGTAGTTTGACAGAGAAATTACCTGTTCAGACAATTTTTATTTTTATTTCAACTATCTTAATTGATTCAGAATATTTCTTTCAATTTTGGACTTATAAAAAGGCATTTTTAAGTAATCCTAAGAAAAGTAAAGAGACAATGAGTTATATCCAACAACTTCAAGAAACTAGGAGAAAGAGGTTTTCTATTCACGTATGTAAATATTTGTTTGAAGAGTACCATCATAACTTGCTAGTGACAGCTTCCCTAATTTAACTTAATTTGAGAGTCTCTATGACTCTATATATTTAGAAAACTATACATTGATCTGTTGGGAAAAAATCTACCTACTAAATCTGCTGCTGAGGTATAGATTTCAAATTGGTCTTGATCATTAAATTCCAGCCAAGGGTTATGATTTTTAAGAATTGAGAGTTAACATGAAAAATTGGACTTTAATATAACTTAGCTCAAAGCCAAAACAAAGCATGGGGAAGATTTGATGTCATATGAAAATATTCAGAGATTTAAAATTAACCATCAAGTGTATGTGCAGATATGTCAAGCAACTAAGGATTCAACACTGACGACCTTAATGGATCAAGTGAGGAATTGTTCATTTCTAACCGACATTGATAAAGCTCAGAGAGAGGAACGTGGTGCTTGTGATACAGGTAGAAAACAAATTTTCGGACAAAGCCATGTTAAGATTAGTCATTTTTAAATAAACATTTGACCATTCTGTAATAATTTTAAAGAAACCCAAATCATGTAACAATAAACCACCCATCCCCCCACCCCCCAAAAAAAATGGGATTAAGACTTTGGAGCCATTACAATCCTCAAAAACGTCCACTAGTAAATAGCTTTTAATTTTGGAAGGGGATAGAAGTAGCTTTAGTCATTGGACTACAAAATGAAAAATGGAAACATTCAAACCTTCATTAGGCATAAAAGTGTTTGCCATTTAATGCCATGTAATAATTTAACCAATTTGTGGGGAGCCATGATGACTTAAACCTTTTTTAAGTCTCATAAAAATAATAACTTAAATCTGTATTTCTAAATGACAATTTCTAACATTTTCTTGTTAAATTTGTTTGTTCTAGTTAACAGGAAATTTTTTTGAATATTTGACATAGTTTTACATCTAACAAAAGCACTGGACTTTAAAATTCATTAGTGCTGTTGTAAATTCCTGCAACAAGGTTCTAATAATATTTCTTTTAGCGTTTAAGAATTGCAGACAAGCAGAGAGAGATACAATAGCAGCAATAAACAGATGTGCGACATGCCCATCTGCAGACACCCTTGCAGCTGAGATAGCTGTCCTTGATAGGTGAGTAAGGACTAGTTTCAATAATAATAAGAATTCAGAAGCAATCTATCTACAAATCTTGGTATTATCATTACCATCTAATATATCCACCTGTTCCACATTTACTTTTCTTGTTATTACCATACCATCTATCTATTTATACACTTTTTAAGTTTGGAAAATGCTTTTAACAAAACTGAGGAGGCTTTAGATGCAGCACTAAAGGCTGCAGGTCTAAATACAGGAGCTGGTTCTAATGGAACGGTAATATGGAACTTTATTAAAAAATTTTATAATTTAAAAATGTCGTTTCAGAAAGTTCTAATTAGAAAATATAGTTCTAATTAAATTAACTATCATTAACTTTTACCAATTCTTTATGTGTCCAAAATCAAGCCTGAATTTTTTGCATGAATGAATATTTTTTTAATTTAAGACATAAAGGGCACATTCGATATTCAACGGTACTTGTTAACTTTTGAAATTCAATAAAATCCCTGTAACAACCCCATTGAGCAAACCTTTTTAAAACCTTTTTATAAATTTATCACTTTGATAGCTCTCTGCTGATGCTCTAGCAGGCCTAGCAAACATAAGTACAGAAGGCCTGGCTGATGGATGTAAAGCTATTCTTCAAGGTAAATTGGCAATCATTTCCAAACAAATTTTTGCAATCAAACCATGCCATGTCTTGAAATGACATCAACAATGGAACATAAATCCTTAGTAACAAAAACCAAATGAAATCTTAAAACTTTACAAAACTTTAAAATTCTTTTCAGGGTTCATCAATTTCAATAGATCTGCAGAAGCGTCCGGTTCTGATCCAAACAAGCCCCTAAATCAAGTAAATGCAGCTAAAGCAGCTGAAGCATTGAATACCATTAATTCAAGGTATTTAATTTTGGGAAAATTCAAAGTAATGATTTTGCTTCAAGGCAGAAGAAGTCAAGGTATTTATATGGGGAAAATTTAGCATTATGTATCATAGGTGGGACTTAAATGTATCCTTTTTAACTTGTTTTGCGTAGTTTTCATTAAAAAAAATTTTAAAAACTTAACCGAGAGTTTAAAAATAAGATGATGATAATTGTAAAAAAGCCGACTTATCAATACAAAAATAAAATGTTTAGAACAACCCTTCTAGAAGATATAAAGTCATGCCCTGCAGCGCCAGCCAGACAATCTTTCAGTTTTGCAATTGTATACATTAGGTAGGGTTTATAACACTGATTTCTATCCACCAAATATTGGAAAATAATGCTTAATACTTTCATATTTTAGATTTTACATATTCTGGTGCATAAGATGGAGAAGAGTTGTTGTAATCATCAGAATTCAAGTCCTCGTAGTTATCTTCAACGTACCGAGACCAACCACTACTCCGCAAATAACAACTAGAGCGCCTTCTGGAAGATTACTTCGGAGAGACAAACTAATAAAATCTGTTTTCCTTAGAAGAAATTAGGACAACAGATGGATTGAACTATTCCAGTGAGAAGACCCACATTTGCCAAGCCACGGATTATGAGAATGCCAACAAGCTACATGCTACTAGTGACAAATGACTACTTAAAACTAACCTATTAAAAATGCTTACAAAAGACACACAAAAAAGTGCCGACACAAGACGTTGACTAAAGACTATAATTTAACATGTTTATTATATTTAAAGATATTTTCCATTATTCATATATGTACATGTATAAATAAATAAAGGATACGCATTGCAATCTGTTTCTATTTCTTAGATGGATATTAACTTTTTGAAATAACAAGAGCGAAATTAAGACACACCCACCCCTTCCCCCCGAGTGAAAAGTCTGCATACTTACAAGTTAACATCACATTCTAATTTTAATATCTTCAGAGCTGAACACTTCAGAATGGCGGATATTGAGATCAATGTTTGATCTCCTCTTTTTTTCTTAATCTCGAGATATAATAATTCTTGTTCTCCTCTTGTTATTAATCTCCGGATTGATTAACCGGTCGGGATTAAGGATATCCCACTCTAAAGTTTTCAGCTCAGGTGTCCTTCAATCTTTAAAAACTGTTTAATAAAGTTTAAAAAAATGTACTGGTATGCGTCAAATTGTGGTAAGATCTATCTTTAATTAAAATGGAAACTAGCACAACTACCCATTGTTATTCTTGGTATATATAGTCAAATATTTCGACAAAAGACGACCTCCTATCTTATTATTATCTGTGGTTATTTGAGCCAAAGGACCTAACTGTGTTGCCCATTGGAAAAATTGAGTTACGGTTTGGTCAGTTATGGGTACCAAATATACATATAGACTTATTGTTTTCTTCTGTAGATTCTACTGGAAATATGTTTACCTTTGAATATTAAATAACTCAGTTTAGACTTAAACTATTTTGTAAACTTTGTTTTAAGGAAATGTAAGAGTTATTTCAACAAACCCTCCATGCAAAGATGGCAATGCACAATTCACAACGGCACGTTTGAAAGCTTTATCTTATCAACGTTTAACACATTGAAAACTGATTATTTTTAATTTTGGTTTCGAATTGATACAACTGGAAAATATATAGAAATGCAATAAAATTAAACACATTTAGACCTAGAAAAACGACAAAATCTTCCACATTATTGATCAAATAAAGGTTTTAAGGGTACTGTTGCAAATCGTGCATTGTCATCAAAGCATGGAGCTAAAGTCACTTGAATTAACGCCTCTAGTCCCTTTAAATAAGTTAATGTTTTCAAAGAAACTGTAGAAAATTTACCTGATCCGTTGTGAGGGGAGGAATACGTTTCATAAGAGCACATAGAGAATCTCTAACCATTGTCGAACTTGTTCTAGCAAAAAAAAACATTTTGTTTTTAGTTTATTTTCAAAATATATGAAACAAAACAAATATATCTTATCCCCGTTTAGATTTTTAAAAAATATTTATGAAAACAAAAAATTAAACTTTAAAAGTAACTTCTTATACGTCACATTAATTGTACTTCAATTCGGATTAGAAATATCTATGAAACCTTATGATTGACACACATCTTCTATATAAAATTGTAACTATAATATTTAGGCCAATAAAGGAAACAGTTACCTATTCCCTATGAGATGTTTGTCATGAGCTGTAACGAAAAGGATCCATGTAATCATCTTGAACTCATCATAAGTTTTACAGTCAAGCAGATTTTTCAATATCAAATTCTACCGAACATTTTGTATTTATTTATTTATTTATTTATTATGGCAACCCTAAACCCAAGAATCACGACCGTTAGCACCTTCCTAGCTAAATGATACAGAGCTGAAAACTTTAGAATGGTGGATATTGAGATTAATACTTGATTCTCTCTTTTTCTTAATATCGAGACTAATCTAATCTTGTACTTTATCAATCAGAGTCGCGTATATGAAGCCAATAAATTTGAAATTTTGCGCGCCATTTAAGATTAATATACGGAAACGGGAAGAACTCTCTAAATAAAAAAGAACAGTTTAAGAAGAAAATCATAAGTGTGCCCATTGGATACTCAGATTAAGTAATTGGGATTTAGGATATTTCATTCTTAAGTTTTTTTTCTCAATCAAGAATATCCCCCCCCCCCCCCATCTTTATTATTCATATCATCTTTGAATATAAATATGTTCCTTTATCAGCTTGAAGGTGTGGAGCATGGCATTAGGTGCTAAAGGAGGTCCTGGTTCAAGAACAGGAAATCTAAAAAATAATCTAATTGAAGCACAGATCTAAAATTTTGGTTTATCAACAGTTTTATAACACGCTGAGTCGGTTACCCTCCGCTTGGTGATAAAGTCTAATTCGGCTGCGACATCCAACCAATTTCTTAAATTCATTTCTGAAGGGACTGAAAGCGTAATTTCAAGTTAACTTTCATTAACAGATTTACAACGATACCCATAAAACCTTTGTTTGATCAAGGTTTTCATAGATATTCTTATTTTTTAGCGAGAAATTAAGTGCTAAGAAACCACGCGAGTGTACTCTGTACAGTGTACCTGTAACCTCGAGTCTCCGTCCACTCAATCTTCAGCTATACGCGAGTCACTTAAGATTACGCATATAGTCCCTTTAGCGATCTCTTGGGAGGGGGGAGGGGGGATTTCCAGCTGAGTTGATGTGGTTGACCAGTATCTCAACCAAAAATATTATCTTTATATTTCTTTCCGAAATAAACCTTTGCTATTTGGTAAAACCTATATAATAAAGCTCATTGCTCATATATATATATATATATTTGTCAGCTATAGCTGACCAAACGGCTGGACCGAATGGTGTGAAATTTTTTTTCTTGATTTTTTTTTTAATAAAAGATTTGTCAAAATTCAAGAATTTTTTTCAAAATTTTTAATTTTTTTTGATTCCACGTGCAACGCCGGCCACTCCAGCTAGTTGTTTAATAAATCAACTCACCTGAATGCTGGACTTAGGAGGAGTTTTCTTAAAATGTTCCTGGTAAAACTTGGGATTGAATATTAGTTTAGGGTCAGCTCTGTAGTTGGTTAAAACCAAGATTATCTTGTTCAGGTTCAGCTTCCAGCTGTACCCGTAGTTCAGGAGGAGGTCGGAGATACATTTCTCTAAAATAAAACTACTCAAATCAAAACACTCTAATTTTTATAAAAGGAAAAGGTCGAATTTTTGCTAATTTACAGGAACGACTTTGAGACCTCGTATCGTCTCTACTTTTGATACTATAATCAAGTAGTCTTACATGATTTTTAATTTGTTACCTATAATTAACCTATCACAGTCATCTGCAAGTACGGAATATGAATAAAACAAATAGTCCAGAACTATTTGGTATTCAGTCTAAAAATATATTTTATCATTATTATTTCTGTTTTTATTATTATTTAAATGTTCAATAACAAATCAAAACAATTTTTGAAAATATAAAACACTGGCATCATAACTGAATAGGATTCGGAGAAAATATAAACCCCTGGCATAGTAACTGGATAGAATACGGAGAAAATATAAACCCCTGGCATAATAACTGGATAGAATACGGAGAAAATATAAACCCCTGGTATAATAACTGGATAGAATACAGAGAAAATATAAAACCCTGGCATTATAACTGGATAGAATACGGAGAAAATATAAAACCCTGGCATTATAACTGGATAGAATACGGAGAAAATATAAACCCCTGGCATAATAACTGGATAGAATACGGAGAAAATATAAAACCCTGGCATTATAACTGGATAGAATACGGAGAAAATATGAAACCCTGGCATTATAACTGGATAGAATACGGAGAAAATATAAACCCCTGGCATAATAACTGGATAGAATACGGAGAAAATATAAAACCCTGCATTATAACTGGATAGGATTCGGAGAAAATGTTTTGGCATTGAATAATAATTGACCTAACATAATGAACTTAATGGACTTACATTGAACTTATAATTGTGGGTCTTTTATTTCTTGAACTTGACGATCTTTAGTTAGATTAGAAAATGTAATTTCATTAAATGACGATAAAAAAGTAAGACAACTCATGTTTATTGCATTTTACTTTGATCTAAATGGACCTGATCTTTTATTAGTAAACTACTAGCTGAGGTTGCCTGGAGGGACTCCGCTAATACAACAGGATCCTAATATTTTAAAATAAGTTTATTTTGATGAGTTAACTACTATCTGAGGTAGCCTGGAGGGACTCCGCTAATACAACAGGATCCTAGTATTTTAAAATAAGTTTATTTTGATGAGTTAACTACTAGCTGAGGTAGCCTGGAGGGACTCCGCTAATACAACAGGATCCTAGTATTTTAAAATAAGTTTATTTTTATGAGTTAACTACTAGCTGAGGTAGCCTGCAGGGACTCCCCTAATACAACAGGATCCAAGTATTTTAAAATAAGTTTATTTTGATGAGTAAACTACTATATTTCGTGTCTTTTTTCAATGAACTTAACCTTCCCTAAAACTATTTATAAAAACAATGAAAGATACAAAAAGAAGTAAAAACTCCAATAAAGTTTTAAAAATAATTAAGGAGGATAACGTAGAAAATATTTAAGAACAAAAGAAACTGTTATAAAGAAGGGAATAACATAGAAATTAAGGATAAAGTTTATCGAATTGCCTCCTCATTCTTTTCATTCAATCATAACCAGAAAGACCCGGAATTAATTTACAGTTAACAAAGAGACTTTTTTTTACATAATACATATATATCTCTGGCAATTTCAAATGTTCAAAAAATGCAGAATAGTTTGGAAATGGCAGGACTAGGGCTAATTAATGATTATCGTTTCATCAATCATATTAATAAAATTAGATTGTAACGTCATCAGATTAATTGTACATTAATGGCAGGACTATTAATGGCAGGACTAGGGCTAATTAATGATTATCGTTTCATCAATCATATTAATAAAATTAGATTGTAACGTCATCTGATTAATTGTAAATTAATGGCAGGACTAGGGCTAATTAATGATTATCGTTTCATCAATCATATTTTTAAAATTAGATTGTAACGTCATCAGATTAATTGTAAATTAATGGCAGGACTAGGGCTAATTAATGATTATCGTTTCATCAATCATATTAATAAAATTAGATTGTAACGTAGTCTGATTAATTGTACATTAATGGCAGGACTAGGGCTAATTAATGATTATCGTTTCATCAATCATATTAATAAAATTAGATTGTAACGTCATCAGATTAATTGTACATTAATGGCAGGACTAGGGCTAATTAATGATTATCGTTTCATCAATCATATTTTTAAAATTAGATTGTAACGTCATCAGATTAATTGTACATTAATGGCAGGACTAGGGTTGTAACGTCATCAGATTAATTGTAAATTAATGGCAGGACTAGGGCTAATTAATGATTATCGTTTCATCAATCATATTAATAAAATTAGATTGTAACGTCATCAGATTAATTGTAAATTAATGGCAGGACTAGGGCTAATTAATGATTATCGTTTCATCAATCATATTAATAAAATTAGATTGTAACGTAGTCAGATTAATTGTAAATTAATGGCAGGACTAGGGCTAATTAATGATTATCGTTTCATCAATCATATTATTAAAATTAGATTGTAACGTAGTCTGATTAATTGTAAATTAATTCCAGGTCTTTCTGATTAGGACTGTATAAAAAATAATGTATATGTAAAAAAATTCTTACTTTGAGAATAGTATTTATTCTTTCATCGGTAAAACCGCGCTTATACAACCTAGCACGGGGATGGTAGTCAAACAGGCTCTCTGAGAAGAAAATATTTGATTTTATAGTTCTAGAGTTTCAGCAACTATAGGCTTACAGGATATTTCGCAAGCCCTTCGTACTTTACAGAAAACGACGAGTCTTTGTGGTTGCAAATCTACGTGTTCATTTTATTTAACATTTAAAGGGAGTGTTCGCGAAAAATGAAAGGGGGTATAGGCTTAATGCGATAAAAAAGCGCTTTTGATCGCTACTAATCTTACTTCTATCTCTTGCGTCTATAAGAAGAAAATTGATAAAGACGTCTCATACCGAAGAGCGTAGCGCCCATACAAGTTGAGGAAGTTGGAACATACGACTTAGACCGTAAAAAAATCAAATTAATATCAAACAAATCATTCAGATATTACAACCTATGGTCATCGATTATTTTTCGCCACATTTGTCTATATTTAATATTTCATACTAGTTTTGATTTTGTTTTTTTAAAATAATACTTAGCTTACTACTTGTTTTCGAACATTCCTGGAAAATCTGAAAATGTCGTCTTCATTACCAAAAATCCTCGAAACAAGAATAAACGTTTTTATAAGTAACTCTCAGATCATAACAATTAAAACATATTATGAAAAATCAACTATATATAAATGTGGCGAAAGATAATCGATGACTATAGGTTGTAATATCTGAATGATTTGTTTGAAATTAAATTGATTTTTACGGTGTAAATCGTATGTTGCAATTTTCTCAATTTGTATGGACGCCATGTTATACGGTATGAGACATCTTTAACAATTTTCTCTTTATAGACGCAACAGATAGAAGTAAGATTATTGGCGATCAAAAGCGCTTTTTTATCGCATTAAGCCTATACCCCCTTTCATTTTTCGCGAACACTCCCTTTAAATAGTTTTTAATACAATTGTGTGTCGACTGACTGCACGATAAATGATGTAAAAAAGTTTCTATTTTCACCTATGTCAATGTCTCCGTATTTGAAAAATTTTGATCCTCTCTCAGACTGAAACAGGTTTACTCCGGGAGAAAACCTCTCCGGATACTGATTGTTCGGATTATCTAATCTCAAGGATTGATGTCGTTTTACAGGAGATACGGAGTAGAATGTCTCAGCAATCTGTGTCTGAGTCTCATTAAAACCCTATACAAAATATGAGTTCAGTGCTCAGTGTTCAGTGCTCAGTGCTCAGTGCTCAGTGCTCAGTGCTCAGTGTTCAGTGTTCAGTGTTCAGTGTTCAGTGTTCAGTGTTTAGTGTTTAGTGTTTAGTGTTTTGTGTTTTGTGTTTTGTGTTTTGTGTTTAGTGTGCAGTGTGCAGTGTTTAGTGTGCAGTGTGCAGTGTGCAGTGTTCAGTGTTCAGTGTACAGTGTTCCGTGTTCCGTGTTCCGTGTTCCGTGTTCCGTGTTCCGTGTTCCGTGTTCCGTGTTCCGTGTTCAGTGTTCAGTGTTCAGTGTTCAGTGTTCAGTGTTCAGTGTTCATGTTATGTATCTTATTTATAAAGACTAACCTGACTTTGTGAAAGGTTTAGAATTGTTTCCAAGTCAAATTGTTGCTGGGCTTTTCCTTTCCAACTTTCAACTAGAGAAATATATATTACGAATAGGAGGACGCACCAGGGGTGTACATTTTCCTCCTGAATAATCCTCCCCCCTCTTGTGAAAATCATGCGTTTACCCAGAAAATAGGTGTTTTTTTGCTGAATCGGGGGAAATTAATGCTTTTAATGGGAAAATAACAAATTTTTTGTGTAAAAAGTGTGAAAAAAGATTAAAAAACTTGTCTCTCTACGTCCAATTTTTCACCCCAGATCTCCAAAAATCACCACCCCCCCCCCAAGGGGTAGAGGTAATTTTTAAAAATGTAAACCCCTGATGCACTTGTAAAGACTAGCTAATGAGGACTTACTAATGAGAACCAACTTACCAAGGACTAATCTATAATATAATGGGGACACACTTCTCAGAACCAGAAAATAGACGCAACAACAAGAACGCATAGTATGACATAGATTTAACAATCCATATATATTTTAGGAGCCCATACAAAACATATCGTCACTAAACTTATCACCACAAAACATATCACCACAAAACTTATTAAAACAAAACTGATCTAACAACAAAACTTATCAAAACAAAACTTATTATCATAAAACTTATCAAACTACAAAACTTATTAAAATAACTACAAAATTTATTTTTTTAAAACATTTTTAAACGTTCTGTTCTGTGACCTTCGCATGTATCTAGATTTACTATTATCTTGGTGTCCTGGAACACCTACTCCCAAGCTATTCTCTTTCATAACCATGTCTGCCCAGAAAGGGGCTGGGAAACTGAGATTTTACCGAATTTTCTCTTAAAATTCGCGGATTTTTAAAAAATTGTATAGAACATTTCCATGATTTGAAAATTTAGATTCATGAATTTTATGATAAGTTTTGTAGTTTGATACGTTCTGTAGTTGGATAAGTTTTGTAGTTGATAAGTTTTGTTTTGATAAGTTTTATAGTTTGATAAGTTTTGCAATTTGATAAGTTTTGTGATGATATGTTTTGTGGTGATAAGTTTTGTGGTGATATGTTTTGTATGGGCTCCATATATATACATAGGTAGATCGTACCTAAAATATCATCCGCACACATAGATTCGCTCGCACGTGACATCTGCGACAGCTGTGAATCTGTTCGAACCAATTTTATCTGCGACATTGTTCATTTGTAAATTGTCTGAAAGAAATAAATTGAATTAAAATCTGGAAGGCACAATTTAAAATATAACAACGTATATGGCCTACATGTAAGAGTTCGAAAAGCACTATAATTTTGTCCAAATAAAAATCAACATGATGAAAAAGTAGATATTATATAAACACGAATAGGTCATAATGACACATTTTAACTGATGACGTAACATTTGTAATAATAATATATCATAATAAGGTACTGAGGTCACGAGGTAAATGCAAAGGTACATTACATTATACATAAACACAATATTGTTTATTTAAACTGCGAATATGAGAGATCAAAAACATGTATAAATATATCAAAAACTGAAAACTATGGAAATTCTCGTTACTGTAGGCCCAGTCGGAATGACAACGATCTCATTTTAAAAAAATGTTCTGAACTTTGAGGCCCAACAAAAAATGAAGACACTATATTGTTCTTCTGTTTTAAGCAATATAAATACAGAGGAAAATGTAAAACTAGGCCTTCAGTTGTACTAAAGAGCAGAAGAAGTACTTAAACATTAATACAAAGGTAAACGTTGTCCTTGTCCTCTGTTTGTAGAACAGATGAAGGATCTATAAAATTAAGGACACTGTCCTCCTTGTCCTCTTATTATAGAGCAGAAGGAGCTTCTATGACATTAACACAGAGGACACTGTCCTCCTTGTTCTCTGTAGAACAGATGGAGCTTTTATATCATTAACACAGAGGACACTGTCCTCCTTGTCCTCTTATTATAGAGCAGAAGCAGCTTCTATAACATTAACACAGAGGACACTGTCCTCCTTGTTCTTTAATTATAGAGCAGAATGAGCTTCTATAACATTAACACAGAGAACACTGTCCTCCTTGTCCTCTTATTATAGAGCAGAAGGAGCTTCTTTAACATCAACACAGAGGACACTGTCCTCCTTGTTCTTTAATTATAGAGCAGAAGGAGCTTCTATAACATTAACACAGAGGACACTGTCCTCCTTGTTCTCTGAGTCCAGAATATTAATAATATCCCGAGCAGAAGGGCGAAGTCTAGGATCCTCCATGGTGGCGGCAAAGAACACCTTGAAAAAAGTATCATGAAAGCTTTTTTGATATCTTGCTCATGTAGAGAAGATAAATATATAATGAAGAGAAAAATTCAGCACACACAAAAAATGCCGTAATTTTTGTTTCGCAAAGTGTAGAGAAACTGACCTCAAGAACCTTGGCGTAGGAGTTATCTAAGTCTAGGTGGTCAGGTAACGGAGGTCTTGTTCCTTGAATATTAAAAGATTAACATTTAAAGGGAGTGACCGGCTATGTAAGGTAGTTGAACTAAGTATGCAGTGTTGTAGACAACTTCTTTCGGATTCATTTGAGACATATTAAACTTTTTAAAGATCTGTAAATCCTGAGTTTGAGCGCAAGTTCGTAAAAATCATACAGTAATCTAATTAGATGGTTAGGAACATATTTCTCAAAAGAAATATGTGAATAAATCAATGCTAAAAGCGATTGTTTCGTTTTATTATATTGAATTTCTTATTTTCTTTGAATTTATTCGCAAATTTCTTCAAATTCTTCAAATGTCGTCTTTTCAATAATAATTCTAGAAAATCTGCAGAAAATCTTTGTGAATAATGAAAAACCAGAATAACGAGAAAATAGAAACTAATAATTGAACAAAATTACTTATTTTCGATGATAAGATTAATTTTCATTTTCTCAGTTCCTATACATGACGTCTGAAGTTTAATTTAGAACTTTTTTACATTTTATGTCGTCGTTATTTAATAACTGAAAACGTATTCACCCCCAAAGTAGGAGTTTGGAACGTCGAATTTGCGCTCAAACTCAGGATATATAGATCTTAAAAAATTTGAATATGTCTCAAATGAATCCGAAAGAAACTTTCCACAACACTGCATACTCAGTTCAACTACCTCACATAGCCGGTCACTACCTTTAAAACTATTTTTGTGCATTATTTACCAAGTTTTCTCATGGAAAAAGAAATTGTATTCTGTATTTCTACAACGTTCCATGACATTGTATGGGATTCATAGAAAAAAATTGAAAGCATCAAAAACGTATACTTCAATATCCAAAATATTTTTCATTTATGTTTGCATTAAGTAAATATCGACAAAATTACTAAGATTCTTTTTATCAAAAAAAAGTCCAATGTTGATTAAGTTTGAAACTAGTTCATCGACAATGTGAAAAAAAAAACATTTTTTGGCTTATAATTTATTATTTTTTAGGAGATTTTGAGGGTTTAACATTTCTGAAATTCTGAACTTAGTTATGACTTTGGTCAGAATACAATATAAGTAATATAATTATTTTCCTTGCAAAAACACAGCACAGTCTCGAGTAATTTTGTCATTTTCCTTTATCCAGAGAATAGGACACTATTAGAACAGTTTTTGCAGATATTTAGCACTTTATCACATATATTTTTAACATATTCACGTCTTTGGTATTAACACTGCGTATTTAATATATCAAAACATTAGACTAAGCGCGGCGCGGTCATTGATCAAACTCAACATCTGGTTACTCCTCCCCCCCCCCCTTCCACCATACCCATCACAATAGATTTCCAAGTTTCCACCCCCCTCCCACTTTCGCAAATTCAACCCATTGTTTGTGAGAACCCGCCCCCCCCCTCTCCCGGCCCCCCATAACAAGGGGATGGGTTTTAGATTCAGAATGTTTCCCTTGCAGAACATTTATGGAATACAAGTTAAATATTAGATGTTTCAGTGAAAATAAATACCTAAGGCTTCTCTAAAAGCGGAATCGTCAAAAGATTCGTCCGCGCTGTCGACAGACGAGTCCAGGTTCTCAGTGGATTCGTCACAGACGAGTTTATCCACATGTGGTGGATGCAGCGCTATCATCTCGAAAATAACCAGACCAAAAGCAAATATATCCGCTGCAGTAGTGATGGGTTGTCTTCGTAATGCCTAGACAAATGATTTATTATCCAAAAACGGTTAACATATGAGGGGGGGGGGGGAACTAATCTAAAATGTTTCATCAATGCTTTTTAACTTTATTCTGGTCCAAGAGGAAATTACATTTCAAAATAATTCATACTTATATTGAAAAAGTGTAAGATAATAAAAATACCTCCATTGGAGCCCAAGCATCTGTCCCAATATATAACTTTTTAGAATCCTTCACCCTCCCATCAGAGTTGACCTCCAACGTGACCCCGAAATCGCACAGTTTGATGTTATCAAACTCCCCGACGACAAGGATGTTGGCGGATTTGAGGTCACCGTGCATGATTTGCTTCTCAGTGTGCAGGTAGTCGAGGGCCTCTGCAATCCAACGAATAACCTGGACCAACATTACTTGAAAAATCATGTTTTTTTTTAATTCAAAATTAAATCCATCACATTGTCCCTAGAAAATGTGGGACAAAAAACTTCTATAGTTTTACAAAATATAAATTTTCACAAATTTGTAGTTTTTCTTGAGCTAACCTCATTAAATTCATAGTAGGACTTACAAATTTGCCAAAATCTTAAATTAGACTATATACTGTACAGAGAATGAATTGTCTAATCCTTCCTTGTCTATATATCCTATCTTCTTAATATACTCTGCAGAGAAGGTAGTATATAATCCTTCTTTATCCATATATCCCTACCTTTTCAATATACTCTGTAGAGAAGGGAGTGTCTAATCCTTCCTGTTCCTTGACTATATATCCTACCTTCTCAATATACTCTGCAGAGAAGGGAGTGTCTAATCCTTCCTTGTCAATATATCCTACCTTCTCAATATACTCTGCAGAGAAGGGAGTGTCTAATCCTTCCTGTTCCATGTCTATATATCCTACCTTCTCAATATAATCTGCAGAGAAGGTAGTGTCTAATCCTTCCTTGTCTATATATCCTACCTTCTCAATATACTCTGCAGAGAAGGTAGTGTCTAATCCTTCCTTGTCTATATATCCTACCTTCTCAATATAATCTGCAGAGAAGGGAGTGTCTAATTCATCCTTCCTTGTCTATATATCCTTCCTTCTCAATATAATCTGCAGAGAAGGGAGTGTCTATTCCTTCCTTGTCTATATATTCTACCTTCTCAATGTAATCTGCAGAGAAGGGAGTGTCTAATCCTTCCTTGTCAATATATCCTACCTTCTCAATATACTCTGCAGAGAAGGGAGTGTCTAATCCTTCCTTGTCTATATATTCTACCTTCTCAATGTAATCTGCAGAGAAGGGAGTGTCTAATCCTTCCTTGTCAATATATCCTACCTTCTCAATATACTCTGCAGAGAAGGGAGTGTCTAATCCTTCATTGTCTATATAACCATACCTTTTCAATATACTCTGCAGAGAAGGTAGTGTATGATCCTTCTTTATCCATATATCCCTACCTTCTCAATATACTCTGCAGAGAAGGTAGTGTAAGATCCTTCCTTGTCAATATATCCCTTACCTTTTCAATACACTCTGCAGAGAAGGTAGCATTAATCCTTCTTTATCCATATATCCCTACCTTTTCAATATACTCTGCAGAGAAGGGAGTGTCTAATCCTTCCTTGTCTATATATTCTACCTTCTCAATATAATCTGCAGAGAATGGGGTGTCTAATTCATCCTTCCTTGTCTCGATGATATCATAAAGAGATCTGTGTCCGTCCTCCATCACAAGATTCTTGGGGCCTAAAACGAAAATCTCAATAGTTGAAAAATATTATTAAAAATGCATGGCTTTGTCTTTAAGCCTTCAGTTGCAAAAACATGAATAATTATCAAGCAAGTAAATTTTTGTCCTTTTGTGGCTCAAAAATGCAATGTCATAAATCGTTTAACAATGTCAAGAAACATCTATCTATATGTATCATAATCGAAAGGGTTCATAATTGTTTATGGCCTATCAAAATTGAAAAAAATTGCCTGGACAAATTGTTGACCTTTTAATTTATTTTTTGGGAAACCCATCAATACTACCAGTTTTACACTTTACAACAAAAAAGCGGGGAAAAAGGTAGTTTTTTGTTTATAAATTCTTTTGCGTCATACTTTCTGTTGCAAATATGAATATGAAACTGGGACTAAAAAAGATGATTAATTTTGAGGAATAAAAGATGAACTGAAGTAAATTGACCTGCGTCAGTTTTCTCAAATCCTCTGTATCCGATAATATGAGGGTGTGAGAGAGTTCTCAGAACCTTGGCCTCAGCCTCCAACCTCGCTGAGTACTCAGTGTTCTCATGTCTTAGGTTTACTCTTTTCACTGCCCAGGGGGACATCACCCTACCACCCTGGACAATTTTTTTTAAGAATTCAATATAATTTTTCGCGAAAATTTAAACAAGTTTCGCAAAAAGAGGACCACGTGGACCTTTTTCAGCTAAGTGAGCCGAACAATTCACAAATCCTGACGTCTGCTGGAATTTTAATAATTTTCTTGCTAGACTTGCTTCAGAAATCAATAGGCTGCAAAGAAAGTGACAGAAACATTGATGGCATTCATTTTAATGAATTCAAAAAGGATTTGACATGCATCAATCGAACCCAGAATCTCAGCACTGGTTATTATCCAAAAAAGGGAAGATAAGACTGTAAGAAGACCAAAAAAACTACATCTGTACCTGTGGTGACCTCTCGTACAGGTATACGCTGACCCCTGTACCAAACCCAAGCTTCTTCAAATATGGAGTAGACGGAATGTGAACTGCTGGAGATTGCAGTCCTAGATATTCTTTACTTAATGGGACTGTAAGCGTAATATCAAGTGACCATACATGCCTTTCAATCTTTAACTCATCAAGTATGAATTAGATCTCAATTTTTATAATTTTAGAAACTTACAATTTTTAACTGCTTTTTCTCTACAAAAACGACCTGTTCATTTCTACTAGAGTGAAAAAAATTTAAATTATCATAAGTATTTACTTTAAATCTCGGAAAACGTCAATATGTTCCACATTATTGATATAATAAGGGTTCCAAGGTCAGTTGAAATTACGCTTACAGTCCCTTTAAACTCGGAATATTAAATTTTAATTTAAGCTGTAGGTTGATTTGAATATACATATCCCACCTTTAGGAGTAGGTTGACAAACTCTTTGTAACAAATTATTCCTGGGTTTTGGAGTACATGGAGTAACAGAACCCTGGATCAGTTTGTTCCGTGGTTTAGGAGTACATGGAGCATCAAACCCTTCCATTTTTTCTAGGATATCTGTAAATATAGAAATATAAACTTCGTTACATACAAGATACAACATTTTATAGGAATTAATACTGAAGAACATTTAATAAATTACAGTTAAGCGTTGGATTTCAGGGAGGTATTTAAGTTTTCTTTAGCTTTATGCGTTTACTCCTAAACGTTTGGGCAATCCCATGCTGCCTGATGAGCCTCCCCCTCGTGGGGCAGATGGACCCCTTGAAGACCCTCCTCCGCGAGAGGAAGTCCAACCGCCCGTTCCTCCTCTGGCGGATTTCCCTTTCCATCCACCGCCCTCAACACTCCTACGTTTAGGCGTGCTTCCACCTTGAGATTTGGATTTTCGTTTACCTCCGCCTCTCTTCTTATATCCACCGCCACGACCACCCTGGACATTGAACAAATAATCAATCAATCAATCAATCAATAAATAAATCAACCAATCAATTTTCAACCAAAACAACTAATTTCAAACCAATGCAAGCTGTCGAACAAAATTTAAAATTTTAGATTAACAATTTGAAGGAAAGAACTTTTCACAACTTAAAGAAGAAAATTGAACAATTTATCAATCAGATTACAACATGTAAAACATTTTACCTTGAAATATTTGGATTTCCCCCCCTTGGAGAGCCATCCTTCTCCGTTCTCATCCCCGGGCGTAAAATCCTCCTCGTCTCTGCAATAACAACGGATACACATTTGTAGAAGAAAAATCGACAATATTACCATCAATGCTAATGTCAACAAAGATTTGTTTTCCAATATAATAACCAAATCTTAAAATTCATTATAATTATGTTTTATAGAAATAAGTTTTTTAAGTTCCAAAAGAAAAAGTCGGAGAATATACGGACTTTCATAATTTGTCAACAATGTCATGAAGCCAGGCAAAAAAAAACCTGGTTGAAGAAGAGCGTGTACCTGACAAGCTGATTGGCTTGAACCTGTGACGTCAAATACTCCATCCTTCTTTCGTTGTACTCCCTGGTAATGTTCAGTATAACCTCTCCGTACAGACTCACCCTGTACTCTGTCAGGTACTCCAGCCGCTTCAGGGCCTCTAGCGAGGTTGGGAGCATCTCTGCAATCTGCTTCAAGGCCTGGAGAGGGATGATCTCGTTGACCCCCTTGATTTGCTTGCTGGGGTAGAGTTCCTTTCCTGTCTCAAGGATGAGGTGCTTGAGCTCGTTAAAGCACTCCTCCTGGAGTTCTACTAGTTTAGGATCCTGCTGAGAACTGGTTCCTTCCTCGGCCCTAGACCCAGCAGTTCGCTTTCCTTCCATCTTGTGCAGTACAGTACACCGACCCTACATAGCAATCAATCAATCGAGTGCAAATATAGTTTTTAAATTTCCCTCCCAGTAAGGGTAGTGGGAGGGGGAGGGATTCTGAAGATTTTTGGGTAAAATTTGAACAAATAGGATATTGGGGAAATTTGTTCCCATATATTTGTGTTTGGTCCCTTTCAATGAAACTTGTTAACTAACGTTTCACCACTTTCCCCTTATCCTCATTAATTTTAACCTTCTCGTTAATTTTCCCCATTTAGAAGATAAACCCAGCTAAAAACATTCCGAAAAAACGGTCGACAAAAAAAAATTTAAGTATAGAAAATATTTTCCAGAAAAAAATATTTATCTTAAATCTAATTCAATTCAATCAGGGAACTAATTGATTTATTAGTGAAGGTTAAATTAAACAATTAATTACCTGGAGCAATTCTGCTGCTTTACTCCCAGCGCTAAGGTACGCGCTGACCATCTTATCCCTGGTGATAACCATGGACTCCCACAGGTATCCTTCAAGGATGAGCAGACGGAGAATACGGTTTGCATCTAGGGCATTGTATCCACTACCCTTGCCGTATATAGGATCAGTATCCCATTGTGAGCTTATCACTTTCTGATTCTTCGCACCCCGCCAAATATCCACGAAATGGTTTAGAGTGAAGTTCTTTTGGTTGTAGTTGGATCGTTGGGAGATCCTTTGCACAGCTATAACGATCATCTTGGCGATTTCTGTGATGTCGACCTTCTCCATGGTTGAGTGCATGTTTCTGGAGCAGTTGTCGCAGCGCATGTTGGTGACCTCTCCGCAGCGTGTGTGGTCGAAGACCTCCCCGAAGTATTGGAGTTGGAGGACACGACGGCAGTCACTGAGGTTCTCGCAGTATCTGACCATTTGCCACAGGTTTTCGTAGTGAATCTTTTTACACGCAGGATCACCCTCACCCATATCTATCAGTTTACGCAATCTAAACCCAAATCAATCAATTAATCAAACGAAAAAATTGGAGATACGCGAATCAGTGTTTTATTATTATTAATATTACTTTATACACAAAATAAAAAAATAATACATATTATATCATATCTGTTCGGTTCCATAGTAGTAAAGCTATCATGTAAGAATTCCCATTATTACACGGTTCAGGAGGAACAATTTTAATATTGCTCGCTTCCTTGCGTTTAAGAATGCTTATTCTTACACTGAAGGTGTAGAATTTTCATTCTTTAACGTTCAGACCGTGTAAGAATGGAAATTATTACACGGTCAAGTATGTGCCCATGGAACCTCACAAATATGATATAATAATAATCTTATGAGGATAAAAATGTAATAATGGAATTCTTAAACTCGATGAAATAATTTCCATTATTAAATTTTTTCCTCATAAGATTATCATAATCTTAAATTCCAGAATTTTTATTAAATTGGAAAATTAAAAGAAATGAGAAATTGCACAGGAGCTGTAGGCCACAAGCTTACATTTTTTAATCCCTTTCTCTATATAACTTAATGATATTTTAAACTTAGATTATTGGATTAAACAGAATTCATAGTTTGAAATATCGAAGGTCTATGGCATTGGGTTGCAACGTGAAAAGGATACAAAATTTGAATTTGTGTTAAAAATTAAATTTTTTTGAACTTGTTAGTATCTCCAAATTTATGTTTTAGAGGATATAGCTCGAAGCTTACCGTCTTACAGGTCTGTGTATTTTCTCGAAAAATCCTTACCCACCCCTTTTTGAAAATCATACATTTACCCAGGACTTATTTTTTTTTATTTTATTTTGGGGTTTATTTGCTAATCTGGGAAAATATATGACTTGTGGGGTTAAAAAGTTCCAAAAAGTATGAAAGACTTCTGATGCAGAATTTTTAATTTNCCAAAAAAAAATACAGTTTTACCTATGCATATCTCCGTAGCAGTAGAACAGGATACATCTAGAGGGTTCCCCGTCCCTCCCTGCACGTCCTGACTCCTGGTAGTAACCTTCGATGGACTTAGGCATACTTTGATGCAACACAAACCTAACAAAACATGAAATAAATCGAATCTTGCAAAACTCAGGGCTATTTTTTTTCTTAAAACATCCCCCCTCCTTTTTAAAATAATTTTCCAAAAAATATAACCACTCAATTTTCAAAAAGTATTTTTTACAAAAAATGGAGTAAAAAATCGGACTAATAGATTTTTAAAATAAAGATTATAATCAATGTTATTCCGTACCTAACATCGGGTTTATCTATTCCCATACCGAAGGCAATGGTGGCGCACACTACCCTGATTTTATCCTGGATCCAGTCATCCTAAACTTCATCAATTATTTATCAATAAAATAAAGCTCTTTGCTCATATATATATATATTCATTTGTTGAATACTTATTTTCTAATATTTGTATGTTAGCTATAGCTGGCCAAACGGCTGGACCGAATGGGATGAATTTTTTTTAGGTACCCTGGGGGAAATAAAGGCAACGCCGGGGCGCACCTCAGTTGGTATATTCATAAATTCGTGGATCAATAAATAAAATCAATATTCAGCAGGTAACAAGTTAATCAGTCACTTGTTTAATGTTCAACCTTCTATCATAAAAACCAAATCAATTAATCAAATACAAATCAACAATCTCCAGTCTTTTACTACCAAGATTTTAAAAGTTCACTTTAAAGAATCTAATGATCAAAATCGCTTGAAACTAATCAAAAACAACTTGGAGAACGTGCTTACTCCAACCGTGAATAAATGGACGAACCTGTGTTCTGCTCCGAAGCTCCGGGTTGAGTCCAGCATGGTACGGAGCTGCAGATATCCCGGCCTGGGATAAGATTCCAGCAACATCCTCGCAATCCTTCTTAGACAAGCAGTAGACTATTCCGGACTGCCGGGAGAAGTTCCCTCTGATCAAATCTATTATATCCTAGAATCCAAGGGGTTCACTCAACATGTTTTGATTTGAATTACCAGTTTTTTACTTTCAAAGCCACTGTAGACATAATTTCAAGTGACCAGCAATCTATCCATTTCTCAAAAACTTTTTAATCTTAATATATTCTGGCAAACTTTCTAGAAAAAGGTATCAGAAATGACAAAAAAGCTTAAAAGTTAAAACCCCATCGTTCCAATTTTCTAGAATGTCATTTCAGCACAGCTTGACCTTTGTGAAACAGTTAAACAGATCTCTTTAAAAAATTTCCAAATAAGAGAAAACCCCTGCCTTTGTGGCAGACTTCCCTTTCTTCTGCATCACCTCGTACTTGAGGTTGGACCTGTTGAAGCTGGAGAGGAACCACTTCGGGTCCTTCATCTTCAACTGGAAGAGGATATCCGTCCTTACTCTGGGTGTTGCGGTAGCTGTTAGAGCCATCAGAGGTACCTAGAGAAAGATCTCATTTCTCCGATCTCAAAACTTACGGTCTAGTTACGTTTTATGGATATGTACATATTCTGTACAAAAATGAAATAAAAATTACAATTTAGCAACAAAAAAAAGAACAGATAATATTAATAATTATACGTCTTCATTTTATCATCTCTTCCATCTATTTAATAAAGCATTTCGCTCATGTATATTTGGCCAAACGGCAGGACTGAATGGGCTGAACCCTGGAGTACCCCGGGGGTAACATAGGCTTTAAAAGTTCGACATTTTTTTCTTATTTAAAAATTCGATTTCTTTCAAAAAAATATTTTTTTTTTAAATTCGATTTTAAAAATTATAAGGTCCACGCCGGGCGCGCACTTCAGCTAGAAATAAGATAAAAATGTTTATCTCTTTTATAAAAAGATTTTTTTAATAACTTCTTGAAGATTTGATTTACCTTAGGAAACTTTTGTCTGAGCAGTGATAGTTTCTTGTAGTCTGGTCTGAAATCATGTCCCCATTGAGATACACAGTGGGCTTCGTCAATCACAAACCGGCGCAGCATACCCTGGTTGTACACTGACATCAGAGCATCCTAAACAATTCAGTACAGTACAATGTACAAAACCGGCGTAGCATACCCTGGTTGTACACTGACATCAGAGCATCCTAAACAATACAGTACTGTACAATGTACAAAACCGGCGCAGCATACCCTGGTTGTACACTGACATCAGAGCATCCTAAACGATACAGTATAGTACAATGTACAAAACTGGCGCAGCATACCCTGGTTGTACACTGACATCAGAGCATCCTAAACATTACAGTACTGTACAATATACAAAACCGGCTCAGCATACTCTGGTTGTACAGTGTACACTGACATCAAACAATACAGTACATTACAATTTACAAAGAAATGATTTATTAACGAAGATCTCGAATTTCTGATTTACAATTTTAAAGACACAAACAGAATTTTTAAAATTTCTATTGTCGTAGAGAAACAAGCAACCTACCAGAAGTTGAGTACTGGATGAAACCTTCTCCGGGGTTACGTAGAGCAGGGTAGGACCTGGAGAACTTCCACGCATCATGTTGTAAATGTTGCGATGCCTGAAAAAAAATATGAATTTTGAATCTGTTACCTCTTTAAAACCTAAACCATTTTTCACAACAAAGATTATAAAACAACTTTCTAGCTTCTAGTAGCAGTGATGTTCTAACATTTCAGAGTTTATACTTCGATTTTAGACTTAATTGGCCGGATGATTACAAACAACAACTTATAAAAAAAAACGTTTTTTTAATTAGTTTTATACCTCATTTTCTTAGAAGGACACTGGTTGCTCACATCTCATTCAAATCAAATCAAATCATTTTGTACAGGGATTGCTTGAGGCATCCTTCATTATAAAGGTCGGGGGGAGGACTAGGTCGGACACCAACTGGTTTTAAGCGTAGAATCAATTAATATTAACAACAAACCTGTTGTAATCATCCCCGGAGAGATCCTCAGCTGAGATATTCATTCCGTTCAACTTGGTGACCTGGTCGTGGATTAAACTCACCAGGGGAGATATCACAACAGTTATACCACCCTGACAAAATCAATCAATTTAAAAATCAACTTATAAATCAAGTTATCAATCAATCGATCAATCAATCAATCGTTATACCACCCTGACAATAAGCAATAATAATCAACTGTCATCAAATAAAATATGATATTATGTATATGTGTATTTAAGCTTCTATCTATTTATTGATAGGTGGTTAAATATCGTGAAGAAGACGACTGAGAGGGATGTACAGTACTGCTGATTTTGCCGCAACCCTTTCCTTCCTCACTTCTCACATGTTGTTACTACTCCCCCCGACTCTACCTCACTTCTATACCAGCTCTTGGACCGTCAACTGCTACCGGTCTCCTCCCTTTCTTATTAAAGGATAGTATTTCTCTTTATTTGGTTAATCACTATATTTCAAAGTTACTGATAAGTTTTGTTTTAATTTACAGCTTAATCAGCTTTTCTTATTAAAAGATAGTATTTTCATTACTTTAATCAGCTTTTCTTATTAAAAGATAGTATTTTCATTACTTTAGTTTACTACAATATTTCAATTTTTTCCTGATAATTTTCACTGATAGGTTTAATTATTTATTATTTACAATTTATTTTCTGATACCTTTGCCTTTTATTTTGCGTGAGTTCTAAAATTAGTTTTATCAATTCAATTATATTATTAGGTGTATTTGAATTGTTTAATTTATTTATTTAAGCTTTAACCTTTAGTCAATTTGGTTATTTATTTTCTGTTACTTTTGCTTTTATTTTAAGTGATTTATAATATTATTAATATTTTTCACTGCTAGGTTTATTATTTATTACTCATTACTTATTTTCTGTTTGCTTTTTATTTTACGTAGATTATAATATTATTATTATCAATTTGCTTCACGTTCCTTTCTTTTTTTTTTCCCTAACACTTGTTCAATTAGTTCTTCTAAATTCCTCTTCTTTTTGCGTTTATCCTTCTTGGAAACTTTCTTCCTGTTCATTAACTTTCTTCAATTCCTTTTCTTTTTGCGTTTATCCTTCTTGGAAACTTTCTTCCTGTTTATTAACTTTCTTCAATTACTTTTCTTTTTGCATTTATCCTTCTTGGAAACTTTCTTTCTGTTTATTAACTTTCTCTTTACACAGGATGGTTAGACCCAGGAAGACCCCTTTAATCCGCAGTATCGGTTTTGATAATCCTTCAGACCTAACCCTTGCGGAGTTACGAGCTCTCAGTTTAAATGCCGTTAATGACCTTCCTGGTTTCCTAGCGGGTGTTGGTTGGAACCTAGGGGCCTACGGCGCCTTCACTCTCTCCCTCAGTCCGGACAACCAGCGTGTCCTCAATGGAGCTTTCAATCTCATCGGCTCCCTATTCAACAACAGGAACTACAATGCAGCCCTGTACTGGCCCACTACTACCCCAGTCACCTTATCTCTCAGCCTCCCCGACCTTAGCATTTTCCACTTCCCTAACAGCTCCCTAGTTTCTAATTATGTGCCTAGCTCCGCCCTAACTCACTCCTTCAACCAGAACAACGTCCCCTTGCCTGCTTCTAGCCTCGTTAACCTCGGGATAACTCATCACCCTCAAGCCTTTCATCCACAACAATTCTTCAATTTCTATCCTCTCTATCACTGTCAAGAGTCCTAAAGCCGGCCGCCCGCATACCTTAGATATAGTGGACGTTTTTCCTACCAACACAGACCTCTGTCCTGTCAAAGCTTATATAGCTTTAGTTAAGTCCAACCCAACACCCGGCCAAACCCTACCTTTCTTTAGTCTAGCTGATGGCTCTCCCTACTCAAGCCTGGAATTTAACTCTCACTTGAAACTCTGGCTTTCCAAATACATTGATCCGTCCTTTGGCTACATCTCTGGACACTCATTTCCAGCTGGCATCCCATCTATCCTTGGGAACTTGGGATTCATAGATTCAGACATCAAACTAGTAGGCAGATGGTCCAGTAACGCCTTCCAAACCTACCTAAAACTCCCTAGAACCAGAAGGCTAGCAATGGCGAAAGCCATTGGAGGTCTCTCCCTTTGATTATGTAGGTCTTTCACTTTATGCCATGTAATCATACTTTTAAGTCTCCCCTTTTTCCTTCAGCAAATAATTCTATTTACTAGTTTACCTATTTTTAGCATAAATCAACCACGTTTGGTTTTATAATTTTATTATTTAATAATCCCTTTTTAGCACTTACCTATAATTGTATAGGGGCAGATCAAGACCTTAGCAGCGACAGTGATTCGTTACACAGTGTCGCTACTGACCCAGCTCACCTTGCCAGAGTTCTGCAAAGAGAGCTAGGTATTTTTATTATTTTTTTTTCATTAAATAATTTCTTACCTGACTTCAAATCTTACCTTATGTCTCAATTCTTGATAATTTTAATACCCAGCTTTAGCCTAAATTTTTGAAAATTGCATAACAATTTTGCCTTTCATTTTGGACTACAGCCTTAATGGTCTCATGCCATATATTTTGCTTGCGCTAATTTGTGCTTGTTACTAGATTCCCACACTGGCCCTAGCCGAGGAACTTTTGTTAGCAATCCTGTTTCCGACCCAGACTCTGAACAAGAGCTCCTTGATCCAGCACATGTTTACTCTCAACCAACTGTGCAGTTTTCTAACAATGTGAATGTCAACCCCACCATGGTTTCTGACAATATTAACTTGTCTTCTATCCCGGTCTCTAGCAATACTATCCCTAGTTTAGCCACCTCCAACCCACTAACAACCTTACCTAGCATAAGCCACCCACCTAGTTCAGACCCTTCCAACCCACAACCAACCTTGCCTAGTGTGAACCAACAACCTCCACTCACAGCTTCTCAACTAGCCTTTCTTAACGCTTATTCCAACCCTGCCAACCCTCGCAGCTCAAAACCCTCCAAAAAATCTAAGAAAAAATCCAAGAAAAGCAAAAAGTCCAAAACCGTCTCTTCTCAGTCTTCTACTTCTCCCTCAAGCAGCTCCAGTAATGACTCCTCTAGCTCTTCTAGTTCCGATGATGAGTCTACAAATTGGAGCGTCCTGCGAAATATCTGGCCGGTTGAAAAGAGACCCCTTGGACTTCAAAATAAGACTGCTTTCAACGCTATTTCCTTGGACAATCTTCTATGCTTAGCGAAGTTTGATAGACAAAACCTTAAGGCTATCGAAGGCGACCTCTCTACCAACTTTAACCCAGACAGGAAACCTAAGACCACTTCGTACAAAAAGGCAAAAGATAATGGGTTCAAGAAGCTCCATCCTGCTCGCTTCCAGCGGTACCCTCTAGCTAATCTGAAGGACTGGTGGAAACACATGCCCAAGACCAGAAATCACCTATACAAGAACCTGGATTTGAAGTTTATGGGAGCAAACAATAAACTCACTCAGAAAACTATCCAAGGTCTCCACGACCGTACCAAGTCTTTACAGTTCAAGATGTTCCTGTCCTCCAACGTGAATGTTGCCAACAAACCTGTGAAAAAGATAGAGAAACGTGAGGAAGAAGGCATCGTATCCACTCTCGACTATGCCTGGGAGAATCCTACTAACCTATCTCAAATCTCTGATGGTCTCCTGAACTACTCTACTGCTCTCATGCACATCTGGCCTTATGATCCTACTGGTTTGATTATCATGAGGCTTGTAAACAAATACAACTATGCTTCAGCCGCACCCACTATGTCAGAAAGGATCTCTGTTATCTCTACTTTCTTCAACATGGTCCTCAGGGAGAATGCCACCAGGGCCATCAGGAAAGATGTAATCATGAGCCATCAGGAGCAGGAGGAAATTTTAAAATCCATTCTAACCTCCTCTGGTTATAACAGCTCCGTCCCTGTCTTCTCCAGGCTCCCCAGATCTGACTCAGACTCATCTAATAAACCTAGGTTTGTTCAGAATTCTAGACCTGGCTCCTCTAACCCTTCCACAAACAAGTCCAAGATCAACGTTGTTCTCCACCTTGGAAACCCCATATGCTTCAACTACAATACTGGAACTTGCAGGAATCCGTCCTCATCCATCGGCTGCAGAGATACCAAGAGTGGGAAAGATTACGCACATGCCTGCAACAAATGGCTCATGTCGAGAAACACTCACTGCTTCCAAAAGCACCCCAGGTTCAGCAGCCATTAACCTATAATTGATCCTTTGATCCTCTAATTATCGTTTGCTTTTCATTTATTCACACGGTTTATTTTTTGTTCTTATTAGCGTTTATTTATTTATTCACAGGATTCATTTTTTGTGCTGAATCTTACACTTATTTTTCACTCACTTACTGGTGTTTATTAATCTTTTTTCTCATGTTTTTATTTAGTTACGGCTTTCATTGTAATATTTGATTTTTACTCCTTCATTCGCAATGAAGCAGTTATACATCTGTACTTCCACTTATTGGTGGTTTTTGATCTTATGATTGTTGTATTGTTCATTATAATCATTTATTGATCTTCACTTTTTGTTACATCGGGCTAATTGATCTTTACCTAAAGTTGTTGGTTCGATTTGTTTGATGATTATAAACATTTATTGATCCTTAACTAATTGCTCCATGGCTAAATTGATCTATACTTTATTGATCTTTACCTAAAGTTGTTGGTTCGATTTTGTTTGATCATTATAAACATTTATTGATCCTTAACTAATTGCTCCATGGCTAAATTGATCTATGCTTTATTGATCTTCCCTCGAATTGGTTGATCTTCATTTTTACTGATCTTTACTTACTGGTTCTTTCGGTTTTTCATTGATTTATATTCCATGTTATATGTTATTATAGTTTATTGGCCACTAATTAATTACCACAGTTCTTGGTTTCCTCTACGTATGTATTGTTACCTACAGACAGTAATAATTATGCCCTTACGATTCTAATAAACATAATACTTAACCAATTTATTTTATTATGTGTGTTAAAGGTTAATAACAATTACCTACAGTCGTCCATCTTTTGTAATTAGAAAAGCTTACAAGAAGCACAGTTACAGCTTTCTTAGTTATTTTTACTTGCAGTACATCTAGAGATTTCTTAACTATTTTACTTGCAGTACAT